TTATTTGAAATCTAATTTCATTTATTTTCAAAGTATTTAAACACATTTTTGATCAATTTTCTTTTTGATAGAAAAATTGTTTTCGAAATGCCAAAAGTTAGTGTTTTCATTCCTGACAAACTTTCTCGATCATCATTCATTTTTCACACTTTGCAAGTACATAAATTGGCCAGAATTTGGCTGGCATATCAATACCTATATATATATATATATATGAAAAATAAATCACATTCTGTAAACAAACAATTAAAAGTAAAAACTGATAAATGCGATAAACCAACTGGCTGGGACATTAACGATTGATTGATGGATAAATGGATGGATGCTTCCAGCGGAACGGGGTTAACTGCCCCATGCACTTGGTGACCTGAATTGCTAGAAAAACTGATTACTATATCTATATATATATATATATATAGGCCCGATTTAAGTGGCAACAACTTAACGAGAGAGATTCCCCCAAAATGAGTCAATTTTATTCATATATATAAATATTTTTGGACGAGACACGCGACGCGACGCGAAGCGACAGAATCTGGACTGTTGGGGGAGGACATACTATATAGTCGTAAATTCATTTCACACTTGGCGACTCACCGCATAAATCTGTCCGGATCTTGTCACCTGCCTGTCGTCGCATAATTTGTTAATAATTTTACGGCTCTTAACATTTGCCCACTTGATTTCCATTCCCCCCATTGGTATCTGTTTTTGTTTTTCTTCCGCTGGCCGTTGGCCAAAAATAATTTGTATCTCGTGCCGCCGTGTGACATATGTAAAATCAAGCAAAGGCTCGCTGGCTCGTTCTTGCGTGTTAAATTGGTGAAAGTTTTCACTTCTTGTCTCTGCTGATTTTATGACTTGCAAACCATTTGATCTCTGTGTCCTTTTTTTGTTTGTGGTTGTAAATTGAATCTCAATTTGTATGCCTCATGCGTGGCGGAGGAACTTTCGTCTAATACACTTAAACACTTTGGCCAGAGTTTGTAGCTTGCATCTCATGGAACTTTGTCTCGCATCGAATCGTTTGGCTTGACTTGTCATTGTTTGGTAATTTTCCGAAGGGGGGGGAAAAAGTTCAGTTTTTGGTTGGGACAAATGGTGGAGACATGATTGGAATTGGCAAGTGTGGTATGAGGCGAGAAAGTGTTGCATATTTGGGGGCGTTGGACCATAATGGTTTCATTAGCAAACCAAAATCAAATGGACTTCGGGTATTCCATCAGTTGTGGTAGAAGACCAAAAACCAATACAAGTAATAGCCTTCAAAGCAAGGAAAAGTGATGGAAAATAAACAAAAAGAAGGAGGAAAATCAGATTGATTTTACTTTGGGGGAAAGTTTAAGTTTCTTTTGGGAAAGACTTTCCAAATTTTACATTTCACTTTGGCAGATAATAATCATTATCAGAAATCAGTTAAAAACACTAACTTAATTTGAAGACTTTCTCGGAAAAGTTAACTTTGTCTGCCTTTTACCTAACCTTTCCATCAATCTTTAAGAACCCTAAAGCCTACCAAGAAAAATGTCAAAATATTGTCCTAATGTGAACCTGACGTGATTTTCCAGCGTTCCCCCAAAACGTATTTCGCCCTTCATGGCTCTTCTTTGTCTTCCTGTTGCAAACATCCGCGGTGGAAATGCGAAAAAGCGTCTATTGGGCCGAGCCTAGTTCCTGGGCCTTTTTGGTTTTGGATTCCGTTCAGGGCCAAGAAGCAAATTGGCCTCGATATGAAAAATCATGTCTGGGCAGGCTTGGATGGGTCAGTTAATCAGATAACACCAGCACACAAACACTCACACACACGCATATGAGGAAAGACAGACATTTAAGACAATACAGCAGCGGGCAAGATGGTAGTATCTATCATACTATGAAATATTAAATCGAATTTCAAATAGTTCTAGCTAATATGTTTACTAGCAGTTTCTAATACTTAATGCTAGCAACTGCTATTATCTTGTCCGCTATTGTATATAGATAGAACGCATAGAAAAAGGGGAGAAAGTGAGGAAAATGGGCTGGGTTGACTTGTGTCTAATTGGCCGTTTTGTTGTTCTGCCAGCAACTTAATTCACTTGGCCTCTAACTTTTTCCGCTGGACAACTTTTGACAAAGTGAAATTTTTCACAAACACACACACTCCCAAAGAAAGCTCACATGTACGTGGAATGAATTGGCGACGCCTTGAAGTATGCTACAAAATGCTAATTAAAATGATTTATGGCCAACGCATCCCCTTTTTTCACCCCCTCATATCAGCCATATGTGAAAAGGAGGCTGTTTGCTTGTAATTCGAGCGTCACTCCTTTCCACTTTCCCTTGGGAATTCCTTGCTTAATTTTATTAATTAAACTGACTCGTGTATTTACAGGCTGAAGGAGCATAGAAAAAAGCGAAATAAAACCGTAAAATAGATAAATGTCTTTGGTCAGCTCATCAACCAAAAAAAAACCAATTAAAAGTTTATGTTTTCTACTAGAACTAAAAGTGATTTCATTTTAAAGCAGCTTATAGTTTGGAAAAGGAAGAAAATCTGAAAAAGGTGACGCCATCAGCTTGGTTTTATCATTTTAAAGGCTAAACTTTAGTCAATGGTACTTGCAAAGTGTAAAAATAAAACAAAACTTTAGTTAAAATTGAATGTAAGGTCTAGCCAGATCATAATTCAAAGCCATTAAGAGGGCAAAAAACTAAACTGTAAACTAATCTCAAGGAAAACATAGTTTGGGGTCAAAAGTTTTTGTCACTGGTCAAGTGACTGAATCTGATTTCCGGCTGAGAAGAAAACATTGAGGAAAAACTGCAGGAAAACTTGAATGTCATGTGATATGCTGATGTGGACAGTTCCGTTTTCGTTTCAAAGATTCATTTCCGTTTAACTTGTGATTGGTTTGAGGTGGGTTAAAAAGGGCTGCGTCAATGGAAATCTATAAGAACCTATTTAAAACTCTTTAAAAATACAAATATTTTCTCACCGAAAACAATAATGTATCATTACAATTTCAACAGCTTTAATTAATTTTTCCTCAGTTTATTAAGAGAGGGAAAAGATCAAGCGTTTGAGGAACATAAAACAAATGCTATTCCCCCAATGAGTTTCAAACAAATTTGATGAGCCATTTAAGTGAGAAGTGCGCATAATTGGCCAACATGTGGTGGGTGCTGGGTGGTGGGTGGTGTGTGGTGTGTGTGTGGCCAAGAGATTGAAGGGTTCCCATCTAGCGGAAAATTCTGAAAAGGGGATTGAGATTCCTCGACAATCCATATGAATGCGAATGTGTTGCCTGATTAATGCATGGCTTTTGTGGCCAGAAATCTGCGCAAATCGGCCAGATATATCAGTGAGGTGTTGATAGGGCTGCTATATATATATATATTGGAGGGGATATTGCTGAGGGGAACTCAAATTTGATATAGCCCAGATAGATATATATGGCCAAGAATCCAAGGCACTCATGAATCATTTAGTTGCCAGGGTAGAGTTAATTTATTTATTGACCAGACAAGAATATGGCTAAAAAGATAATAGATAATAAATTTCATATATATTTTTCTGAGATTTCTTAAGCCTCTAAATACCCAAACAACCTGCTTTAAGAGTGCCTTTTCCCACTGCATATACATCAGCCATCCTTGATAAGCTTCGACATCCCCTTAGCACCCACGCCATATCCTTCTGGTCTATCCGTTTCCCCAGCCGAGTCGGTAATTGTTGGTGCTCGGAGGAAATTGAGAGGCAATATAACAAATACCTTCCCGGCACGACACTTGGCCATATGTCAAGTCGCGGGACACAACAATTAGGCCCTCTTGCCACCCACGATATTGAGCCGGATTAACTGCAGCTATTCTGCAGTCATGGACAGCTGACGGCATTAATTTCAAATACAGAAGTTATACATTTTTTCTCCCTCTCTCTCTCTTTTGGCTTAAATCTGAAAACCACAACGTCATTGGCGAAAATGTAAATGTTTAGACAAGGCCAAAAAAAAGAGAGAAAGAAAATAAGGCTGAATGATGCAGCTCCTCCGGCTCCGCCGACCAGACAGAATTTCGGTGTCTGGATATGCAGTGGCAATTAGGGGAGGCGGGGCACTTAAATGTACAAAATAGTTTTATGACTTAATTTTTGGGCTAATTTTTAGTATTTCCACTGCAATAAATTTTCGGCTCTGTTTGGCTTATTGTCTTTATACTGATTGGTACAGTAAACGATCGAAAGGTTATTAAAGTTTAAGAATTGTTAACTTAAATCAGCGATTTAATCGCTTTCAAAATGGGTTTCCTTCATTTTAAAGAGAACTTTTTTTTAGTAATCATTTAAAATAAGTTTTAGGATTTCAAAAGTAATCCTTTTTTAATCAAAAATATATTTTTAAAATATATTATTTACTGTAATTTTTATACATTTTTAATCCCAATTAATAATAAATCGAGTCAACTCAAAAACTTATCTTTGGAATATTTTTACAAATATTTCTCACTTCAATTTTAATCAAAACACAAACACAGTTAATAAATATACATTCAAGACGTTAGTTTAATTAACTTATTTAAGTTTTTAAGCCAAAGCTTAGTCACTCTTATTAACCTTATAAATGTTTAATCAAGAATTGAAGAAATTTAAGTCTTGTAAGTCGTCTTAAAGCCTTTTGACTTCTTTTTGGCCAACTTCTTCATGAAAAATGTACAATTTTTTTTAAATAAACAAATAAGATTAAGGCTTTGTAACTAATTAGAGCCCCAATTAATCCCCTTCTTCGATTGGGCACTGTATTTATGTGTTTTGCTTTTCGTTCTTCCTCCAAACAATTTGAACGCTCGCCGTTTCTCGGCTTTTTGGGCCCAACACAGAAATCATTTTGCATGTTCGCGGCAGCCGCAAAAGGCGAACCAGAAAAACAAAAAAAAAACATCGAAAATAATTAAATATTTGTTTAGTTATGTTCGGGTCTGGTTGGGACGTGGAACACACGTTCACGTTGAGGTTCTCTTACCAATCCGCCCACGCCGCAGTAGATGGACAGCGAGACGAGCAGTCCGATGTGATTGAGGGCCGACTTCCACTTCACCGACTGCCAGCAGGCGGTACTCCTTCGTCCGCCCGCCCCACCCTTGGCCACGCCTCCGCCCTCAACGGCATCCACACGGCGATCCAAGTGCTTCAGCTTTTCCAGCAGCTCGGTACTGGCCTCATCCTGCGAATCGTACTCCTTCACCGATACCTTTTTCATCGGCATTCTCCACTCCTATTTTTATTGTATTTTTTGGATTATCCCCTCAATTATTTTGCAATCATTTGTTTTTTTTTTTTAAATATTATTTTTAAGTTATTTCATTTTTTTAGGGGCTTTCCCCTCTTCGGTCCAGTGAGTCCATCATTTTTATGACACTCTTGGGGCAATTTTCGAAATATTCTAACACTCGCGCCAAACGGTTAAGATTCCGACGCAGCCCCAGAGTCCCGAAGAGAACCAACCGTCAACAAGTCAAAGTTGCGACTGTTTTCGGTGTTTTCGCGCTGCTTTGGATACACGGGCTCCCCCGAAAGAAAAGGTGGCCACTTTGGAGCCAAAACAAACGGCCAAGTGGCAACCTTGCTCCAAGAGCTGAAAATTATAAAAGAACCGTTGTAATTTTGATTTACAAAAACAGTTTTTATATTATTAAACCAAAAGTTAAATAAGGTTTTTAATAATATAAGCAAATTTCGAATTTATTTTCTAAGAACTCGGAGATTTAATAAGTTTTAAGGAAACAAAAAAGATACCTCCACTGGATAATAAAACTTAAATGTAATAAAAGAAAATCTGGTAAATCAGTAGTTTTAGAAGTCGCATAAAATAAAGAAACAAAATATGGTAAAAGATTTACATAAGTTTAAAAGAAGGCGGCTAAAACATTTCTGGTCGGCCGTATGGCAACTTTACGAAATTCAAATCAGTTTTTATAAAGACCGCGCAAATCACATAGCTATGGCAAAGTCTTCACCTTAACACAAAATAAAACATATTTAGTTAAAATTACAGCACTGAAGGAGGATTTGAAGTGCCAAACCAAAACCCAACCAAGGACATGCAACATATTTGATCCATTTCGCTTTGTTTCTCTTTTTACATACATACATATTAATTTGTTCATTAATACATTGAATTTACAACTAATTTAAGATGATATACGCTTAAATATATCATTTTGTTTATATTTAATGTGCATTAATGCGTTCTTCTTAAAAAATCTATGTTGTCAAAAAAAGGTTTATGAAAACTGAACAATAAACGTACGTTCCTTTTTGTTTTTATCGTATAACTAACATAACGATTCGTTTTAGCAACATAAACATTGAAAATACATTAGAAAATATCTCTCATCTTTGTTCTTACATTTCTCAATCTAATAGTTCTTACTAAATAATTTTACTTTTCAATTTTGTTTACTGTTTTTTCTGTGTTCTGTTCTTATGTAAGTGTTTTTTGTTGGTGTTGCTAGCCCAGTTTAGCTGACTAGATCAGCAACGTATCTTGTTCGCAATTTTGGATTTTCTTTTCTTTTTAAAAAGATGACGATTACGAGATGAAAGTGTCTTTAAATAGTAATCAAAAAATTAGTTTTTGATAATAAGAGGTAAAGAAATGAAAAGATCCAAAAGAAAGTTAAGAACATCAGCGGTCCTTAATCATCAACCTCTTTAACACATTTCTATGCCTATGTGTGTGCTTGTGTGTGAGTGTGTGTGGGGGGTATACATATGTATTTCTCTGAGTACTTGAGATGCAAGCTTCTCAGCCAGCATCTTATTCAGCTTCCTAGGATTCTAGAGCAGTCATTATTTCGTCCAGAGTTCCCCTCGAGTTTAACTGGAAATCGGGTTCTGAAAGGCGCAAGCACAGAATTTAATTAGTGGACGGCTTAACCAGATTATTTAGTAAGGTATTGGGTAGTTTTGTTAGTTTGAGATGGGTCACAAGTTAAAATGGTTGAAAACCTAAGTCTGAAATCAAATTGCAATTCCTTTTAGTGAACAAAAAGACAAGTAGACCAATTTCTAAGACAAAGACCAACTAAATCAAGATTTACTTAATAAAATCAAAGTACCTTTTCATAAAATAAAAAATAATTGAATTGGCATAATCTGCATGTAATATATTCCTTTTATTTTCTATAAATTTACTACTTTTAGATCGATAAAAATTCCATATTTTCCAAGATCAAACTAAAAGCAATTTAAGATCATATTAAAAGTGCACAGAAACTTTCCTATCTCTTCTGAGATAAACTATAAATTATATAACCTAATCAAATCAAGGAATTTAAGTGTTGTTGTATGAAATATAAAGAAAAAAAAGTAACTGCTTCGAGCAAAAAGACATTTCGGAAAATTCGTCGCAAATGGAGGATGTTAAGAACGGGTTATGAACATACTTTAGTGTCTTGAAAAATTTAAGCTTCTTTACTTTCTTTAATCTACAAAATAAATATATTATTAGTATGCATATTTATAGGATTGACGAGATCAGGCTGACTCACCATCTAGCTGGCCAAGAACCTCGTCATCCAGCGTCGGCATGGAGTCCATGGTCGGGTAAAATGGCACCGATTCACTGGATCCGCTTGTGGGATTGCTGCCATTCGTTGTCCTAGGTGCCAGTGGCGGGGTGATAAGACCAGCAGGAAGTTCAGCGGGATCGAGGGTATCTTCGTTGATGGTAGCTGAGGGTTGTTCTACAGCAGTTTCTGTTGGCTTCTCTGCCTCTGCCTCATTTCCATCATCGTCCTCGACAATTTCAATGACTGGTGCAGTTGCTTTGGCATTATCACTGGCGGACTTAAAGCTGCATTCGGAATCACCAGAATCAATGCGAATGCGCGGCTTTGGTGTACTGAGGCGGGATGGGGGCGTTTGCAGCTGACGGACATCATCCAAGGATGTCTGAATCTCTAGAACATCATCTTCTTGGTTCTCATCAGTGGTGGACGGGACTTTTGGCGAGGCTGTCAAATCGGTAATCTCACCCTCAGCCTCAACCTGCTCTTCATCATCGTCAATTTCTACAATCTTATCTTCGACTGTGGGTTTTTCTGGAGATTTATTGAGGTTTTCAGTGGTTTCTTCCGGGATTTCATCCAGAATTTCTTCGGTTTTCTCTTGCTGAACTTCTTCTTGAGCATCTCCTGCATTTTCCTCCTTGTCTTTCACTAAACTATCTCCAATTTGTTCCTTTTGGTGATCACCAGCACTTTCATCTGGTTTTTCCTCTTCAGCATCTGCAGATTTTTCTTCTGATTCTCCATCTCTTTCTAGTTCACTTGCTTCAGCATCGTTGTCTCTCTTCTCTTCCTCTTTTAATTGGGCGTCCTCTTCTGTTGGCTTGACTTCCTCTTTATCGGCGTCATTAGAATTATCTGTGGCTAAAGGAACTATTTCCTTAACAGTCTCATTTGACATTTCCTGATTTTTCTCCTTTTCCTTGTTCGGTTTGTCAGCTTTCGCTTTTCCTTTCAGCGATTTATCCATATTCTTATTTGAGACTTCTTTCTGAGGCTTCGGCGCCTTTGGAGCCTCCTTCGACTTTTTTGGCGCCGGCTTTTCATCCTCATCGTCGCTGATGGTTGTGGTGAAGGATATCTTCTTTTTACTGGTAGGCGGCGTTCCAGATCTCGGAGCTCCGGGCAGTTCATTGGGCACTGGTCATAGAAATAGAATGGGATTAGTTTTAACTCAAAACTCTTCATTAATTTCTATAGTAATTATTGTATTTCTTCGATTAAATGTCAAAATGTTGATGTTCCCAATTTGCATGAATTATTTCGTTGTTAAAAAAATGAAAATTCAAGGTTTGCTTTTAGGAAATTTAGTATATTTTAAATGGTTTTGGAAAATGCTTAGAAAAAATATACAAATGTTTGCATTTTTTGTGATGTACGAACGTTTAATGAAATTAATAATTAATTACAAACAATTTTATGACATAAATGAGTTTACATGGACGATGGACAACATGGACGATTAACAAAAAAAAAAAAAAAAATACATCATATCTAGATCAGATATTGTTAAACCTTCCAATTGACAATCTTGGAATTAATGTTTATGTTTTCATGAATTGCAATGATAAGTTCATGACCCACAGATTAGGCATATATGTAATGTCGTGTCATCTGGCTTTTTGCATCTACCTACCTATGTATTCCTCATCTACATCTTCATCAGACTTAGGGCTGTCGTCCAGACGGAGGCTGGCCAAACTTGAGAGCGGCAACTGTTGCCGTGGGCGCTTGAGACGCGCGACAGGCGATCCGTTGCAGGAACGGCGCTTGCCTTTCTCTCGGGAGCTGGTGGATGTCGAGGGGCCAGCGGGTGAAGAATAGAGCGGTGTAGAGGTCAGTGCTATGTCCTCCAGCACATTGCCCGTGGCATCAACTCGTTGCAGGCGTGTGGGTTTCGGAGTTCTTGTCGAAATCGAACCAAAAGTAGAACGTCGAGATGTGTTGCTCTCGTTGCTGCCCAAAATCTCGACGGCTTCGCTAAATGACACAGACAGATTGGTTTTCTTTGGCCGTCTCTTTTTGGCCCCGCCAATAGGCCTTGGGCTATACTCTGGCCACTTGCCCGACCAAGGTGTCCTCTTGACCTTTACCACACACCCAAAGTAACGAGCGCCAAAACGCTTGATCAAAGCCTGGGTGGTCTGACGTTGTACAATCGTTGTGGGCTTGGGACTCGTCTTCGATTTTGGCTTCTCTGGTGACGAGGTCTGTTTTTTCAATGATCTCTTGGCCAAACTGGGCGGAGGCGTGTGCGTGCGGGTCATGTGATTAACAGCCCGTTTCTTGGCGCCATTTTGTAGAGGAACTTTAATGTGGAAATTATTTTGAGCCGGTGACTTTTGCTTTTTGGGCGGCGATGGTACGTTCCTTTTGGCCCTTGTACGCAACTTATTGCCAGCCGGTCGAGACGAATTTTTCGCTGGGGCAAATGGTGAATTTGATACAGATTTAAATGCCGAATCGATTTCCCCCTGGGTCAAGCGACGAACACGCACCACAAACTTAGCCTGATCGCTGAACATCTTCTGCTCGGCCTTCGTCTTTGTTGGCTTGGCGGTTAATTGGTTATCATCGTCAGATTTGTCCGAGATCTCTTCATCCAGAGTAGTCTTAGCTGGTCTCTTCCTTTGCGGTTTTATGGAGTTCGAATTGGATGCCTTATTCGCCACTGTGGTTTTCTTCGATTTAGAGTTGGCCTTGTCGGATTGCTCGGCTTCTCCTAGATTATTCGAAACAGATTCTTTCTGTTCCTCATCGGGTTTGATTAAATCTTCAAGACCTTTGTCTATTTCTTCGGCTTTTCCGGTTTTCACTGCTTTCTCGGTTTTCCCGGCTTTTTCGGTTTTCCCGGCTTTTTCTAATTTTTTAATCTTCCTAGGCATTTTGAATGGCGACTCGTCTCTATTTAAGGTTGTATCGCTTGAACTTCGTCTGGATATTTGACAGATTGAATCGTCCGAATACTTTTCCAAATCATCATCGTTCGATTGATTCGCAGTCTCCAACAAACCTGTAAAATAAGAAACCAAGAAGGATAAGTGCGAAAACTCCATTAAATTTTTGACGTTTTTTTATGTATGAAAATACATTTAGCATGCGAAAAAGTGCGTTGTAAATGTACCCATTGTGCTGTATGGAGAATCGGGCGGAATCGGCGATGGTGTGGATATCTTTCTGTCCACCGGATTTATAGTTTCAGGCGGCGGTGCCGCTTTTACCATATCAAAAATGTCCATAATCGAAAAATGCCGCTCGTCGCTATTTTCCCACGGAAATGGCAATGGCTTAACCACACACGTTTGCCAAACGGTTTCTTTTAGTGAAATTGTCTCGTTTGCGATCAGTTAAGTGGCTCCTTCTTACGAGGACAATTCCTGGCGCGGAACAAGCACTTAGTTGGTTTTCCTAGTTAATTTATGCGCCCTTTAAATTCCCGTTTTCATTCAGCAAAATTGCTGATAATTTGTTGAAGACGCCATCACCGGTGTGACCGTCGCTAAGAAACCGCTAGAATATTTCGCGCTTTTGCGAAATCCTCCTCCTTGGTCGTTTATTTTAAACTTCAAATTTTTAAGATTTTAACCAAAGCATAGATGAATAAAAATCTTTAAGAATTTCTGCTATTTTCTATACAGGACCAAAATAGCTCTTTAAGAACTACTGTTCTGTATAAAGAACCGCCATTGCAGACTTGCAAGAGAATTTACAATAAAAACTTTTTATTCTTACCATATATTTTATCTAGCTTTTAAAATATTTAGATATGCCATAGATATCCACCTTTCAAGATATATTAGTTATGCATTGAGTATCTACCTAAAATCTGATTTAGATACCTATTTAATTTAAAATCAAATAGATAAACTTGTGCAACAACCAATACGCATGGTACGCCTTGGCTAGCATACTCTTTTTGTAAAATCAATTATCTAAGTTTTACACCTGGAACGGTACGTTAGTGGTATTTTTTGGTATATAACACAGCCGCCCCGCTTGGTATATAATAGCTTTCGCATTATGGTCATACCCTTAGTGGGCGAAAAAAAACATTCGTAAAATCGCTGTCGTCGATCGAACGCTGTATTTTTTTCCAGTGCAATATTCGGCCGATGAATAAAGAGTGATTGAATTGAAGTACTCCCTTAAAGATAATATACATATAATTAATAAATAAAGTCAACAAGAACAGCAGCAAAAAGAGAGAGCGGTGAAACACAATAAGAATTGCTGCCGTTGAGGTGTGTGCGTATACGTGTGTGTGTTTGTGTGCCTGTGTGACGTTTACAGTAGCAAAAAGTTCGGTGGTGTCGTCAAAATTTTCGAGTATTTTAAAGTTAATGCAAACGATTCTCGATCGGATATGAGTTGATCGCGAGTCATCGATCTAATCGGATGTGGCAAAAGTCTGGCTGAGGAAATCGAGAAGAAAAAACACCATAAACAACGGCAATTTGTTGCTGCCGCAACAATAGCAGCAGCAGCAGCACACTAACACCACCCCCCGTTTCAGCCTAACGGTTCATTCACAGTGGCCGCAGAAGCAGAAGAAGAAGACGAGGTAAGTTCCAGCATCTTTATTTATATTTTATGTGAGGTTGTTCCTCGTCTTCATTCGTAGAAAAACTCTACGTGTGTATGTAAACATTATCAACGAAAAATGGAGTGAGAAAAAATACAGAAACTTTCTTTCGCTGTCTATGTGGGTTTTGGCCTGCATGGGTGTGTGTGTGATTTGCTGCTCTTTTTTTTTTTTTACAAATTAGCGAAGCAGCAAAAGAAAAACTGGTACAAATTTTATGTGCTTTATATTCGCGCATTAATGTAATTAAAAAGCGTCCATTGTCCATCGTTCATCATTCATCATCGCTTCACAGCTTCGGTGGGTGAGCAACAACAACAACAGCAGCAGCAGCAGCAACAGCAATGATAACAGGGCAGTCCTGCCCTTCCTTTTTCCATTTCCATTCTTATTGCGATTCCCATTTGCCCACTTCCACATCCCTTTTCCACACCCACCACATCAGCTGCTGCTGCTGCTTCTGCCCTGCAGTCGTTGTTGTTGTGTTGTAACCTTGTCTTGCTTGCCTCTCCTTTTCTGTACTTTCCACCCACTTTTGTGGGTCCTACGTACAGTGGAGTTATCTGTCAGTTTTCGTTATAGAAAATAAACATAGTTAATGTTTAAAGATGCAAAGCTATGTTGCTCAGATGCTACTAAAACATGAACTATAAAAAGTAGCTAAAAGTAATTGTAAACATTGGCTATTGAGAAATGGAAATAATTTTCCAATAAGCAAAAACGTAGCAAGCCGAGTTTGGTTCGCACTGCCCACTGTGAATAGCACCATCTCACTCTGGCGTGCTCTGCGCCTGCGCATTGCCACCGCGGCGACACCTTGCACGCAGCGTTGCCACCTTGCACACGGCCCACGTAGACGCGACAGACAGTCTGGTTAAAGAAATTAGTATGTCTTATTGGATAAAATATGGAAAGAAATTTCTTGTTAGACAAAAATAGTTGCTCAGTTAATCTGAGGTAATCCGTAATGGGTGCCGTCTGCCGTCTAAAAATATATGTCATAACGAACTACCTTGAAATTAGCTCAAAGATTAGTGAACTTTTGTTCATCTGTCGGTTTGTGATAAGCTTGTTTTTGGTTTTCATCCGTATGTAGATTAAATCTACGTGCAGATTGTTGGTTTCTGTCAGTTTCGACTTGATGATATTGAGATTTTAAAGATGAGTAAAAGCAGGGAAGAGGTAAAAGCAGAAATTAAAGTTTTTCATTACATGGTCATAAAAATGAATTTACAATCGAAACACTTAAAACTTCTTTTATGTTAATTGAAAGGTTGTCAAAAGACCTAATCCTTTGACCTCTGCTGTGGTAGGCACATCTTACTCCAGTATTTTTGGGTTTTGTGTGTGTGGGGAAATGTTGCGTGCTTATTCAAATTTCTGTTGTGCTATTTATTTAAATCATGAGCATTAAAACTAGTGGAACACATGGAGCAGAAAGTCATCGTCATGTTAATTATGATCATAAATTTCGTTGACTGTCTGTGGGTGTGGGGGTGTATCATCCGTCATTATCTCGCAGAAGGTTGGAGCAGGATAGCCTTCATTCTGCCTTCTCTTGCCAAAAGAAGAAAAAAAATAATAACAAAAGTCAAGTTACTTTTTTTTTCGGTTTATTCCAAAACGGAATTCTTTTTGCCATTTATCGGGTTTTTCAACTATCTGCTCAAGTGTTTTTGCCATGTTTCGTTATTTGCATTGTTTTATGATATTTTGGCGGCTGTTTGTTAGTTATTATGTTGCTTTCGACCTTCGCCGCAAAAGCAGCGAAAAATATATGTCAAAAATAATTTGCACTTGAGTCGTCTATTTCCCTATAGCCGTTTTTTTTATACATACATATATATTTTTTTTAACGGATCATAACAAGCGCTTGCCAACACGTTTTCGCGCAACCAAACTAAACGCAAATTAAGTAAGCCAGCAGGGAAATTACAGTAAACACTGGAGAAAAGGCTAACAAATAAAGCGACGTTTCTTCCTCTTTTATCATTATTTTATAACACCATTGATCTTTTGCAAAGAATTTGTATATTAATTACTTTAATTGAATACTAATTAATGGAGTCAAGTTCATGATCGAGTTGAAAGCTTTCTTTCTTTTTTGGGTTCAACGAAATCTTTAATTAGCGGGGCTTTACTTTATCACTATTTAGTGGTTTCCTCTTAAATTTGTTTTTTGTATAAACTTTTTTTTTTCATAAACGATTGACAACCTCATGCTGTCTTTTGCGATTGCGCAGCTCCCTTTGTCTGCCATCTCTTTTTGGGGAGGCAAAAAGTGCCGTTATGTAAAAATTCAGGCAAAAGCTTCCACAAAAAAAAACATCAAATCCATAGACCCAAGAAATATCGAAACACAAACACAACAATGGGACGGCAGCCAGCATCAGCACAGTCAGAGCCAAGGTATTGTGACCAACTCCTCCAGCCGTAGACTTACCAGATTTACCTGCCCCGAAGCATCGAAAATCAGGTAACAACAGAAGTGGTAATAACGATTCAGCGATTCCCGATATGTGTGCCAATCTCCATGCAGACGTGCTGGTATTTTTTGTGGTCCACAGTGAATGCCCATTAATTAAGCCAACTGTGGTTGAGAGAAATATTTGAAATATAATAATTTGGTTATGTTTTCTTAGTAATTGTCTTAACAATGATTAAGTAGGGTTCTCTTTTAGGGGCTAAAACATAACTAAAATAAGATATATTAAATATTTTTTCAAAATTGTACATCCATTGTGATCGAATACCCACTGTATTTGGTAAAATTCCCGATTTGAAGCAATGAATTTACAGTTTCGACAATAATGTCGGCTTGTTTGTTGTTGTTAGCTGTTTGCTGTTTGCTGTTTCTTTAGCCAGTTTTCTTTCCTTATTTGTAGGAGTTTTGGCCGTTCCTCATATGTATATAGATAGATATCTATGTATCTTTTCAGTCATTCAACAGCAATTGCAGACACATATAGTTTTTGTTTTTTGTATTATTGCTCGGAACTGAAGGAGTTTCGTCTGTTTCCATTTCCATTTCAATTTCAATTTGAGTCTCGGTTTCGGTTTCGGTTTCTTGCGGCTGTTGAAATCCAAAACGGCTCAAATATTGCGTTGAAAACACTTTTTATTGGAGCACTTGTGAATGCTACTGGGAATGTATAGTTCGTTTATTTCAGCCAATAGCAACTGAAACAACAATGGTATTAGTACACTGTTAGATATTAGAAAAATCAATTTGAAAAATCAAATTGAATTTTTAAGTGATTTAATCGAGGAATTAAACTTGGCATTTAAATTTGTTTGCATATCAAAATGAGTTAGCTTAAAGGTCAGTGCTTTTGGTTCTAACAAGAAATCATTTCATTGAGTTTCGAAATGAAAAACAAGGCAAGATATTGGCATTAGTTTTTCCAAGTGCAGTGGCAGCATACAGCAGCAGTTGCTGAATAAATTATGTTAATGAGTTGGGAGCCAGCAGGGGCTTTCGTGGGGCGGCTAAAAACTCAGGGGAATTGTGTTTCATAATTTCATTTTGCCGCTGCTTTTTCCGTTTGTTTCATATTTCCACTTTGCTTGACTCTATTTCATCTAGCCGCCCATTTAACCCACTACTCTTGCACTACAAAAGCGGTAAAAATAATAGGACTGTTAATGTTGGAAATCAGTTTACAAGATGTTTTAGTTTGTAAAACACTGTAGTACAAATTTTGTGGCTTTATTACCAATAACTCATCTTATAACTTATAAATTTCAATTATTAAATAATAGAAAAACTTGCAATTTCTTTATAATAAAACCGAAACTAAACCGAATCCTATTTTTCTGACTGCATTTGTAAATGCGATAAAGTTTCATTGTTCTGAAATCTTAAAATTGTGCTCGATCGGAGTGCGTCTTTTGGCTGATTGAAGAAATCGTGGAAATTCTTATCGTAATGCCCTCTTGTATTTCCCCCTCAGGGTTTCTATTTTCCTCTTCCTGCCACTGTGCATTGCGGTTATTGTAGTGCTCTATCAGAGTTCCACTGTATTTTCCACTTGGCGATAAAAAGGGAAATTGAGTTCGAGTCGGGGCGACACTTGGGAGTTACATTATTACATTAGCATTACCACTAATTGTGGCAAGCAGACAGGTAAATGCATTTTGAAATTACTACCGGCATACAGTGGTAGCTCGATAAGGGAAATGTTTAAACTATGGCTTGGTCTACATAACAGCTAAAAAAATATTAGAGAAAAGGGAAAACTTATTTAAGGTTTAAGGTCTTGCGAGCAAAAAACTGAAAGATAAATGAAAATATCAAAAAATAATATTGCTATATAGTTATTGAATTTCCTAACAATTACCATCTAATCCAATGCCTACTGTAGCTGACGTCACACCATTGCCAAGGGCTCAATTGCAGTGCGTCGGAACGAGATAGCCAATGAGTAAACAATTCAAATTGGGTTAATGAGAGTTGGCCAACTCAGGGCTTGGTTCTATAAGTGTGTATGTATGTATGTGTTCGTGTGTATCTGTGTACTATACAAGTGGGTGGTGTTCGTGGGCGTGGCATTCATGAATTTTTGATGATTGGGCCTTAAATTACATTGGGGACAAAATGCGGAGCACAGCGACTGGCTGTGATATTAGGAAAGATTCTCAAACGGGTTAGTTGCTTATTAATTCACAAATTATATTCCAAAAATCGTGATCAAAGGCTATCAAGTAGATAACTAAACAAAGCCTGCTTCACAAATATAAAAAAGATATTAATAAAAATGTATAAAATAGAACCAGATAAATGTCAAACAAAGATATGTGACTTTTCCCTCTACTCTCTAATCTGCTGGAGTCTGTGGCATGGCGGAATGTGCCTTATAACCATGGCTGCCACTGTACCGAATGGGGCATTTGGCTCGAGGGCGTGACTCGAGATGCATTAAAAAATGCAAATGCAAATGCTAAGAAATGCAGATGCAAATTGCAAAGTATGTGTGCGTGCGCAAATTAGCAAGCCAACAAATGAACTCCGCTAAATGCTGTCGTGCCCGGCGGTGGTCACCCATGTATTATTCATTTTGTCCGGCAAAAAAAAAACACAAAACTAAAAAAAAAACAAACAAAAATCGGGAAACAAAACAAAATAAAACCAAATCGAATAAAAAAATAAAAAAAACAGCGAATGAGCAAAATTGTGATTTGTTCGAAACTCTGTCATTAGCTAAAGCATTCACCATCAGGTTTCTGACTAATCGCCTGGTACAGTGGGGTCCATTTAAATTGGTCATACGCACGATACTAGATGCGAGTGAAAAAGAAGAGGATGTGGAACAGATGGCACTGCGGTCGTCGTGGCAGTTAAATATATTAAACAAGCCGCAGAGATAAAATAAAAAATAACATTGCAATGAGGCACGTTCTTTTTCACGAATTTCCAATGCTCTCTTTTGTAAAGAATATAAGTTGTTTAAAGTTCAAATTAAGATGCTAAACTGGTTTAGAAAAGATATATATATTTACCATACAGAATTCGGTCAAAGATACATTTTCGAAAAGCATAGTGAAAGGGAGAGGTAAACAAGTTTTTGGAATATATTTAAGGCCCATTTGAAATGCCAAGATGAGTCAGAAAGAGTCTTACCTGTGCGACAAAGCGAATGTTTGGCATTAAATACCCAGAAAATAATCGGAAATAGCGATGGTGTTTTTATATTTTCCATCTGTGGGTTGTGCCACCGTCTACTAACGGTTGTGTGCATATATAATGCTAAAGCCATGAGTCGGCTTGGAGTTTTTTTTTCTTTATAATATTTCTTAGCAAGTCTCATGAAAGCCGCCGACTGCGAACAACAAGAAGCAGTAGAAGAAGGCGAAATGTGAAGAACTTTTTATGAATGAATTAGACTGGAAATAGTGCAGAAATATCTACCAGCACACATATATGCTGGCCATATACATATGCTCATGTATATATCCATTTTTATATGCCTCTGCACTCGAGCTTAAGGCTGTAGAAACTTGAGAGGTCTTAGAACCCTCAGTGGGCGTTAATAATTAAGGGGCCAGCTAGCTCATAGACCATGCAAAAAATTATATATATATAATTTTTTAGCCTCTGTGTCATGGAGCGGTTTCAATCATTTAAGCTGGAAAACTTTATTTGCTTTTGTTTTTCGTTTTCCGTCTTATTAAGATCCATTAACTAGCTTTCAGAGGGCTATCTTTTGAATGGCCTGGCTAGCAGTATGTTAACATCTGCTAACAGACTGTAACAACAATTAGTTATCGTTATTCTCTCGATTATATATATACACTTGTCTGCTGGCATTATTTTTGCTCGATTTGTTGCTGTCGCAATTATCTTTGCCTCGAGTTGATAGCGTCAGTGGAACAATGTTACTGAATTGCCAATTCAGCACAAAAACAAAAACAAAGAGACAAAGAGAGACAAAGTACAGTGGTATCTAGATAAAGATGAAGTTTAAAATAAATATAGTTTTATATCTTTTTCTAGTTTGGTTTTGTTGGTTAAACTGAGAAATCATCACAAATTGCCAGAAATAGATTCTTATTAACCCTTAAAAGTTGTAAAACTTTGTAATGCTTTCTATTATTAACATAAATATATATATCTAAGATAATAATTTAATAAAATTCAAATCATTAAATAGCTTTGTAAATATTAATAGAAATAAAACTTAACTACATATTTTTGTCACATAAATTTCGGCAGCCTAAAAGTATGAAAACTTTAGTGGGCAGTCAATTTATCGACACACATACTTATCGATTTTCATTGATCGGAAATCAGGTTAAATTTGCTCGTGTTTCACTTTTGTGACGTCAACAAAAACTTTTGACAGCAAGTGTCCCCAATTTTCTTTTCCTATTTTTCATTCCACGATATAAACGAAGTAACGTCTGGCCTAAAAGTATACCCCGAAATCGTAGATATTTCTAACACCTTAAGTGCCCTATGTATGTGTGTGTGTGTGTGGATTGATAAGAGGTAAAGGTGTTATCAATGGATCCACAGTAGACGCGTCTACATAAGCGGTTATGAACCAAATATATTAATGGAAACCTCTCTGGTACACTGACTATCAGCCATACCCTTTTTGTCACTGGCTCTATCTTCGATTTTATTACCATTTTCGAATGTCATTTTATATAAAACGTTTTATTCGATCAGCTTGTTTGAGTACCTGTCAAAGATAATCCCAAGTCTGATGTGGAGGGAGAGAAAAATGAAAAGTTAGTACTGAAAATATATCTGTAGAAGCTTTTCCTTTGGAAAACTTTGTTATTTATGCAGTAAACTATGATCTCTCGTTGAACTTTGTTTATGATAACACCTATCACTATCATTACCATACAAATATAGTTTCTAGGTGTTAATTTTCCATTCTGCTGGGTAATCGTAATCCCTTGCAAGCGGTATTTATTAATTTATTTTTTATTCAGGGTTAATCTTGGCCAATCGGTGTTTGTATTAACACAATTATGAAGTCCCCACTTGAACATCGACCAGGTGCGATTCCATTTGCCTTCGTGTAGGTGATTTGAAGGCCCCTCAAGGTCCCAGTTTGTAGTTGTTGTTGTTGTTTTTCTGATATCGATAAAGATCGGCATGCAACCGGATGAGCGAAGACCGCGGATTCGCCACCTTTTTTTTTATTGTATGTTTGTGGATTTGCAAAAGCTTATTTTTGGTTTAACAAAGTTAAAAAAAAGAAACAAGTAAGAAAATCGTTTCCACGGCAACAAAACACCTGCCAAATACCAAGTAGCACTTGTACCCTCATAATCTCTGGCCACCGTCTTTTTATAACATTTATTTGTTTTATTCGTCTACGTAAGGGTCCTTATAATAACTAACACTATCGACCGATTAGGAAAAAAAAGAAAAGAAATGTTATTAGAAACCAACTTAGGCAACTACTTAAGTGCATAATGTGAAGTTTTTTGTGTTTTTTGTGCTTTTTGATACATGGGCGGATGGAAAACTTACAGATTGCGATTCAGAACTATGAGAATGGGTGATTTGACTAACAATAGAAACAGAGATAACAGCATTTAGATGAATTTTAGTAGCTAATAATGTCTATTGAAAAATAGTTCTTAACTTATATAGAAAGAGTATGATTTCTATAGAAAGAAGGTCTGAAGAATGTCTATGGATTAGCAAGGACAGCTCAAACTTGCATTTAAAATATGATTTAACAGTTTTTTAAGAATATTTTTTAATTCAGTAAAAGAGCTTCCTACAAAAATAACTGGTTATAAACTACAAAAAAAGAAGCGACATTCACTGAATGTAGTTAGTTTAACAATTAGTTTAGGCCAATGGATAAGATCACTACTACTGACCACTGGTGGTCATCACATTGATCAGGCCGGGCATAACTTCCGCCTGAATGGGTCCATAATCCACCCGTTCGCCATCCACAACCAGAATGCCATCAGAACTGTTAGGTTCGATACGGAATGCCTGGCAGGCCACCACTTTAATATAGGGATCCTCACCGATGGGCAGATGGGTGCCAGTATTCAGGCTTAGCATGAAATTGAGCAACTGATGGCGACTCACGCCACTTCGGATGATTACCAGGTAGATAAGGCCATCGTCTAGACGGGATTCTGGGGCAAAGAACACGTCGGAGGAGAGATGAGTAGTGTAGGCGGCATGGACCATCACAAAGTCACCATCCTCGCAGACCCAGCCATCGGTACCTTGAAGCGGCACCTGCAGTCCCGGAATCGTACCCGTTGGTACCTTCTCCGTAAACTCCGCATTGGCTGCCTCGATGCGCTGACTTAAACTCATTCGACTGCGATTGGAACGCAGACTTGGTCCTCCCAGAGAGTAATATGCCGTTCTGCGGGACATGGCCGAGTGCCAGCTGTCGACGTGCTGTCGATAAACCGAACGATCCAGGGATATAGCATCGGCAAACTGTTCTCCATCCGGATCCGCCTCATCTTCCTCGGGTAAATCCCGAAACTCGCCAGCATTCAGTGGCAGTGAGGAGCGTATTGATGATGATGGCATCTTCTCCCCTTGTGGCATCTCTCGAGCTTCTTTGGCTGTCTCCACGGGTGGCTCCTGATCTTTCCTGCTCTTGGGCAGTAGGTAAGACACCCTGCCCTTGTAGGTCCTCAGTGTGATTAACCGCTTGATGGCCCACAGTGTAAATCTCTGTGCTCCGATCGATCTCAGCCGCTCACTTTCTATATCGATATCGGCTATTAAGCCCCAACCCACCGACAGAAAGGAGTACATCACAAAGTGCTTATCCCTAGGCGCCAGCTCCACTCTAACCACATCCATGGGTGTACTTTTGCCGGCTATGCAAGTCAAGGTGGCATGGAGTATGGGCTTGGGTTCATAGGGTTCGTTGCAATGATGGGCCACACTCTTGGCCAGACCATTGCCAGAGCCGCATGGTATGATGCCAAGTGGCAATTCCCTGCAAGCTCTGCGCCAATCCATGCGTTCCATAAGGCCATTCAATACTTCGTAAAACAGGCCATCGCCGGAGGCCACAACAATGCCAGAATAGCGTTCCAGGAGATCCTTCCTGGTTCGCACAAACTCCTTGGCATACTGTGGATGAGTGGTGATCTGTAGATCATATTGAGCCTCGGCTTCTGTCAGCAAGGGGGCAACTTGTTTCTGGAACAGCTCACGTCCCTTCCCCGAACCCGACTTGGGATTCAGCAAGATGAGCAATTGCTTGCCACAATCGGCGGGTGAAGCACTGCCATTGCCACGCTTGTGCTTACGAATCGTGTGATGCCACTGCTCTGCGGTCTGTAGATTGACACTATAGTCATTGCTCGATCGGAATCGTAGAATCCTGAGGGTTTGAACTCGTCTCAGTGGTTTTTCCTTCTTCAAATACGCATAGATGTACAGATAGGCGCTATTGTCGCTATCTGGTTCGGGTTCCGTCTCCTGACCCGGGACATTTGGATTCCGGCAGGAGTTGAGACCACCTCTGGCTCTCTTTTTCAAGCGTGGTCCATACCGCGACCCAATGATATCATCAATCCTTATCAACTGCTCGTTGATATGATCATCTTCGTCCGTTTCACGACGCAGGTAAACTCCTTCCGGGCAAAGTTTAACCTGGATTTTAATGCTCTGCTTGCGACGGCTGTTGTCCACGAAGAAGATCTCGCTGAGTTCGGTGGTCGTGCCAGCGCCCATTTCCGTATCCGAAGTGGGCGTGGAGGGTTCCTGCTGCTGTCCACCATTACCCAGCAGATCGTCTGCTGTGTTGGCCGTCATGTTAGCTCGTTTTTTCCCAGCGCTTCTTTTTGACCTTGTCGTTGTCGTCTTCACATGCAAAAAATAAAAAGACACAAAAACAAAAAATAAAAGAAATTTGCGAAAAAAATGTATAATAATTGCCAACTTGAAAACTCGTTTATTTCGGTGTTTCTTTTTTTGTATTTTTGTTACTAATATTATTGCGTTGGCTTTTACTATTATTAGTTTGGTCTCATCTATGCCAAATTGGAGTTTGAAAACTGGTTTTCGTCTTAGTAAATTATATACAATTATTTCTATTTGCTTTCGATGTGTGTCGAAAATTTCAAAGCTTGGCGTGCGATTTCACTTCAAGGCAAAAATGAAATAAATAAAAACTTTTCCATTTGCGTTATTTAAGTCGTATTAAACCCGTTAATGATTGAGTTCCTTTCTTAGAATTTTGCCGAATTCGTTTTCTTTGTTTTGTCAATTTCTTTGTTTTACTCAGTTTTTGAGAACAAAAAATAAAAAACAAGACAATGATAAACGAAATATTTTTAAGCTGTTGTTAGTGTTGTAAGCGTTGGTTTATTGCTCATAGCTTAGGAAAGTTTCTCAGTCACTTTTAGCTTGTTATCAGCAGCCACAGAAAACATATGTTCCATTTTTTTTTTATTACTTTGTAAGTCATCTAGAATTTTATTGGTTATTAATTGCTGGAATATGTCGACTACTTGTTGTGGTGTTTTTAAAATTAAATTTGTATTTGTCATAAAAATTAAGTTTATGGCCTTTTAAGAACATAGTTTGATTATTATATTTAGTAATTATTAGTTAGTCGTTCTTGTTATGATTAAATTAAGAGTTATTTTGTTGTTTTTTTTTTTCTCTTGATAACTCTGCTCGTCATTGCCGATTAATATTTACTATTTTTGTTTGGCATTACATTTAATTGTTTGTCCACATGCGATCGTCGCTGTTCACCACTGTTAAGTCTGCGTTATAAATTTATATGAAAAGATATAGGTTTATATAGTACGATCCGATACGATCCAATCCGATCCGGGTTGCGATCGCTTCCTGTGCGCTTGACACGACAATTCGTACTGAAACTCTGAATCGCGAGGGTGAACTAACCTTATTTTCAATGGAGATTTGGTTTTACGATTGCACTGTTGTTGTTGGTGTTGTTGCTGTTGCTGGTTTTGCTTTTGGTTTTGACTTTGCTTTTACTTTCTCACATACACAAAGCCAGCAGCAACAACACCCCACACACACACACTTGCTATTTCTTTCTGTACTCTTTCGTATGTATTTTCATGTCGAAATCTAATCAACACGTATCGTATCGATGAGATATTACCGTTCGTTGGCTGGTTGGCTGCCTTTGCCAGTTGTCTTTATCTTTGTGCCACCTTTTTCTGCTTTTATTTTGGTGTTTACTTGTATTTGATTTACTTTTTATGCTGAGTTTCGCTCAGTGTAGGACTGCAATTGAACAATTTGCCTTTGACTTTGGAACGAGAGCTTTTTGGCATTGCCTTTCGTTAAATGTGTGAGAATATTGCATTCTTTCATTCTCTGGAGTACAGTGGGTAGTCGATAAGATGGATTGTGTGTTGGTAAAAGAAAAAAGTGAATATTTATGAATTATAATAATAATATTAAAATATATTATAGAGAAGGCTAAAAAGGCTTAGGAATTCTATTATTTTCTCTAAAGAGTATAGATATTAGTTCACACTTTCGTATGCCCACTGTAATGCTAGCCTTCTGCATGCAATAAAAATGTAAATTTCGAATATGAAAAGCCCAACTATAGGAAGCACTGTACACATGCAATGCCCAATGTACCGACAATGCAATTGTTTGCTTACATCGACATTAAAACGCCACTTAACCCCATCAGTAGTGGTCGTAACAGTGTGTGTTTTCTATTGTTTTAATCGATCATTTCGGGGTGGGATAAGTGAGTAATAAAACAGTGGGTAGGCATGTGGTATGGGGGATATATTGCGGCACCTGTTGCGTATACGTCATGTTGGTCTTCAGGTCTTATCGCCCAACAACATGTGCCCTAATGATAGTGATTCATTTGATCACAATTCGCACGAAAATGTCACATTTAATACTCACACTCCCCGCATAAATGATGTTTGGCCAAGAAATCAAACCCGAAAGTAAGCATTTCAGCAGAATCATAAGGCAGGTGTTTGCTTGGGTTCAACTTGATATGGCTTGTCAGTTTACGGTTTTAAGGGCTTGCCATAAATAAATCGCAATTTCTTGAGAATAATCAAATTCTGATGGCAGGTGCACAGAGTCTATACAGCTCTTCTGTTTTGGCTTTGAAACTGCGAACGCGTTTGTTGATATCAGTAAACCAAATAAAGATTGCAAGGCAGTGGTCATTCTTGGTCAAATATGTATATATTACAGTGGTTACTCGGAAAGTGTTAAAGTGTTAATTATCTCAAAATTTGTTTACAAATTTCAAGTCTTTGTGTCATTGTTTACAAGTTTTTTTTATCTGAAATTAAGGAAATGTTTTATTTTTACAATATTATCTGGCAAATTAGTAAGTAATGTACATATATACTAGCTTTTATTGCCTTTTTAGGCTAAAAAATATTATTTCTGAATCACAAATGAATGCTCTTATTAGCTCTTCTTCTTTGATACAAATTTGGGCTAAAAAAAAACCCCTAAAAATTCCAAATAATAACTTAATAATATTTCCTAAGCTCACACCAAACCCTAACTTTTAAAAAAGCCTTTAAAATGGCCAATAAAAATTTGGTTTTTTCTACTTCTACTTAAACACACCTAAGAGCCCATCAAGTATACGCAGTGTTGACGCAAGAGACTTACCTACCTGCGTTTTACTGTAGTTAAATCGAGAGATACGCCTTGTAAAATACGCCTTGTAGACACGCCAAAATGGAATTTTTAATGGATTTTAAACGCTGTTTCTGACTGATTCATGAAAGGTTTCTGGCGTTCGCACCTAAAGTGAATCAGACCATTAAGGCAAGACCAAACAGCCGAGCTCTTTGTTTAATTATAACTCGATTATTGGTCTTAAAAACTTTGATTTATCATTTGAAAAAAAAAGGGAGCCACTCAAAAGCTTACCACTTACACTGTACCTATATATATGTCTATATATCTATATCTATATCTGTATAAAGACAAACATATGAATGCACTTGCTCACGAAAAGCCGTATATTCCATTGGCTTGTTTATCGTTTCCTGACCTACATATCTGTTTGAATTTACTTTGCCTTTCCATTGTATTGAGAGCGGCCAGAGCAGGAGCCACTTTCTGGTAGAGGGGAGCAGGGGGTGGGGGGCATTGTCTGGCCAGAGGAATCCATTAGATAATGGCCAGACGTAGCAGACACACAAACCCAAAGGCGGCTCAGAGTGCCTCCAGATATAGACAGCTGTTTCAGATGGGGTTAATGCCAGCTGATGGACTACAAGTGTATCCATTAAGCGAATGTGTAAAATGGAAATTAAACTACTAATGGGGGGGATAATTACAAAGTTTCTTAAGTATTTAAACTTAAAATGAATAGTTTAACTATTTTTTTTGTTTTATTTTCACAACTCACTAAGTGCAGTCTGGTTACCCAAAGTAATCTTTGGAAAACGAAAGTGATATTTTTATAGATGACAGCCTTGCTTATCAGCAAGAAAGTTAAATTTTGATCCGTTTAGATAAGATCATTCTAGGTGTCAGAATCATATATGTATGTGCCTTTTGAGGGAATAAAAGTTGCTAGAATGTAATGTTAGGAAATCAATTTTTCACTTTTCCTACAATCAGTAAAGTTGGATTATTGGAAAAATCAACTTTAGATTATTAGGAAACTGATAAAAAGTAAGAACATACCGCAGTGTTTTACTGCATTGAAATCAAACTGATTGATTGGTTAAATTAAATCCAAATACGGAATGTGAAACTTATCAGTAAAAGAGAAGCCTGAGACTGGCTGACGAACAGCAAGGCTAAATTATTAACAATCTAATAAAAACAATATTGCGTCTTCTATTGCTTTCTTCCCGTGCCCAACAATCTATTCCTCTCCAAATTGATAACTTCTTTGTTTTTATTTTCATTTTTTTTTTTTTTTTTTTTAACAAGTTTGAACTTCCTTTTGGATTTATTTTGTTTTTTTCCCCAGAGAGAGAGACAGGCAGAGGCAGAGGCAGAGAGCTAGAAAAGTCAGAAAGTGTTGATAAAAAATGTATGGGGTTCTCTTTGGTTTTGGTTTTTAGTTTACAAATACAGTAAGATCACAGTAATCATGTGCAGTTGAAGTGTTTTAAATAAGTTGAAGAAATTCGAATTTTTCAAATGATTTTTAGAGTGAAAAATTTTTGAGTTTGTTAAAATATTTTAATTAAAAAAGATCAAGAAGGTTTTCAAAACTTGTGAATGGAAATATAACTCCAAATTAAACCTATAAATTCTAGATTTTTATTAGTTCTCATAATTACCTACAAATCCCTTACTTTTCTATGGTTTCCAGTTAGTTTTTTATGGTTAATGAGAGTGAAAAAGAAGAAAGTTAAACTTGATCTAGTAAAGTTGAGTATACCCGTTGGGAAGAAATTGAGGGCCAAGGCAATCAGCAGAAAGCCCTGACAGCTTTTTCCATTGTTCGGTTGCAGGTCCGCCCCCTCGCCGCCCCCCTTTATAAGCACGGGTTTTGTAGGGCGCACGAATAATAAACAAAACAAGAGAAAAACAAAAACACAGAGGCTGGCAAACAGACTGAAATACTTTGCACTCGCTTCTATTTGTTTTAGATATATATGTACTATATACAGATATATATATTTTGTAGTATTTCCATTATGTGGCACATGCCAGATCTCGATGGGGAGTTCATTTCACTGGTCCCTCGAATTCCGGTAACTTCAGTTTCGCTATCAACCATTGAAGTCTCTTAGTTAATGTTCTACTAACTGATAAGTTTTAAACTCTATTTCTTACAGTGTCTGCGAATTGGGAGCATCATGTGGCGGTTTTAGAAGAACTGCCAAAGGACTAAAAACACTGCTTATTGAGAGGAATATTAGAACAAGATCTTGTTGTTGGCAAGGTTAAGCTTAGAGGGCCTGAAGATCCAGACGAGAAGAAGAGTATAGACTGAGGAAACGGAGCCGCGTCGTCGTTCTGCGTCAGAAGATGACCCTGACCACAACGACCACTGCCTCATCAGCCGAGAGCCAAGCGAAAATGGATGTGGTGAAGGGCGGAGCACTACCCGGTGAAGAGAATCTGCCCACCTCCGAGATGGATCTGCTGGCCAAGCTGGAGGCGGCCAACAAGCTCATCGAGAGCGATGCCAAGTCCCTTAACTCTCTCCACTCCACGCACAGTCGCAAGAACTCGGACACGAGTCAGATTAGCCTAACGTCGAGTAAGTATTAGTTTAGGTTTTAGGTTTACTTTTTAGGTAGATTTTCTTATTAGATTCCCACATTATCGAATTGATAAAAGCAACCCACAAACTAAATTTCATAATATATAGAGTTAACATAAACAAAATCGCCGTGTAATCATTCTATAGCAAAATCCACTTTAAGAGATATTATCGATAGGGGATTTCATGTGATAACTAAGTAAATGCTGACTGCTGGCAGTGACTAATATTAAATCAGTTTCTGACCAAAATCGATGACTAAAACAACGCGCAGCTCAAAAATAGATAAATAAATTTGATTTCAGTTCGTGAAGAAAGAGTTGTTATGCCTTATTGGGGTAGTTCTCGTTTTTGACAAAAGTTAAATGGGTAACTAACTGATATGGTTTTCCTTACAGGTGGAAACTCGGTGGCCGAAGAGGACATCTGGACGACGTGGGCCACCATCCTGAATGACTGGGAGGGAGCTCTCAAGCGAAAGAATCCCTGCGTCAATGAGCTAGTGCGTCGTGGTATTCCCCATCACTTCCGAGCGATCGTCTGGCAGCAGCTGAGTGGAGCGGCCGAGGCGGACAAGAAGCAGTATGCGGAGTACATTAAGGCCACGAGTGCCTGCGAGAAGGTGATCAGGCGGGACATTGCCCGTACGTATCCCGAGGTGGAGTTCTTCAAGGAGAAGGATGGTCCCGGGCAGGAGGCACTCTTCAATGTGATCAAGGCATATTCCTTGCACGATCGAGAGGTTGGCTATTGCCAGGGTTCGGGCTTCATTGTGGGTCTGCTGCTGATGCAAATGCCCGAGGAGGAGGCCTTCGCCGTGCTCGTGCAGATCATGCAACAGCATCGAATGCGTCACATGTTCAAGCCCTCCATGTCGGAGCTGGGCCTGTGCATGTACCAGCTGGAGAATCTGGTGCAGGAGCAGATACCCGACATGCACATTCACTTCCAGCAGCAGGGCTTCCAAACGACCATGTACGCCTCCAGTTGGTTCCTCACCCTGTACACGACCACTCTGAATGTCAATCTAAGTTGTCGCATCATGGACGTCTTCCTCAGCGAGGGCATGGAGTTCATATTCAAGGTAGCTCTGGCCCTGCTTCTCACTGGGAAGGAAACGCTGCTCTGCCTGGACATGGAGGCCATGCTTAAGTTCTTCCAAAAGGAGCTGCCCGGTCGTGTGGAGGCCGATGTCGAGGGCTTCTTTAATTTGGCCTACTCCCTTAAGCTGAATACCAAGCGGATGAAGAAGATGGAGAAGGAGTACCAGGACCTCAAGAAGAAGGAGCAGGAGGAGATGGCTGAGCTGCGGCGACTGAGACGCGAGAACTGCCTGCTGAAGCAGCGGAATGAGCTGCTGGAGGCTGAGAGCGCTGAACTGGCCGATCGCCTGGTGCGTGGCCAGGTGTCCAGAGCTGAGGAGGAGGAAACTAGGTGAGGAAGGGGGATATGAAAGCCTATTTAAGGGGTTTTCCTTGGAGGAACTTAGCTGTGATTAGCTTATTTTCAAAACTCATTCAATGCAGTGACTATTTTAGGGAATTTTTTGAACTAAAAAACAACTTTAATGACTTTCTGATACTTTGTTTTTTCAAAAAACATTTAAAAACATAAAAATAACAAAGATAAAAGGCTATCTTCTGTATAAAAAATAACTTTAATGACGTCTAGAACTTATTTTTCCAATTTAAATATTTTTAGAATGTAAAATTTTTAAGAAATTCCAACTTAATCAGGCTTACTAATTGACAGTATCTAACGTCTTACTAATGGGAGATTTCTGAAACTTATTTTTCAGCTATGCCATTCAAACCGAGCTGATGCAGCTGCGGCGCTCTTACTTGGAGGTTTCCCACCAGCTGGAAAATGCCAATGAGGAGGTGCGCGGCTTGAGTCTGCGGCTGCAGGAGAATGTGAGTATAGATTTAGTGTGACCAAAGTCCATTAACAATCAAAGAAGCCCCTGTCTCGGTCATTTGTCCTGTAACTAAAACGGAATATGTTGCTAATCTTCTGTATTCTTTTCTATTTTATTTGATTTCTTATGGTTGTGGTGCTTCAAATTCAATACACACAAAAAATGTTCGCTTAAATCCGAAAAAAAACAAAAACAAAATCAATTTTCAAATCACAAACAGAATGTATCCATCGACAGCGTAAGTATCTTATAGGTTGCTCACGCAACTCAGCTTAGTAGTTTGAATCAAAGCAATGCCGTTCGGTTGATTTTTGCTTCTTGCATGTTTATGGTTTTGACGTAAAAATACATAAAAAAAAACAGAAAATAGAAAACCTAAATTTGTATCTTTAACCAGTAAGCCCAGAAATTGCTATAACCTATTGATTTTTGGCTTCTAAATATGCTAATCAGATTAAGTTGCTGTCTGCGTATGTAAAGAAGTCTAACCTAGGATAAGTACACCCATGTAGACGCATTCGTTTCATGGCTAACAACCTAACACACTCTGCATGCCCTAAACAAGTTAAGAATATTCGTAGGAACACCTTAAACTAATCTCGTTTCTTAACCCACATTCAGAACAACTCCCGGCAGTCGTCCATTGACGAGCTCTGCATGAAGGAGGAGGCTCTGAAGCAGCGCGACGAGATGGTCTCGTGTCTCCTAGAGGAGCTGGTGAAAGTACGCCAAGGTCTGGCCGAAAGTGAGGATCAGATTAGGAATCTCAAGGCCAAGGTGGAGGAGCTGGAGGAGGATAAGAAGACGCTGCGGGAGACGACGCCCGACAATTCAGTGGCCCATCTGCAGGACGAACTGATTGCTAGCAAACTTCGCGAGGCCGAGGCCTCACTCTCGCTCAAGGATCTCAAGCAGCGGGTGCAGGAGCTGAGTAGCCAGTGGCAGCGTCAGCTGGCCGAGAATCAGCGCAGCGAAAGTGAACGCACCACCAATGCTGTGGATTCCACACCCAAAAAGCTGCTGACCAACTTCTTTGACAGCTCGAAGAGTAGTGAGCATACCCAGAAGCTGGAGGAAGAGCTGATGACCACACGCATTCGGGAAATGGAAACGTTGACTGAGCTCAAGGAGCTAAGACTTAAGGTCATGGAGCTGGAGACACAGGTTCAGGTGTCCACCAATCAGTTGAGGCGGCAGGATGAGGAGCACAAGAAGCTCAAGGAGGAACTCGAGATGGCCGTGACCAGGGAGAAGGATATGTCGAACAAGGCGCGTGAGCAGCAGCACAGGTTCGTCTAGATTACTTAACTTGGTTACCCGTTTATATAATCCAAAACTAAAACCTTTTTCATAGATACTCCGATCTGGAATCTCGCATGAAGGATGAGCTGATGAATGTGAAAATCAAATTTACCGAGCAAAGCCAAACGGTGGCTGAACTGAAACAGGAAATTTCCCGACTAGAGACCAAGGTTAGAACTTCATTTTCCCAACCATTCCAACCCACTTTAAATCCTTTTCCTTTCCATTCACAGAACTCGGAGATGCTCGCCGAGGGTGAACTGCGCGCCAATCTGGATGACTCGGATAAGGTGCGCGACCTGCAGGACAGGCTGGCCGACATGAAGGCGGAGGTGAGCCAGACTGAAACAGTCCAGTTGCCCAGAGCATTTGCCACTAATCCCTCACTGCTTTTGGTTTCGGTTTCGTTTGTTTTTTGTTTTTCGTTTTTAAGTTCATTCAAATGCCAGCAGCAGCCGACATTCAATAACATTCTACACCCCAGCCACCCTACACCCCACTCACTCTTAAGCTGACTTAACCAAAGGCCAGATCCGAGTCATATTACCAATCTGGAGGAGCACGCTATAGCCTCCTGCAGGCGATTCTCACACCTTGAATTCTGTTTTGCTTGCCAGCTGAAAGTTGAGGGCAAAGCTGTTTGGTTTAGAAATGGAATTTAGCAGGAGGTTTCCTTGAATTTTGGGTTATCACAAAGTCAAAGAAGTCTCTTGCTAAAAAAGATATCTGCAACCTTTCAAAATCTTCAGATTTGCCTTGCAAGTTTCGAAAGTTTTATAAGTTTTGCTAGGCTGTGCAGTATAAACTTTTTGTTTTTGTTTGATTTTGATTTTTTGTGTTGATTTTCGAAACCCAAACCCATCTGCTGTAAGCCAAGATAATAATCTTGTATTTCTCATTGAATTTCTTTCTCACAAAAACAATGCCTTTGTTGGTTTCGCTGTTTAGTATCCCACGCCAATAACCAGCCCCGACACTGAGCCGTGGAAATGGATAAGCTAAACTAATTCTTAACACAAACTGAAAAACTGAAAATGAAAACCAAAACCAATTGAATGAAAAAAACGAAACTTAACGAGCAAAATTACTAAAACAAAAGAAAAAAAAACTAAAAATTAAACAAAAAAAAAAAGAAGATATTTAAAAGGCAAATTAGCGAAACCCAATTTGAAGACACAATTTATCCTCTAATCTCTCTCAAAGTACACAAAATCCCGAAACAAAAACCAAACTCAAGCAGCAGGCCAAGCTACCAACATACCCAGGTCTCTATGAAACTGCTAAAAAACCATTTCAGTAACTTTAACCTTTGTAGCGTTTGTTGACCTTCCCATAGTTTGCACGTTCTATATGGTCTTGCGAGATCTTTCGTCATAATTGCTATTGAATTTGCTAGTTTTGATATACTCCCAAAAACTGCATGATTCTAGTTTGTTTCTGGGCTGCCAATGTCATGGATATCATTTTTCTATGGTAAAAATGTAGTTTATGAAGTTTAAACAACTTTTATGACTAGCTTTATTTGATTTTTTATAATTATTTATAAATATTTTATAGCTTCTGAGAGGCTTCTTCATGTTTTTCTTACCATATTTACGAAGCTATCAAATATTTTGCCTCTAAATTAGTAGTTTTCTTATTTTTTTCTGATTGAAAATTGTAATTCCTGCATCTAAGATCGATTTGGTTTATATTTTCTAGTCTAAGTATCTAAGTATATCCAAAATTTATCATAGAAATTATTGGAAAGTTCATTTAATAGACCTACCATTAACAAGTGCATATCAATTCCCAACTTATGCAGTCTAGTGTAATTTCCCCTCTCAACTAGCAAAGCTTTTTGCTTTGAGCTTTGAGCTTATACCCCAACCATTTAACCGCTAAACATTCTAGTTCCGATCTAGTAGAACCTCTTTCCTATGCTTTCAGTTTAAGTCAATAATAAGGTCAATGACTCCCCACTGCCATTAGAACTTAGATTGCATCCGCCGTTAGATGTTGCCATGGAAAGTGCCTGATTTTCATCAATCTTCGCTGTTGTTTGTTTTGCATACTTGTAATGACATATTGTGATTGGTGATGACTAGTGATCACTAGTGATCAGTGATCGTTAATCGTTGATCTTGACATGACATCAGTTTGATGCTGTTTTGACACGAGCTCGCGTTGCGACCTTGCTTTGGTTTATTTATTTCGATTTTCTGAATGAAATGCGGGGAGTGTTTTCCTTTTCAGATCGCTGATTTATAGCAATGCATATTTTGTAATATTATTCATTTTCTGCACGCTTGCATGTCCACTTATCTAACAGACATATTCATAGCAGCTAATCGATAAGGTATTTAAGACACGTTCCCAAACACGAACACCTAATCAGATCTATTAGTAAGCGTATCTATGTTTTTCCTTGTTTGTAAATTACTGGGCCAAAACGATTAGGGCGGTGCTTTAAATGGTAGTTACAAGTTATAAAAAAGTTTCAAAGTGTTAAATTTGTATTCTAAAACTGTAAAACTGTTAAACTGTATTGATAATTTTATGTTTTTTAAAGAGCTTAAAAGCCAAACTCTGTAAACAGAATCTTTAACAATCTTTTTTCTCTTTTATAAACTAATAACTGTCTTTTTATAATCACCGCATGACCAAAATTGCTTTGGCCTTGTAATCGTTAAGCTTATTTCTAACTTATATCTTACCTAACTTAAAACTAATGACATCTCTTCGAACCATAGCTGACGGCGTTAAAGAGTCGCGGCAAATTCCCTGGCACCAAGCTGCGCAGCTCGTCGATTCAATCCATAGAATCCACCGAGATTGATTTCAATGATCTGAATATGGTGAGGCGTGGCAGTACAGAGCTATCTACATAACCTAGAGATCGGTCAGATCGGGCATATCCTAACCCATCAACAAGCACAGCCACAGCCACAGCCAGGAAAAAAGCTCAGAGAGTGAGAGTTGGAGGAAGGTGGAAGGTGGAGAGAAACCCAAACAGGACAGTACAGGATACACTCATGTATGATGTATATACATATATGGGGAAAAGAGCTAAAGCTGATATATATATATATATATATATTGGCAGGCCTGTGATCACAAAAAAGGAAAAAAGAGGAAGCGGAAGTGGAAGTAAAAAAGAGGAAAAGAGCAGAAGAGTTGCAATCCCATTACAATATTATTTATGTATAATATTCGTTTAAAGTTTACTATTACTATTATTATTACTATTATTATTACTATTACGATATGGATATTTTATGATAATTATTTTAAACTATTACTATTTTTTTTGGCAATAATTTTATTACTGTTATGTTTTGCTAAATCGAAACACACTCATATTTATTTATTTTAAAACTAATTCCTAATTTGAAACGATATTTTGTGAGAGTATTTTGTATTTTTTTTTCTATTCAAACACCTTTGTATATTATTCGATGGCAACTAATTGGGAGATCGGCACTTGGTTATCCCCTAGATTTATATATATACAAAAATATATATAGCACATATGCAATGCAATGAATTTTATGTAAACCCCCCTTAAAGAAAATATCCTCCCCGAACCTCACTTTTAATGTAAGTTTTAAGCGAATGAAAATTGTTCTTTGGCCAGGCGAGAAGAGTAGGGCAGAAACCTTTTTAAGCTCCCAGTTTTTAAGGTGCCTGGGGAAAACCAATTTGATTTGTATTATGATTTATGATACCCGTAGAATGATATTAACCGTTGTCGGGAATGAATATTTTGTAACGCTCGTAAAGTAAGCTAAACCAATCGAAAAACTAAAACTAAAACCAAGTGCGAAAGACAAAGTAACAAGCGTGGCCAAAAGCAGGGAGAACTGCAAGATGAGAAACTGAAAAAAAAAACACAAAAAACAAAAACAATTAAAAATATATAACTATTTAAAATAGTTTAAAACGATATGTGAAAGAACCATGAGAAGAAAGGGGGTTAACATGCCCCCCCTGTACTCTCTCCGTTTAAGAACGATATTACGATAAACGACTACGATATTCACACACTACTTACGATATTCTACTTAGTTAACCCGTAGCGCTTGTCTATAACTCTCAAAAAGCAGATAATGTATGATTTGTAAGATCTTGGCAGCTTGTCAACTTTCGAATGATGTAATAACTTTCTCCACGATTATTCAGGTTGAACCGTTTTCCATGTGCAATATGTTTTTTTTCATGTATATTATTTTTATATTTTAATTACTTTTTTTTTTGAATATCATTTTGTTAGGTTTGTTACTTACCGTGATTAAGAGCCGATGTTTAGCAATCGATGAACTTAATTTGTGTAATTCCATTGATTTGCTTTTCATGACAAACCGCTAGCAGAGAGAGAGAGTTAAGAAATCCATGTAATATGTTTCGATTAGCGTTTAAGAGATGGCCGAAACGTTGTCACAAAACTTTGTTATGTAAACACTAAGTATATGTAAAGCTTAAGTTTTGTTCCCGACTTTGGCAGACAAACTAGTATATACGAGGCTGCTGGGGGGAGGGCAGTATTAACAATCAGCTGAAGTTAACAGATTTATACAAATTAAAGAAAAACATTCCCAAGAAAGTGAAAATTGAACCAAGAGAGGAGTAAAGGAGTAAAGAGAAACCCCAACAGCCTCGAGTCTTAAGAAGTGTGTTTTGGCAAGTGTAGAGTGTAATTGCGTATTATGTTATTATGGCAAGCGAAGGCACAAATTATACGATATCTAAAAAATAGTTTATACAAAAATTGATACATGGCGAGAGAGGATTATTGTTGGCCAAAGTCTAGACTTGGCAGCGCTCGCATAGTTCGTGTGTGTTAACTGATTGACCAATAAGTGTGGAATTTTTGTGCGAATTACTGATCAAATAATTACCCCCACTTAAGTGACTCATATGAGCATTGGTATAATGAACTCCCCCCGCCCGCCATGTCAGTTCGATTTGATAAATGCGCAAAGACTTGGCCGTTTATCAAGGTGGCAATGACTTTGGCCCAGACAGAAACCAGACAGACGTTTGCGATTTGTTGACCCGCCCGAAACTCCTCCTTTCAAACCAAGTAATTAGCGGGCAAACACTCTCGCAGTATGGCATATATGCTAATATATATATAAACTTAATGCAAATAAATCAAGTTCAGCTTCCATTCAGCAAAGACAGTCTTCAGTGTTCATTTCGATTTGCACTTTTTAATTGCGTTTCTCGTTTCGATTTTTGATTTTTGATTTTTGATTGTTGATCATTGAGCAGAAAACCAACAGCAAACAGCAAACAGAAAACAGCAAACAAAATTCAAATCACAAAGAATGGAAAGTAGTTGAAACAGAAATAGTGTTATATACCTTACATATACAAACAGTATATATATATATATATATCCTTATATATATATATATAACTATATCAATATAACGATAAAACTGAAGAGCAGAGGAAAACTCGCAGGGCAAACACACAAAAGCATGAAAGAAAAAGAAAATTCAACTAAAACTACAAAAATCAATAAACTTAAACGGATATACAAAACGAAATCAAAGTTACAATTTTTAGTATTAAATAAATAAAAATGGAAAATAAAAACCAAACCGATTTTGATATTGGGAATTAATCAGGCAGCTTATCGGCCAAGGAAAAAACTCAACCCCATCAATGAACCTTCGCATTGAACTTCATGGTAATCTACAAATCAGTCTATATGGTAACTATATAGTATAGTATAGGCTATATAGCACGTGCTGATGACATCAGAGAAGGAAAGTATTTCGTTTAACTTTACCTTTAACTTAAAAATCCAAAGGGAAAATCTTAATTTCCAACTTAAGAGATTCTTAAAAGTTACTTTCCTTTTTTATATTGTGTATTTTTTTTTATTTTTTAGTGCATTTACTTAACTAGAGAGTATATGTATGTAGTTTAGGATTAAAGTTAATTATTTAATATCATTAACAAGTAGTGGGGGTAGGGGATTTTCTACTTTGGGGGAGGTCTCAGGGGGTGTTTTTGATACTAGAGCTTTATGTTTTATTCTTTAAAGATGGTGGGGATGTATTTTTTGGGTTCTTGCTCCTCTCTCTCTTGACCATTTTATCTATACTTTTGGTCAACACAAAAAAAATAAACTCACATACTAAAACCTAAATAACAGCAGCTAAAAAAAAAAAGAAAAAAATCTTGGGAAATATCAGTAGTTAGGGCTGCCTTAGGATTCTAGTTCTGGGCTTTGTGGGAAAATACGTTAGGTAAAAACTAAGCCTACGGTAATGCATATAACTTCGCGTTCGGTGTTCGGGATGTTCGTGGGTCAGTGGATCAGTGGATCAGTAGATCAATAGATCAATGGATCAAAGGTGGTTTAACAACAATCTATATAAATCGATAACAACGCTGGAGATATGGGAGACATGCTAGTGCAGCCCAAAATCCAAATCTATTCGTCCAGGCAGATGGTGCGCAAGATGGCCTCCACCACGGAGTACGGGTCACAGTTGGAGCTGGGTCGGCGATCCTCGAAGTAGCCCTTGCCATCATCGTTGACGCCACGGGGAATACGTATGCTGCATCCACGGTTGGCCACACCGGCACTGAAATCGTTGATGGAGCTCGTCTCGTGCTTTCCGGTCAGACGACGGGCATTGTCCTGACCCTGTTTGGGGTCATAGGCGCGAATGTGCCTCTCATGGCACTTTGACAACTTGGCCACGGCCTTCTCAATATCACGAATGCCGCCATCTTCACGCATCGCCTTGGTCGATACATTGGTATGGGCACCAGCGCCGTTCCAATCGCCAGGCATGGGCTTGGGGTCCAGAGTGGACACGATCTGTAAGTATGGAAGATTAATTTTAATATATTTTTCTTATTAACAGTAATAGAACTTACGCCAAACTCCTCAGAGATGCGGTGCAAGAGGAAACGGGCCATCCAGAGGTCATCACCAATGGAGATTCCCACGCAGGGTCCCACCTGGAATTCCCACTGGGCGGGCATCACCTCGGCATTGGTGCCGGACACCTTGATTCCGGCGTACAAGCAAGCGCGGTAATGGGCATCTACAATGTCACGGGCATAGACCTGAAAAAGGTTTGTAAAGAAAAAGGGTAAGTTTTGGGCTCCAAAAATGATCTCTATGAAAATATTAAGTATACGCCACATTGTCTTTTCAGAAACTAACCTTATTGGCACCAACGCCGCAGTAGTAGGGTCCCTGGGGTCCGGGGAAACCGTTCTTGGGCCAGCCAAGTGGATGACCATCAAAGTCAAGGAACGTGTACTCCTGCTCAATGCCAAACCAAGGCTCCTCATCGACACACTTGTTGGCCACCTCCAGGCAGGTCTTGCGCTTGTTGGTCTCTGTGGGAGTGCCATCGAACTTGTAGGTGTCGCACATTACCAGAATGTTGTTGCCGCGACGGAAGGGATCCTTGTAGATGGCCACCGGATACAGGTAAGTGTCCGAGTTCGAACCCTCGGCCTGGTAGCACGAGCTTCCATCGTAGTTCCAAACGGGCAGCTCTGTAATGGTAGAGGAAAATAGTAAAGGGGTTAGTTTATAGGGGTTAATTGGAAAGGGGTGACCTCGTCGCTCACTTAGCATGCGATACCCTCGAATTAAATATAATTGACGGCAATTGGCTGAGCTTCGGATTGGGGTTCAGTTTGAAAATTCACATCTCTTTAATAGAATCAACCCCCCTTGTTTTAGGGACTTAACGATGTTGTAAACAAAATGATGGCTAAGTTTAGAACTTGAAATGAGCAATTTAAGCTATCTATTCTTTAGGTTTATCTGATTTATGAAACACTTTCGGTGCTAAACTAAAACCAACAGAGATCTGTTTAACTTTGTTTGCACTTAAACTTAGATGGATTTACAGCTAACTAAATAGAGTCTCGTTTGGCAAGAAAACATGAGTTGTGGTGTGAAAAAGCCTTGTCAAACTTGAGTTATTGAAAGTAATATAGCTAGCTAATGAGCTAACGTGTGAAAGTTATTGTTTTTTCAACTGAAATAATAAGCTGATAATTATGTTGCCTTCCCTGAAGCCTCTTCCCTGATGTTTTCCTCTATATATATATCTAAACTTATAGCTTATTAAGTTTCCGAATGCAACGCTGGTTTTTCCTACCCAAACTCGCCTTGCATTTTGATGATCCATCAGCAGAAAAAAAGCGGCTTGTAAGTGAGAATAGAATTTGAGATGGATGTTTACGCGGCAACCCGTTTCCCCATCGCCTGTTGTTTATTATAATAAATACTTAATTCTCCTCGTTTGTAAATAATGCTAATGAAAATATATTTCACTTATGCAAATTTCTAAAGCTGAGGAGGGGGGGGAGAACTAGTATGAAAAGGGGGCGGGGTGCTGCTGCCGCTTTGCATTGTTGTAACAGGCGGGGGGTGACCTTGAGCCAGCGTTTTCATTTACAATCTGGTATCTCGTGTTGGTTCTCTATCTCTATAGAGCCCTCCTCTACCCGCCCCGCCCCCTACTGTAGTGTTTTTCGTTTTGTTTTTGAGTCTGTATTGGTGCTCGAGTATCGGTGTGCCACTCGAATTGATAAACAGCTGTAGATTTTTCCACAAACTCACCAAAACAGCCGACTGGTTCTCAACTAGAAATGCCAGTGTGTCACTGTGCCACCAGCACTACAGTTATTAGCCTTGCTCTCCGCCAGTCAATCCACCCCCCGCCCTCCTTCTCACAACCCGTATCAACTAAGACTATCAAATGCTGTTGCTATTTGCTTCCGATTTTGTGTCCTACACAGCGAGAAAAGTGGAACTTGAAGGGTGATGATTGCACTATCAGTCGTTGGAGATTGCAGTTTCTGAGATCATTGATCTTGGAACTTACTACTGGGGGGGTGGGGTTTATATAGTAATTCATAGGCCGATTGATCAGATTTCTTGATCTATGATGGGATAATGACTAATGAATCTCTCTTTTCTCTCAGTGTCGGCCCTTGCCGGCTTGCAAACTGTACTTGCATATCCCTGGACTGCTCTAATGCCACTTGTTTACCAGCTATCTCCCTCTGGCCTGCCCATCCTTGAGGGAAGGCTGGCAAGTAGTGCTTAAAAATGCAATCGGGTTAAAAAGTTTTCAATTACACTTGATTGCAGGTGGTATTTGCCTGCTGCCGAATGTGGGTAGGGGGGATTCCAAGGAATTGATGACAAAATCGATTGTCCCTTATGGAAAGCCGCACGCTTTAACGATTAAATGTCATTTGGCTGGCAATTGTTATCGCTGATCAAATTCACTTTGAACTTGAAATAAGTGTAAGCAAGAGAGAGAGAGAGGAAGAGGTGGTGTGTATATTAGGGTGTGTCAATCAGTCAGGCTTCTTCTTTCTCCAACACCTACGCCCTGCAAGTCCTACCTTCTCCAACGCCCCTCAAATGCACTCAAACTGCAAGGGGGCCAGATAGGCAAGTTAGTGCGCTTCTTAATTAGTAATTGTGCGCATTAAGTCATTTGTTTTTGTTTTCTTTTTTATTGTTTTTTGTTTCTATTTGTGTTGCGCTTTTGCTTTTGCTTTTCAAGTGCAAGTAGAATAATTAAGGTGACAAGTTCGCGTGCTGATCGGGTTTTTGTTTTGCTATTGTTGAGGAAAAGGGGATTTTTCTTGGGCTTAACAGACAAGTAGCTGTCCTTCTCGCACGGCTGATTGCGTTTGCATTTTACCAGTGTAACTTTGTAGAGATTCTAACTTGAATTTGTAAGACTAAGCATTAGATAGATAGGCAATTTGCATTACTCTAATCTTTGATCTTTACAGATAGAAACTTTAATTTGAGAACCATAGAAAGTGATAGCATTAAAGAAACCCCCGGAAATGATTGCAATTATGTGAGTGATAAAGTTTCACGCTTCTCTCAGCAATTAAGACACTCCATAAACCTGTCACAGCTAAAGTTAGAAAGTTTGGAATTAGTTTACAATACCCCCAATATCCCCATGGCAGCCCTAAATGCTTCCTCGTTATATTCCACGGCTAATTGCACATTAAAACGCAATCAATTAACCCGAAGAACACAAAAAGAACGGACGGCCTTTTTATTATTATAAAGAACCAGGCGATTAAATCGCATTATCAGACGCGCGCGAGTTTAGACCATAAACCCAGACCGAAAGCCAGAGCCAGGCACTTCCCAGACGTCCGCCGGCAGAATCGTGCCAAGGCAAAGGTCATCATCCATTGCTGGGCTGCTTGGATTGGGGTTATATAACCCCGTGAGAGGGATCAATAAAAAACCGCAACAGACGAAGCCGTTCATTGCCAGTTTGACGTTTTGGGCGTTTATGGGCTAGATTTTCAGACGCTCATAAAATCGCACAGATCTAGTATAGTATAGTTTACTATATACTATATATATATATATGTCATAAAGCATATATAGCTATTGCGTAGTAATTACTGGCAAATGCGAATTTAAGGCGATTCAAAACTGACAATTTGCCAGCGGAAGATAGGGGATGACAATGTGGGTTTGTATAGGAAATGTGATGGGAAAAACTAGAATTAATAAGTATTAACTTGATAGATAGAAACTTTTGAGTTATAGAGTGGTTGTCGAAGGGCTTTCCCAGTATCTTAAAATCTATTAAAAATGTTTAAATAATTAAGGAAATTTCCCTATGCCTATAACCTGTATATAAACCTTGACTTCTGAATGATTTGTTATATAAAAAAAAGTTGCGAAAAAATATGAAGAAATCTTTTAAAATTAGAAAATTCACTCAATTAGCTTGTAATTTAAGCTAAGCGTGTGCCTGTGTCTCTGGCCTTTGACTAACTTGCCAAAATTAGCACCTGGCGAGACTTATCTTTCTTAGCAGACTTCTTTCTTTGTTCCATTTCTTTTGTTTTGGCAACTTTCTTCGGGTCGTTGCAAATGTCAGACTTTGATTTAAGTTCAATTTGTTTGATTCAGCAAGAGAATCACTTTTAGACTTTAGTTTAACCACCATTTGATAAGATTTATTTGCAATTTGTAATCCGCTTTTCCCGAGATCCCCTTGTTCAAGTTCATTCACACCCGACCTATTAAAATCCCATTACGATTTCCAGCTGGCTAATAAAAGCGACTTGGATCGTCGAAAAGTAGTGATAAATCTAGACGGGGACATTCTAAAGTCTTAAGACACTCCAGATTAGATTACACTTGCAGAAATTTCAAGTATTTCGCACATAAATCAAGTGCGGACACGACCTATGCTGCGATAAGCCAGGAATTACTTAATGCCTACAGCTACTTGATCGAAAATGCTATTTAACTAGCAACTAATCGGGAATTATAATTAATGTTTGCTGTACTTTGATTACTGTATATATTTGCCCTATAAGTTTGTGTCTAATCAAGTTGGCTTTTAGCATCTTTTTAGTTTATAACTTTAAGGTTTATCACTAGTCTAGACTTTCGGTTAGTGTACCTTTGGAATTATGCGACTTTTAATCATAACTACTAATACTTTAATCAGCTTTTGGACGAAAGCAAACAAGGTGTAGGTGCGTGAAACTAGATTTTTCAAGATTTTTTAAATTAATATTTAAAGACACTTTTCACTTTCGATCTTAGGAACATAGTTTGCTTTGGCTTTTCCGGGTTCTATAGTCTACAAAGACTGATTTACATTTTCCAGCAACTTACCCTTGGGGCTCTGGGGAATAAAGTCAAGGGTGCGATCCTTGCAGCGCAGATCCTCGCCAGTGCCGTCGATCCAGACGTAGGTGGCCTGGACGATGTTCTCCTGGAGGGGCAGGGAGAGATAACGATCGAGGATCGTCTTGTTGATGCGCGCGTTGGGCGAGTCCTCGAGGATCCTAGCGGACATACTGCTGTTGCAATTAAGACACCCAACAACAACAAAAAAAAAAATATGGTAATGGGTAAGTGGAATCAAAAATAAACAAATCTTTTGGCACTCAGTTTTCTAAGGGGATTTCCCCCCTGTTTTTCTTTTAGATTTTTACGGGTTTTTCTATGATCTGCACCTGAATTATTTGCACTCTGATTGGGTTTGCTGAATTTGTGATTGTTGGCTGGACGACTGGCTGCGTCCTTTGGTTGTGATTTGGTGGGGATATTCTGGTTTAGTGGATGTGCGCGGAAGCGTTACTGGAACACGACTAAGCTGGAGCCCCTTGTTCCAACTCAATTTATAATGACCAACAACAAACAACAACAAAGCAAAGCAAAACAAAAGCAAAAGCGACCGCTTAGTTGTTGTTGCTGCTGCCGCTGTGTTTTGTTAGAAGCTGCTATAAACCATATACAATATACACTATATATACTATACTATATAGACTGCCATACACACTCTACACTCTACACTCTACACTCTACACTATACACTATACTTACAACAAACTAGCAAAGCGACAGCAGCGGCAGCTACGTTGACAGCGACGCTGGCAGCATGCCATTGAAAAACAAAAGCAACAGCTGTTGCCGTCGCAGCGCAGTCGCCGCACGATCAACGCCCCCTCTCTCTCTCGCTCGCACTCTGGACGCGCGCCGTTCGAGCTGCCCTCCCACTCCCACCTCCACCCACTGATTAGAGGCCTTTGCAGTTTGTCGCCGCCGCAGTTTTGTAGCAAAGGCAACAGAGAGAGAGAGAGAAAGGGAGAGAGCTATAATAGGCTGTGCTCTCTTTCTCAATTGGATTCCTGGCTGACGACGCTTCCGGTTACACGGGGGAAAAAGTTGGAGGAACTTTGACTTGGAAATTTGGGTAAGTTTTGGAAAGTTTTAACTGAAGTTTATCTTTTAATCTGACTAAAGTTGGCAGTAACACTCAAAAAAATTAAGTACACTTTAAAAAAAATGCAAAGTTTTAAGTAGGAAAAATAATATTTTCGGAATATCACAAAGAAATGTAATGCTGTTGGCCTTCGTTTTCTGAATATCTGATTACACCATTGAGCGTTTTTGTTCTCAGTGTAGATTAACAGTTGCAGGCCGAGTTGCCAAATTGTTTTGTTTATTTTTAATTCACTTTTGATGTGCGAGCAAATGCGTGTAAATGAGTAAAAGTCGCTTATCAGCTGGATCGCCAGATCGCCAGCAAATGAGTTTTGTTTTCTGTTTTTTATTTTGACAAGGACAAGGACAGGCGACTGACTGACTGACTGATGTAATGATGAACAACTTACGCTGAATGCATTTTACTGTGTTTTATTAATTTTCAATGATTTCCCGACAAACTTAATCAATGTAGTAATTACCACACGCGAACTGTTTTGAATTTTTTTGTTAATCTTTCGAAAAGCTTTCTTAATCCCGCTTAGGAGTTTTGAGTTTGAAATTTCGCACTGATAGAGTAAGCACTTCTAAGGAGCGACTGCGCAGATCCATCGGCAATTGATCCGCTTTTATAGGCTCCCAGCGATCGGATCACTTCGCACTCGGACCACTGGGGGAGATGTTCGGATGTGTGACTCGATTTTTTGATTATTTTTTTATGGCGTATAAAGCAAACACGACCATGTGCTAATTACCTTTTCAAGATTCTCACATTTCTGTATTATTATTTGGCGTTGGGCTCGCTGAGAAATGAAAATAAATTAAATAAACCGAAAAAAGGGAGCAATTCCTTTTTCGAGCCCAGATCAGGCCCCCTAGGCTAGACTAGGCTAACCTATCGTCGTCATCAGAAATCAAAGTCAAACTCCTTAATGCGTATTCTCTACACAAGCTGAAAAATGTTGGCCATGTCTGCCATAGTCAGGCGTAGGTGTGAAAAAGTTAATTGCAAACGAGTTTCGCACAAAAAGGTTAATTGTTAAAATGGATTTTTATGACTATCTGGCCAGTAGGTAATGTAAATTGACCGGAATTCACAGCTTATCAGGGCAGTTTTACCATATTCGACTGCCGTGTTAAACCCTAAATGGTATCTAACTTGATGCTGTCTTATAGAGCGGTTCCTACTTCTTAAATTGGGTATAAATAGGCATAGGCCGAGCTAAAACTGGTAATGGAGAGTATTATCTTATTTCTGACTTAAAATATCTATAGAAATCGTAGTTAATAACGTTGGCGTGCTGAAAAACATTTACAAAGTTACAAAACTAATTGCAGATTATAAAAAAAAACTTAAAATTACAGCCATTAATTATTGAAATATCTACAAAATCCTCTTTTTTTTTACCAATTAAAGGCCAACGGCTATTAATTCCCAAACATGAATTAAAGTAACATTTTTATATCTACCACAATCTAGCATTTAACACCTTTATTTATTAGTTTTCTATTTCAAACATCAACTTAAGCGGCATTAAAAGCCATTTTCTCTTTGGGTGTAACCAATTCCAGCCAGCTGATCTAAATTTAAACGCAAATAAAAACGTCTGGCCGGGCAGACGGGCGAAACAACAAGTTAACGTATCAAATAAATTGCGACAAGCCACATTTTATTTCAATTTTAAATGCACAATTAACATATGTGCTCGGCCAGTCGAAGACGCACAGGCAAACATAAAATAAAACAAACAAGCAAACGTGAAATAATTTTCTATTAATCGTCGGCTGCGTCTTTAAATCGGCTCAGTGCTGGCAGCTAAGCTCTTATTCGTGGGAAGAAAATCCAGATATTCAAAAATTTTGTTAAATAACTCATCTTTTTAGTCATTTAAATGGTCGAATTAAGGGTATTTTTGGTAATTTTGTAATTAAATTAATCATAAATCACGTGCCTGAGTTGGCCAACAGTGCGTATGAGTAATTTACTTAACTCATTTTGCGTTTCTCACGATTTTGAGTAGCTTAATCAGTTTGCTTATTATAATCGTTTTAAGGAAACAAAATTAAGTTTTTATTTTTTTTTTAAGTTACCAATAAAGAAACGTGGCTGACAGGGCGGATGAGTGATTTTATTTAGCAAGCTCAAGTCAAGCTCCATTTCAAGCGTTTAATAAGCACTATAAAGTATGGAAATGAATGAAAATATTGAAGTTTATAAATGAAATATATAAAATAAATATTTTTACAGCTTTTTGTGGTTAAAAAACTTGAAAAGAAGCCAGAAAAATGGTTAATGAGATTCTTTTTGATTTTTTACTGATGTTTCTATTACTTTAAAAATATTTTAAAATTATAAATCAATGAGTTAAAAAGTTGTTATATCCCTTACTAATATTTACTATTTTTTTTATGACTTCAAAAATATTCTAAAAATATTTAACACTTAACTAATAATCCTTTCTACCTTTTTTTTAGCTATCCAACTTCAAAAATGGCCAGAATAGCCAGAAATTTGTCAACGCTGGCTATCTGTTCACGTGAACTGCGCATGCGTTTCCCGCTGCGGTCAACACCCGCCTTTGCCTCCGTCACCGTCACCGTCTCCATTTCAGTCCGTCGATCGTCGTCCGTCGTCCGTCTTCTGGTGTTTGCTCGCATTTAACGAGGCTTTTTCGCGAGCCTCTCTCTCTTGCCGGCTGCATTCAAATTGGCTTAGGCGACGGGCAGGCAATGGCGGGGCCATAAAGCCCGTAAACCGAATAAAAGCTACACAAACGAAACACAAACGAAACACCCGTAAAACTTTGATCTTCGATAGCGATCGAAATGGCCAAGCCGGCGAAGATTAGGAGCCCAGGAGGTAGATGGTCAGCCCTAAAAAGCCGTGGCTAGAAGAAGAGCCAGCGACGCGTGGCAGCGATAACCGACTTAGTGGTAAGGAGGTGAAGGCAGCCTTAACTATATGGTCTCTCATATACGTAAATATATATATATAGAGGGCGGTATATACATATATATGACTAATTGATTGGCGCAGACTGTGATGGTAATTGGGGAATTTGAATTGGCATTACCACTTCTCATATTTCGCATTAATTTCGCCAGCTTAATTGACGATCATCAAGCGGCAATTTATCATCGAGTCCCATCATTGGACTTTTAATCTATTTTTAGGCCACGCGTTGGGCCACAATTTTCCAATACGATCAGCATCATTGGGGTCAGGCCAGTTCTCTACTATCTTGATTAGAAACTAAATGAGAATGGCAACAGCCAGTGATAGTTTAACCATCGGTAGCTGTCAGTGTCACGTTTTGCATTGTTATCTTTTGGGTTTGTTATCTTATTTATCTTTGTACCTCACGGTCTAATTACTTATCCAGATACTTAAATTGTTTCATTCAATAAGGGGAATGTTTAACAGCAGCTTTGGCTGGGCAACGTGTCGCTTCTATTTGCCATTTCACTGAGTAAACTTTTTGTGAGAAGTTCTGTCAGGAAAGGGATTTTTCTTTTAAGGATTAACTGGGATTTAATCTGTAGTTTCCTTTTAGATTCATAGATTAAGTTCCTGTGAAATTTTCCCAGCAATGTTCTAGAATCATTATCAGAATAATCAGATGGGGGTCACTGTGTGGGCGCCATTTCCACAGATGACTATCGCTGGCATCGAGTGGCTTTTGTTTGGGCTAGGGCCACTTGTGGGCCTGTCATAAAGTTGCATAATCCGTCGACCGAATGGCCGATAGCAGCCCCAGCCAGTCAAAGATTGGCAGTTGTAGTGCTTCTGTTTCCGTCCAAAGGCCCTGAACTTTAACAGTGTTACGTAGTTTCTGGTTAGTTAGGTTTTCGTAGGCTTATCTGGTTCTAGAAAGTCTGAGTTCCAGGGGATGTGCGTCTGCAGTTTGAAGTGAGAAATAAAAAAAGGAGTGGGCAAAGGGAAAGGGGTAGGGGTAGGGGTAGAGGTAGTAGGGTAGGAAAACTTGGAATTATAAAATGCGACACTCTTTATGCCCCCAATTGGCGTATAAACTCTATTAAACAATTTATGCTCTAAACTGTCTGAATTGCTTAACTTCTTTATGGCACTCGGGCATTCGCATTCGCATTCGGTTTCATGCCCGCGCACGCTTATTTATTCTATAATAAACTTATCTAATAGTCATGTGCACTATATTAGGCCCCAGCTGTATTGTTTTTGCAGTTTTGCTGTTTCGTTCTGTTGGATGGATGGATGGATGGATGTTTGTGGTGCCAGCTTAGTTTGGTTGTCATGAAGCAGAGTAACAGCGTGATCGGTGGCTCTCGTGTACCCCTTGAATGCCTGTTTACCCCTCATCCGAATTAAGGCAGCTCCCTCGGCGGATTCTACTGCTATTTTGCTGACTCTTCAAAACAATGTCAGGCCATCTCAATTGAGATGAGTGCTGGGAGTGCGCCCCCTTCATCCTCATCCTCTTCTGTGTATCTGCGGGTACAGTGAGCTCTAGGTTGGTTATAGGTTCTTAATATGGGATAGATAAAGAGCTAATTTGGGATTTTAAAGATAGCAATTTTTAGTTTAGGGATAAGTTAATGATTTTTGAATTATTATCTGATAAAAAATGCTCCTTAAAGAAAAGTTTCTCCTTTTGTCAAGCTTTTAAATGGCTTTTTCCTTGTCAAAGAAAACCCTTTAAAATTCTGTCAAAATTCCTATAAATTCCTGAGTTGGTTTAAAGAGGTTTCCCTGTACTTCTGATGCGTGTTAAGTAATGGTTGTGCGTTTTCAGCAGGGGGAGTAGGGTTTCTGTATGAGGGCGACCGCCTGGTTTGCTAGGAAGTTGCTGCTAAACAAAAATAAAAAACAAAAACAGATAAAAAATAGAAGAAAAAAGCGAAATGCATATGGAAAAGGGGCAACTGCTGACGGCTGAGCAATTGGCGTTGATTCAATTTGCTAAGCATTTACGGTACTCAGTACTCGGCACTCGGTACTCGGCACTGCCTCTGCTGCAATTATGACCATCAAATCTATCCCAATCCCGCGAATCAAGCAATTTACTTATCATCATCATTACTATCATCAGCACCCAGTGTTTTAAATCAATTTGATGCCCTTGTACGGTCAGAGGGGGACCCGAAATTGACCATTAATTCGGTAGTTTTTCTCAGATTAAATAAATTGGTTCTTAAGGAAGTGAGTTTTTTAGGCTACCTAACTAACTTTCTTAAACTAAAGGATTTCGTATCTCTCTCTCTAAGAACCTTTTGGAGGCTGAACTCGTAGACTAACCTTATCGCTGCTCTAGATCGACCTTCAATGGCGTCGCGGCTTTTTCAAACTCGATCAAACACACAAAGAAAAAAAAACAATGAAAAACACTGAAAAACCAAACCCGTGAGCCTCCAGGTGTGTGCGTGCCATCGCTGACGTCACCGGCACGAGGAACGTGCGCTGCTAATCTAAGCATATATACTACATACTACCTGACTACTAAAAAAGGCATAAAACAAAGGTAAAAATAAAACTTAGACTCGTCTGTGGCGTTGACAAAAAAAAAAACCATAGCAAGAAAACTCCAATACATCAATGATCGCACTCGAAAAACCGCACACACAGCGGCGGACAGGTTTGCATGATTTATGACTCCGCAGCTGACAGGCAGCAGGGCGAACCGGTGAGGATTCTGGCTAAGCGGGGGTTAAGGTGTATAGTGGGTTAACTTGTCGATTTCAATATAAGCCAGTTTGGGTATTAACTAGTATTTAAAGTCGATTTGTTTTTAATACAAACTATTGGGAATTCGAAATTTAGAGGCTTACAGGTTGCAGTTGCTAGTTTTTGTGATCCATTTTTGCTAAGAATGTTTACAGGGAAATATTTATCTTTTTAGTTATAGGAATAGTCTAATTATAGTTCCAACTACTTTCTAACTTAATCTTTGCATCCTTTAACCTAAACTTTTATCGCCTAAATCACGTGATAGAACAATTTTATATCCAAAATAACACCAAACACCAGTTTTATGTTTTGATAAGGCCACATACTCGCTATTAACCCTTATCTCTATGACTCATGAAGGTCATCTATCAGGTTCTAACTGAGTTAGGTATAGAATTACATTTGCTTTTCAAAAATACAAGATAAATGTCAAAGGCGGAGATTAGCAGAAGTAGGTCTAATATTCACAATAAAGTAGATGTGATTTTTGAACTTAAAGAGCAGTCTTAAGAAGATAAGTCAGTCGATAAGCAAAGACGAACTCATTGTAAAATTTATCAGAATTTGATTTTAAGGAAAATTCCCAGTAAATAACTTTATCAACTAACTCCTAATCCCATTTTTGGTTATCCAGCAATGACCGAATCCGCTCCTGAAACCTCATGCTGTGCGTGAGTGGGCTAGAGATTAGTTAAAAACGCACGAATTTTGACGAGTCCGACGTCCGAGAGTGTCTTAATCTTGATTTGTTTGTATTTTGATTACTGAAATTAGCGGGCAGCGCTAATTGATGCATTAGCTCTGATTGCGACTCGTTCCCGGCTACTTGTGCCTGTCGTCCGCTTCGATTCCCCCATTTCAGTTCCATAAATAACAAATGGAGCTTACGAGTGCCTCGTATTCGAAAGGTTACCTATCCTATCAGCCATTCCAACAAATTATCTAGGCCTTAGAAATGCAATAGCTAATGGGCTTAAACTTTTGGCCAAACTTTTGCCTGAATAACAAGTCAATTAAAGGGGCTAACCAAGATGTTAGGGTTATGAAGGATGCACTGCAAGATAATCGTAGATATTTTAAACTTTATTCTATAGGGTTTGCTTAGAATGGCAATTTAGTTAGAGTGACTAATTTATTACTTTATTCTAAGTGTATAAAAATGATTACCGCTGACGACTATATAAAGCAGATTTCTTTGCAGGATACCCCAAAAGTCCTGTATCAACCATGGCCAATTGGTTTCGGTTTCTGAAACGCGATCAGCAGTTGAATGTGTATTTTTTTGCCGTGCCCAAGCTCAGCCTGGACATCATGGGCTATTGGCCGGGAAATATAGACAATAGACTGCCCAGACGGTCCATTGTCCACTTCGTGATCCTAGCCATTGGAGTCATCACGGAAATCCATGCAGGATTGCGTTTTTTGGATCAACAGCAGATTACCTTGGCCCTGGAGACCCTTTGTCCAGCTGGAACTTCTGCGGTTACACTACTGAAGATGTTCTTAATGCTGCGCTATCGCCAGGATCTGTCGGCCATGTGGAAACGTCTGAGGAGTCTCCTCTTCGATCTCAAGGCAGAGCAACCAGATCAGCGGGAAATCCGATTGAGACACTCGATTATGGCGGCCCGGATCAATTTCTGGCCTTTGTCCACTGGATTTTTCACCTGCACTACATACAACCTGAAACCGATCCTCATTGCCATCGTCCTGTTCCTCCAGCATCGAAGCGAGGACTTCGTCTGGTTCACACCCTTTAATATGACGTGAGTTTAGGGGTGTTAATTAGCTGTTTATTTATAAATTTTAAACTTAAGTTTAAAAACTAAGCTGCAGAAAATAGAACACAATTATCTGCTTTACCCTTCGGCTGACTAAAAGTTCGTAAATACTTTAAAGAATATTAATAAAAGCGTCAAAAGACTGTTTTTTTTTACATGTAAAATTTACACAAATGTTTGCGTTTTTCATTGCCTATCTTTAGGCGCTGTCGTATTTGCAATAGCTAGAAAGGGGAATTTATCGGTGCAAAGCTTTTGCCTCTGATACCAGGCGAACATAATCGATAGCAAGCTTCTGCTGGGCTTCAGAAGTTTTTGTGATCGAGCGTTCTGATTGGCTGACCAATAGGAATTCAGCGTACTGGAAATTTACAGTTAGTAAAGTTAATCAACAAGTCGATTTCCACCTGCTATGCGTTTCTGTTCGCCTGGTATTAAAAATCATAAAATGAATCAAAACTGGTTAATAATTTGATCAACAAAGTGCTTTTTCGGCGTCAAATTGGTACATTTTTGATTTCAAATACCAGGCGAACAGAAACCGTAGCAGGCTGCTTTTTTAGTTTTCAGTTGCCACCTGTCCACCTTCTGACGATTATGATCTCCTGGTATTTTTTTACTAAATCGTCCAAATTGGTCGCTGAAAAGTCATTTTTCATCGTAAAATTGGCAATTTTGGGAGTTCAGATACCAGGCGAACAGAAACCGCAGCAAGCAGCTTCTGTTTTCTACGAGATTAAATATTTTCAAGATGGCTGCCACTGGCAGCCATCATTTTTATTGGAGACAACCGTTGCTTTGCTACCAAAACATGAAGTAGAGATGAGCAACCACGTTGTTTACCATATCGTATCACGAGTTTGGCACGATAATCACGAAATAATATTAAAGTCCCATGTAATTGATTCGATCGTGCCGAAAACCACTACTCACATGGCCATCCCTAAGTGGAGCTCATAAATTCGCCGCCTTTTCAAGATGGTTGCCATTGCAGACCAAAACATAAACAAGAGATGAGCAACCACGTTGTTTTTTGTGTAGTCTCACGAGTTTAGCACGATAATCACGAAATAATATTAAGATCCCATGTAATTTATTCGATCGTGTCGAAAAGCAGTGCTCACGTGGCCATCCCAAATTGGAGCTCATAAATTTAGCGATTTCCACCTGCTACTCGATTCTGTTCGCCTGGTATTTTAAAGGCATCCTCTAGCCAAAATACGTTGAAATTTTGATCAAAAAAATAATTTTTTCCCAGTCAAATTGGTCATTTTGGGAGTTCAGATACCAGGCGAACAGAAACAGCAGCAAGCAGCTGCTGTTTTCTGTGAGCTTTGTTTTTTTTTCAAGATGGCTGCCTTTTCAAGATGGTTGCCATTGCAGACCAAAACATAAACAAGAGATGAGCAACCACGTTGTTTTCTGTATCGTCTCACGAGTTTAGCACGAAGGGCACGAAAAAGCAATTAAATCCTATGTATTTCTTTCGATAGTGTCGAATACCACTGTTCACATGGCCATCCCTAAGTTTCACTCATGTCTGGATGGGAACCGTTAGTCTGCAGCCCAAAACATAAACAAGAGATGAGCAACCACGTTGTTTTCGGTGTCGTCTCACGAGTTAAGCACGATAATCACGAAATAATATTAAGGTCCCATGTAATTTATTCGATCGTGTCGAAAAGCAGTGCTCACGTGGCCATCCCAAATTGGAGCTCATAAATTTAGCGATTTCCACCTGCTACTCGATTCTGTTCGCCTGGTATTTTAAAGGCATCAGCTAGCCAAAAAACGTTGAGATTTTGATCAGAAAAATAAATTTTTTTCAGTCAAATTGGTAAATTTGGGAGTTCAGATACCAGGCGAACAGAAACAGCAGCAAGCAGCTACTGTTCTCTGTGAGCTTTGTTTTTATTTCAAGATGGCTGCCATTTCAAAATGGCTTCCCTATTCAGCTTCCCCTATTGTTGAAAAAGAACCGTTGCTTTGGAACCAAAACACCAAAATAGAGATGGGCAACCACGTTGTTTACCATATCGTTTCACGAGTTTGCTTCTGTTCGGCTGGTAATATCGATAAATCTGGCAATTACATATGTTTTTATTAGTACTTTAGCTTCTAACTTAGTTAATCCACAAACCAAAAAGAACAACTGTTTTGAGTAGCTAACGACTGAAACTTACAATCCTCACCATTTTTGGCTAGTTTTATTATATTTACTTTTCGACAGGAATTTTAATTATGAATTCAGTAATGTATGATATTCCATGTTCTTAGAATTTTTAGGTTTTTACTGGGAAGAATTCTGATGATTTTGGACCCAAAATCGGGATTATTAGCTTTGACAAGAATTGCCATATTTTTATAGGACTTATATCTCTAACTTAGTCAAAAGAAGGCGCACAGCTGAAAGGACGACTGTTTCGTGCTGCTAAAGACCAATACTAACCACCCCTATCAACCCTTTTTCGATTTTGGGAAAATCAGTTTTGGCCCAAATTTCGCATTTTTGATAAGGGGTACCATCATCAAAATTCTCAAAAATGGGCCAAAAATGAAGTTTCCCAGATTTGAATGCAAACCAATTGGGAATCATGGCAATCAAGTTACGAGCCGGTCGAGGTAATACATTCCTCATTTGGACCATTTTTGGCTTCGCTATGGCTAAAAAACTGATTTTTTTTGCGCCCAAAATTACGTATACGTCTGTTGACAGCAGAGAGCCTGGTATTGCTGCACTCTCTTAGCTCTAACGTTGTCAAAAAAAGACGCACGACTAAAAGGCGGACTGTTTTGAGTAGCTAACGATCTCACCTTTCGATCCATATGACTGTGTGGTTAATTTTGGATAGTTCATATTTTTATAAAATTTCTCATTTTTTATAAGGGGTACCGTCATCAAAATTTTCAAAAAATGTCAAAAAATTAAGTTTCCCAGATTTGAATGCAAACCAATTGGGAATCATGGCAATCAAGTTATGAGCCCTACGAGGTATTACATTCCTCATTTGGAGCATTTTTGGCTTCGCTATGGCTAAGAAACTGATTCGTTTGCGCCGAAAATCAAGTATACTCGTACGCCTTTTGACGCAAGAGAGCCCGGATTGTTGCCGTTTCTTAGCTCTAACTTTGTCAAAGCAAGACGTACGGCTAAAACAATGACTGTTTTATTAAGCTAACTACCGAAATTTAAAGCCCCTGTACTAACTTTTATCATTATTGTTCTGATATTTCAGTGCGAGCTCTGTTTTAAGGGCTAAAAAATCGGAAAACAGATTTTTAACAGAAATTTGGAATATTACTTTCGGTTTTTTAGCTCTAGCTCGGTCAAAACAAGACGCACAGCCAAAAAAACGACTGTTTCGTGCTGCTAACGACCAATACTAACCACCCTTATCACCCCTTTTTCGATTTTGGGAAAATTAATTTTGGCCCAAATTTCGCATTTTTGATAAGGGGTACCATCATCAAAATTTACGAAAAATAGCAAAAATTTCACATTTTTAGGTGGGAATGCAGTTTTGTAGGAAATTTAATTACGAGCTCAACGAGGTACTACTTTCCATTATCGGACCATAATTGACTTAGTTATGGGCATTTTCTTAAGGGTAATATCATCTTTTTAAGCTAAAATGTGTTTCCTTTTTTTCACAGAATGCCCAGAGTTCTGCTAAGCTCTCCATTTTTTCCACTGACCTACATATTTATTGCCTACACTGGTTACGTAACCATCTTTATGTTCGGAGGCTGCGATGGTTTCTATTTCGAGTTCTGTGCTCATTTGTCGTCTCTTTTCGAGGTGCTTCAGGCGGAAATAAGATCAATTTTCAAGCCCTATAAAGGTGGGTGAAAAGTGTACTGGAAAATGCTTAACTTTTTCAATAACCTAACCTAATAGATCACTTGGAGCTTACGCCATTGCAGCTTTATAACTTGGAGGAGCGAATGCGAGCGGTGATTATCAGGCACAATGCCATCATTGAGTTGACCAGATTTTTCCGGGAGCGTTATACGATTATTACCTTGGCTCATTTTGTATCGGCTGCCATGGTGATTGGTTTCAGCATGGTGAATCTCTTGGCAGTGGGTAACAATGGCCTGGGCGCCCTACTCTACGTGGCCTATACGATTGCTGCCTTGAGCCAACTGCTGGTCTATTGCTATGGCGGCACTCTGGTGGCCGAAAATGTAAGTTGGTATTTTTATAGGTTTTTTTTAAAGTGTTACATACCTTCTTTTTTATAGAGTACGGAGCTGTGTCGTGTGGTGTTCTCCTGCCCATGGCAGCTGCTGAAGCCTTCGCAACGTCTCCTAGTCCAGCTTTTGATCCTGCGATCCCAAAGACCCATGTCCATGGCAGTGCCCTTCTTCTCACCTTCGCTGGCCACCTTTGCTGCGGTAAGTTGGTCGAAGCTATAGCTAATCAAAAAGATATATTAAGTTGCATATTAACTTAAGTTAAGTTAACTTCATCTTGTCTTTTGCAGATCCTACAGACGTCTGGCTCTATTATTGCCCTGGTTAAGTCTTTTCAGTAGATTGTAATATTCAAATTGTGTTTGTTGTAAAAAATAAATAGCAAGTCTAGCTTCATTTATGTAAAACTTAGAGGTTTAACGGTCATTCATCACATTTATAAACATGAAGTTACTTTATATGATTAAAATATTTAACAATCAGAATCTAGAAACCAAGCTAAGGCTAGTTCCCTCCACTAAGCCTTCAACCTAACACCTTTTTTCGAGCCTTTCGTATCTGGCATCTCCAATAATTAGACAATGACCTTGCCATTTCCCTTACCATAATTTCCACAAACATTTCCAAAAACACGCAACACCAAAAAACAAAGAGCTCCTCAGTTTGTTGACAAAAGCAGAGCCGTAATGACATCGCCGGATGACCGGAGTTTCTGGGAACGACACGAATTCAAGTTCTACCAATACGGACATGTCTACGCCTTGATTTATGGCCAAGTTGTGATAGACTACGTACCTCAGAAGGCATTGAGACGAGGGGTAAAGGTGCTCCTGATTCTGTATGGACATCTGTTTAGCATGCTGTTGATTGTGGTGCTGCCAGGATATTTCTGTTACCATTTCCGGACTTTAACCGACACTCTAGACCGTCGCCTGCAATTGCTGTTCTATGTGAGCTTTGCCAATACCGCGATTAAGTATGCCACTGTTATCGTGACCTATGTGGCCAATACCGTGCACTTTGAGGCCATCAATCAGAGATGCACGCTGCAGAGGATGCACTTGGAGCAGGTGTTCAAGAATGCCCCGCAGGAACCGAAGAAACCTTTTGAGTTCTTCATGTACTTCAAGTTCTGCCTGATCAATCTGATGATGATGATCCAAGTATGTGGCATCTTTGCCCAGTACGGGGAGAAGGCTTCGGTTAGCCAGGTGCGAGTCCATTTCGCCATCTATGCCTTTGTGTTGTGGAATTATACAGAGAACATGGCTGACTATTGCTATTGGATCAATGCCTCGGTGCTAAAGTACTACAGGCAGTTCAATCTCCAGTTGGGAGCACTCAGGGACGAGATGGATGGCCTGCGACCTGGAGGAATGCTTCTCCATCGCTGCTGCGAGCTGAGTGATCGTCTGGAGGAGCTGCGGAGAAGATGCCGCAAGATAAATGACCTGCAAAAGGATAGCTTTAGAATGCATCAGTTCCAGCTTATAGGCCTCATGTTGAGCACCCTCATCAACAATCTTACCAACTTCTATACTCTGTTCCATATGCTGGCCAAACAGTCGCTGGAGGAGGTCAGCTATCCGGTGGTTGTGGGTTCCGTCTATGCCACTGGCTTCTATATAGACACCTACATCGTGACCCTGGTCAATGAGCATATCAAACTGGAGCTGGATGGTGTTGCCTTGACTGTGCGGAGATTCGCTGAGCCACCGGAAAGGGATGAGCGGCTGTCCAGGGAGGTTAGCTATTGAATTTCTGAAAATATAAAAAGAAAACTTTAGTAAAAAATATTTTTTAGATAGAACACTTCTCCCTGGAGCTACTCAACTACCAACCGCCTATGCTCTGTGGCCTTTTGCATCTGGATCGTCGGTTGGTCTACCTCATTGCAGTCACAGCCTTCTCCTACTTCATAACCCTGGTGCAGTTCGATCTCTATCTGCGCAAGAAGTCCTAGTGGAAGTTCCTAAAAAAAAAGATTGTTAAACCGAATTTATTACCTACTATAAGGAATCCTTGTAGACTTTTGAGCTTTCAAATATAACAATTTAATGGAAAGTTCTATTTAATTTGTTCTTTTGTACCTCAATGCTAATGGCAGCTAAGTTTAACCTTGTGAATGAGGTGTGTCCTTTGAAGATATCAGTCCAATAGCTTACTGTTTGCTCAGATAAGGATTTCAAGGGGTGGCCAATGTATTCCTTTCGGGACGATGAACGATGAACAATGCCCTGCCTTCAGTTACTGGCCACAATGCAAGTGGGCAAGTTGTGCCGCTTGGCTCTGCGCTTCTGGATGGGATTGACCCTGGTGCTGGGCTGCTTCTGTCACTACTATTGCCCCACTCGGAGGCGTCTGGTGTATTCCCGACTTTTGCAGATCTTCAACTGGGTGATCATGATCGTAAACTTGGGAATGTATTACTTCTATTTTATATACGCCACGAATTACTTTGCAAAGGGAACATTCAGGCGGCAGACATTCGTAATTCAGGTGGGCAAAAATAGGGATTAGGTTTTATGATTATTTAATTTGAAATTACATCTTTATAGCTGTGCAATTGCAGTGTTAATTTGCAGCTGCTGATAATCATAGTCCAAAGTATATGGCGATTGCTAAGGGAACAAGAGGTGTGCCAGGCATATAACGAGTTGTCCGAGATTTTGGAAGAAGACCTCCAGCTGAAGGAACACAGTCGTTTCTACAGCCTGGCTTTCCTGGCCAAGATCCACAATTTCATACACAACTTCAACTTTGCGCTGAGTGTCCTGATGATTTGGGGCTTGCGACCCTTTGAAGTGTCTGACTTGTTGGCCAACTTTTTTTACGTTTACAACTCCCTGGCCAGGGATTCCTTTCAAGTGGCCTACATCCTAGTCCTTCTCAATGTGAGTGAGGCACTGCGCCAGAACAGACAGCAGGAGCCAGGCAACTATCTCCAATTCATGAGGAAACTACGCAGACATGAGCAATTGATGGAGATTGGGAGGCGAGTGCATCGAAAGTTCGCCTGGCTGGTGGCTGTCGTCCTGTTTTACCAAGTCTACTTCAACACGGCCACCATTTATCTGGGCTACTCCTTCTTTGTGCAGCGGGAGGAGCCCTTGGGCCTGTGTGGCTGGAACTTGAAGATCCTGCTCACAGTCATGTCCATTTCGGTCAAACTTTTTGATGCCCTGCTTTTGCAGATTATCTGTGAAAACCTGCTGACCGAAGAGAACCAAATCTGCCGGAGTCCCAAACTCCAGAGGCAGGATGTCAACTCCAAGGCGGTTCACAGACAGGTGATTAGTTATAATAGCATATATATATGGCATATATCTGTATTATATTTTCTAGTGGGAAATGTCCGCTTTGAGACGTGCCATTAGACGAGCCTCGTCGGAGAACAAAGTGCTGGGAATGTTCAGAATGGATATGCGGTGTGCCTTTGCCCTGATTAGCTGCAGCGTTTCCTACGGCGTCATTATCATTCAGATCGGATATATCCGTGGCTAAATTAACCCTCGCGTAGTCGGCACCTTATCGTTGCTTGGTTTTAATTAGGCTAATTACCAAGCTAATCGAAGGAATTGGATCTCTGGGGAAACAAAAACATGGAAAATATGAACTTAGGGGACTTAGACCAAGAGTTTTTTGGAACAAACCCAAATTGTGAGATAAAATCTTAAAACTTTAATAGATTTAGTTAAAGTTTTTAAGCCATGACAAAAATTATAAAACCTATAAGAATGTCTCCGATTTAAAATTGTAACTGGTTAAGTCTTCAGTTTTTTAATGCTATAATTTCCACGAAAATTCGATTTCAGTTTGGAAAAAGTTTAGGCTTGGGTTTTCTTATTCCTCTTTTTGACATTTTTTGTGAGAAGATATCTGGATTTTCCACGATATCCGATGAGAAGCTAAAGTCCGGATTAGCCGACGAAATCTCGTGCTGGTCGAGACTTTTCGTGACAAAAACTTTGGGATCGAGAATCGTCGAGCTAATGTCCAAATCAGAGCATTTAGCTGGATCATGGATCATGGTTAACTGCTCCTTCTCAGCCTTCAATCGATCCAGACGTCGCTGTTCATCCTTCATGAAAGTGGAGGCCATTAACTGGGAGTTGGATTTTTTGGCCATCGTTTTTGGTGGTGGCCTTGGCATCTTGGCACAGCGGATGTGCATGTGGTAGTCAGTGGTAGACTGTGAATTCTCACTTTTGTTGCCACTAATTGCGGTAAAGGAATCGATAGTACAGTGGCTGGGACGCATGCCATTCCATTCCAGCTTCGTCTGAATCCTTGAGATCTTCACATACTTCACCTCCGAGTGATCCGTGCAGTTGAAACATCCCAGAGATATTGCTTTCTTCAGTAGTTCCAACAATCCCTCGGCCTCCTGCTGTCCCAGTTCCATTGTCATGATTTGGGAATCATTTTCCGATTTTTCTGACCTATCACCTATCTGGTTCTTCCTTTCTGCCTCGGTTTCTTCATGCTTCTCAAAGAGTTTCTTGACCCGCTCGTTCAACAGCCTGGACTGTGAGTCGCGTACCATCCTTTCCATATTTTTGGCTTTCAACAAATCGATGGCCAGTTGAGAAGGCGTTTGGACATCTCTGGACAGATGATCAAACTGAATGCGCTCCTTTGGGGCCATTCCGAAGATCTTTAACGGTATAGTGGAGCTTGGTCTGAGACCAACATTGGGATCCTGTGATCGCATGGTCTGTGCCAGCTGCCCTTCTCTCCTCTGTGCATTGTACTTCCTCATCGTGGCTGCTTTATCGGTGGGCAGGCGCTTCGGCTTTTTGTTCTGACCCTTAACCAAGGGATGGATCCTTACCAGATGAACTGTAGAAAACAGAAAAGAGTTTCATATACTTAACTCTGGCTTTATGCTTTACTTACCATTTGGAGATGTGTTGACCCTGAATGGTGCTTCGTTGTAGGGCGTCTTGGCCCTGATCCTTCCCATCTTGCGGGACTCACTGCCACCGGATGCCGTGCTTGAGTTGTTCCTGATCACCCGCCACATGGGTTCTTCATTGCAGATCTTTGGTTTGCCAGCAATGTCTAGCAGGGTTAACATATGTTTTAAGCAGTCTTTACTACGACAATGTTTCGTACCGCATGTACTCAGGATTTTCCTTATCCAGTCCAATCTGATGGTGTATGCCATGGCGTGACTTCAATCGAAATGCACAAAGAAAAAAAGGAGAACGGAAGATGAATTTTGAGATCGAATTTTACATGGATATTAATATAGTCGATTCCATTACTTGAACTGGGAAACAAACTGACCGGCAGCAGGGTAGAAGCCTACTTAGTTGGATTAACTAAGCATTACTGAAATATTTTTAAATTTTATAGGAATTTTAGAAGCTTTTATTTGTTAAGAATTGTCCGATTCAAAATGATGGTCCAGCATTTTGTAAGCCCTAAAAAGTATGCTATAAAAATTGAAGAATTTCCAAAGTTAATTAAAGAAAATCATTTTCCAGCTGAAAACAAGGAAAATCCAAGGCATATGATTACGTATTTTTATTACGGTTTATTTCGAGTGTGTTTTTGGGGTGTGGGCGAGTGTTTCATCCGCTGATGAACAAATTACATTTGACATAATACATAATGAAAACGCTTTTGAGGCCGCATGGGGTCTCTCAATATTTTTTGTTTCTCGCACATGAACATGAGTATTGTACATATGTTGGGTGTACTTGTGTGTGTTCTTTCTTCTTTGTTTTTTTTTATTTTGCCCATGTATATATATATGTATATATATCAACCCAATTCTTAAACTCTTTACTTCCATTCGTTTTTTATGTTTTGTTTTTCTTTTTGTGGTTTGCACTATTATATATAGCACATATATAGCTCTACTGCCGATCCGTATGCGAACTTCAACAAAATTGAATTTGATTTACTTTCTTTACTCATCGCTAAGGCTAAGGGTTTCTTCGTTTTTCTTTTTAACTCTTTCCTCTTCGTAGGTGTATGACTAGCAAAAAACATTGCATTTTGGATGGGCTTGAATGGGTCTGGGGTGGCAGTGGGGGTCGGGATGTAAATGTGATGTTAACGGGGATGTACATACATAAATGTGAGCGGAAACCATACGAAAGCTGCCCGTACATGTGTCAATGTGTGTGTATATTTTCATCGATATTCGACATATTCGATATTCGATTCGACAACAACAACAACAAAAAGAAAAGGCACAATTTTGATGAAACGCTTTCCCATGCTTTGTATGCGCGCGCGTATGTGTTAGTGGATAGGATATATATATATATATATATAGATATATATCATCTGGGGCGAATTGGGGTTTCTCGATTTTGCTTCCCTTGTCAGCCGCTCCTTGATCTAATTTAAATATATATATATTTTCTTTATCTAGTTGATAATTGCTTGATAGTTAGTTCTCGAGGGTTTCATGTTTAGTTTAGTAAAATCTAAGGCTAGTTGGAAAAGTGATTTGAGTTCTTGGGTTCTCGGGGGCGTCTCTCTCTCTCTCGGAAGAACCGCTTGGAAAATAGGCCTTCCCCTTGATTTAAATATTTTTAGTTTTTAGTTTTTCCGTTTTTTTTTTTTTTTTTTTTTGAGCGAAAAAAAATCACTTGCTACGAATAGTCACCCAAAAAAGACGTGGGGCGCACCCTGTTAAGCGGTTATCTATAGTTAACTCCTCATCTCTCATCTCGTCTAATGTTAGTTAATGCAATGCCTTTCGTATGCTAGTTGGATGTATCAAATTGAAGTTAAGAAGTTCGATTTGTTTATTACACTTAGCGGGTTATCCTCCTTCTTCTTTTATGTTTCTTGTTCTTATTTTCATTTTAGAGTGGAAATTATTCGCATAGTTTTGTATTTTGTTTTATCATTGTTTTAGTTTTTTGTTTGTTTATTAAATATAACAATGCTCTCGGCGCAGACATTGTGAAAATTATAATGCTTTGTTGTTTTCATTCTTTATTTGTATAATAGTTATATGTATATATTTTTGAAATAATATCCATAGCTGCTGCTGCTGTGGCGTCGTCGACGTTTTTGCAATATACAAAAAAGTTAAATAAAAAAAAATATATTTATATATGTTCGAAGTAGGATAATAAGTAAGATAGGGAGCAAGAGAGATGGACAGAGTTGAAAAAAAAAAAAAATAATAATAATATTTATATGCATATTTCGCATGAATAATAATGTTAACACTCAACTTGAATTTTGCTAAATTTTTTCGAACAAATTTCGTATGTGTTTTGTTTTTCGTTTTTCTTATTTTTCTTTTTCTTTTTACTGTGCGTTGGCTATAAATCGTAAATTGGTTTATATAAATTAATCAGCAAATATATGTATAGTTATCTAATTTGAGTTGATCTCATCTCCAGCTCTGCTTCTTGTCCGCTTTCGCTTTCGCTTTCGCTTCTACATCCTCTTCCTTATTCATTTATTTATTTGCCTTTGCAATTCGATTTGTCTTGTGTGTGGTGTGGTGTTTGTATGTATGTGTATAAAATTAGACCGCAACGGTAATCCATGTATGTTTGTATGGGTTCGTGTGTGTGTATGTGTGTTTGTATTATCTACATACTATATTTGTTTCATAGATTGTTAAATATACAATATATTACTCATTATATAGATTTAAATCAACGCGACAACAAATTCCATTTCTTTTCTTTTCTTTTTTCCTTCTCTTTCCAACCGCTTGCTGTCGTAGTTTACATTATGCGGATGTTTTGTGTTTATTTATATAGTAAAATGACTTTGTTTCGACGATCTCTTGCGGACTATAGGCTAAATGGTACAGATATATATATATAGTAAGTAGATGTGTGAATGAATGTCTGTGGTTTTCTTTTTATATGCAACTTTTCCACTAGTTTCTAGTATTTATCATACGCATGTTTTATTAAGTTGTTTTTTTTTTTTTATAGTTCTTGTTGGTTTTTAGTTTTGTGTTGCTTTTAGGCAAAGGCGAGTGGGAAAAATTACATACATCTAACAACAAATGCACCAACGTTCTTCTCATCATCATCTTCCATCGTTATTAGCTTCGATATTCATCATCAATATCATTATCATTAGATCGTAATCGTAAATCGTCGTTATCGTCGTCAATCTCTGACTATCCGCTGGATCCGCAACCGTAACCATAACCATAACCATAACTAGAACCGCCTTCACGTCCCGTCATCGTCGTCATTTCATTTCTCGTAGTCAGCTACTAAACATTGTCGTACTTAAAGTTAACCACCTTGCCATGCAAATGCACTTGTGCATCAGCATCGGCATCAGCATCACCATTAAACCCCAAAAAAACATTATTGGTGTGCATGGTTCGGGGGGGTGTCTGTGCCAGTGCCAGTGCCTATGCCTATACCTGTGCCTGCATGTTTACATATATTATATAGATCAATATATATCAAAAAACACATTATCGTCAACATAACTAACTCGCTATAACTCTTGGCTCTCGTATATAAACATCAACATAAACAAACAACACTCTAGCGCTTAACGAACTCCTCGAAGCCCTTCTCTCCTTCGACTCTCGACTCTATGCTTTCTATAATCGGATCTTAGTCTATATAAGTGGTGTGTATATATATATATATATATATTATATTTCGCTTCTCTTCTTTTGTTTATATCCAACTTTGTTCTAACTAAAAACTATACACCTTTGTCCGCTTCAGTTTGAACACCCCCATAACTCTCAACTCATATTCCTACGATGCCAAAATGCTTTGCTCTGATGTTCGCTCATTTCCTTCCATCCTTGTCTAGCTGCTGGATGTACGTTCACATGATCGTACTGTAATGAGTGCATCCAAATAAAATTGCTTTGGACAATTTGCTACATTAAGTTGGCTGCTGCGGCTGCGTCGTTATAAATTTTTACTGTCTATATGTTTGTCAAGTTTGTTAGTCCGTTTCCGTTTCCGTTTTCTGTCGTTGTTGTCGTCAATGTTGTTATAGTTGTGGCTGCTGCTGTTGTTGTTGTAGTTGTAGTTGTAGTAGTTGTTATTGTTGTTTCTGTTGCTGTTGTTACTGTAATGGATCATCAGTGCGGCGTCTTCTGTTGTGGCTGCTGATTTGTTGCTGCTGCTGTTGCTCCTATTGTTGTTCTCGAGACCGGTCGGCATCGAACTCGAGGCGGCAGTGTCCAAGTTGTGGTGGCTGTTGGTCATAGAGATTCCTTGGAAGGTACCCAAATGGTTGGTCCCGACTGGGACCAAATCATCGATTTCACTTTGCTATAGATCTCCTCGATGGTATCGCCCTGGACAACGCCTGTGAATAGGAAAATAAAAGGTAGATAAAAAGCTCTATGCTTGTTTTTGGTAGGTTCTTCATTTACCCGTAAAGTATTCGCCGAATTCCTGCTCCATTTTAATAGCCCGCTCGTAAGTCTTCTTGGCCTGCTCCTCCGTCATGCGACGATTCATCTCCCTGTAGAAGTATATATTAGTAAGAACCTTCAACCTTAAAGCTACAACTACTATCAAAAACTTACATCACAGAGTCCACCGACTTGGGCTTGATGAACACTGCAACGGGATAGAGCTGGGCCACTTGCAGGCGCTTGATGGCATTTCCGGACACGTCCAGGATGCAGTGTTTGCCCTTCTCCGCCACCTCGCGCACACTGGCCACCGAGGTGCCATATAGATTGTCGTTATACTGGCCCGCCTCGATGAACAAATGGTTCTGGATATCCCTTTCCATTTGCTCGCGAGAGGACACAAAGTGATAGTCCCTACCGTCCACCTCGTACTCCCTCTTGGGTCGAGTGGTGTCTAAGGAGGAGAAATAAGAAGATGATTAAAATGATTATTTTGTTTTCTCAGATACTCACGTGGCACACAGGAGCCGAACTTTTCGGGATACTCCGATATTAGATCATCGTTGATGCGATCCTTGAGCGGTCCCAGGATAATCACCGGGCGCGTATAGTTGATGGACAAACGTTGCACGGCCTCGTAGGACAGCACGTTCTCCTCGGAAGCTGGAAAGTAGGTTAAGAACTTGGATTAGGACCTTGGCGTGCAGGTGCTCTATACATCATCGCAAAGTGTTCTAAATGAGTGGGTAACGGAGAGTGGGAAATGGGAGGTGGGGTTATCTCGGGGACTCTACAAAACAAACTTTCTATTTTTCGGTCTATGTTGCAACTTTGGGACTTTAATATTTATTAAAAGAGATCGTTACCGATCAAGGCAAGTCAGTTAGAGTTAGGAATGTATATATGTAAATAGTTTCTATTGTTAATTTAAACTAATTGGAAGTTGCTTTCTACGGATTTAGGGAGAAGAGTGGGAGAATTTGTAACTATAAGTTAGAGGTTCGTTTAATCTAAGCTCTGGCACACAAAAATTTACAAGAAATCTTTCGTTTTCATAAATGAAATTGAAACTGCAAAGTAAAAAAGATCGAGAAACCGGCAAATACTTGTCAAGTCATATGGCACTTATCAAGCATTCACTGTGCTTACCGAAAAACAAATCATAAATCGAGCAAAGGAGGCAAAAATGCTTTATGTTCGATTGGGGTTTTGGTTCCTAAGGAGAAGTCACTTAAAACTTAAAATATATGAAACTTAAATTCGAAATGGAAATAAATCAAATATGTAAATGCAAAAAATGTGAAATGGTAACCAAAAGCTACTACACTTATGTATGTATGTTTTAGGCCATATATGTATATATATATAAAGATATAGATATTGAAATGATAATTATGTAGACATAGAGCAGGCGATCTACGAGCAAACAGTTAACAGACAGTGGGCACATTGGGTTAGAGTCTTACATGGTTACATACTACATACATGACATCATGATCTTACATACATGGCACACACAAAAACTTGGACAACATGTGTGTGTGTGTGTGTGTGTTATGAGTGAGTGTGTTTAGGTTATGTTCTTAGATCATTAGAACTAGCTCAGGATGAACCCAGTTATTTGGATTGTTTTTTTCTTGAGGTAACACAGTCGCACACTTCCTCTAAGCAGAGGGGAGAAAGAGGGGGATTTACTCACTTGACGCCTTGTAGAACTCACTCACAGATTAGTTTGAGGGGGTACTCATTTACTGACGCACGGTACGTCGAGTGCTATACGAAATGGATTAACAACTGCTCGATTAAGGCAAATAAAACTCCCTCGATTTGTACAATTCCTTTATTTCAGCTTCATTTTGGGTTGGTTGGGCTCATAGCCCGCCATTATTTAATTCACAATTATCTCTGGACTCTAAGACGAAAGGTTGGGAGGGGGGAGGCAACTTAATCTGATGGTCTTTCCCCTCGAATTGGAAACAATTTTTGCTGTGGGTGGTTGTTTTCTCTTTGGACACATGCAAAAAAGACACGACACGAGACGAGCAATACATAAAAAAAAACAACAACAAACCAACTGAGCATTGGAATCGGTCCAGTTACACTATATATATATATCTATATAGATAGATCTGTGTGATAAAAAGTGTTTGTGTGTGTGTGGGGAGGGGAGGTGTTTATGTCGACAAGGTGAGGGTTTTTAGCTAACTAAGTAAAGGACACGGGACAAACAACTATCCAGGCAAAAGGAAATATTACTCTAAGCTCAGCTCATTCGGGTGGGTATTGCGATCTTCTGATCCATGGGTCAACTTCTGTTGCTGCTCGGGTGATACTACGCAATGTGGCAACCAAAAAGAAAACAGGAAAAAAGGAAACCCAAAACTAGGCAAACGATACATGGTGTGAGAGTGTCAGTTGTGTGTTTTTTTTTTGTGGTTCCACAAAATTTGCTATCATCATTCGATTCTACGCAACTATCAACAATTCACAACATTTCAGGAACTGATAACGAAATCATAAGTTCTAGAATTTGGGGGTAACTAAAACTCAAAGTGTGTGGTGTCCAGGGAGGAATTCCAATTTAAACTTGGGAATAGTTTTTTGTATGCATCATAGGCATGATAATAAAAACAAAAAAACATTATTAAATATTTCTCTGCTAAAAATAATCATTCTACTTGCCAGAGGAAGAGGACTTTATCCTAGTTAATATACAAAAATGAAATCAATGAAGGGAAAGAAAAGAAAAACGAAAAACTACCGAAAAAGCCTTTCAAAAAGGTTAACTCTGCAAACGAAACAGGCCGATAGAGATAGTTATATAGCAGAGAAATAGAGACAGATAGAGAGAGATGTAGTGAGACAGCATGAGTGAGAGACAAAGCAAGAGATAGCCAAGATAGGAAAATCAAAGAAAGAACACAAAAAGGTATAAACCAAGAGGAATATTGATCTTGCAAAATTTTGTTTCTTTGGATTTCACAACTAAATATTTAACTTTCATTCTTTCGGTTTAGGTTTTTAAGGTTTTTAAGGTTTTTTGTTTTGTTAAGTTAAGTAGAGGAAAACATAAGCTTTGTTGTAATTTTCACTAGTTTTACAAAAAAAATAGAAGAGACTTTGTTGCTTTTATTTTGTATTTTTTGTTTTTTTGCTTATTTTGTTTGCTGTTGTTTCTGGTGGTTTAGATTTAGATTTTTTGTTTGTGATTGTTGATTGTTCAGATGCTCGACTTACGATAGTCAGCATCGTTATTCTCCAAGTAGATCAGAGTTATCTGCTCCATATCGGGTAGCTCCACCCTGTAGATAATCTCGCCTGAGCAGTGATTAGTCGTTTAGCGATGATGGCGCAGATTTAGAAGAATTTAGTAGTAGGTAGTAGCAGTAGTAGTAGTAGTTATATATAGTAGTAGTAGTAGTAGTAGTTGGTTGTTGTCGCAGTTCGTGGGCGCATGGTTATAACAAATATACATATATATGTTTACATATAGAGATATATATCGGTGGTCATATTGTTGGTTTAATTTGTTTTTAATTCGATTGGTTGGTTGTTGGTTTGATAAGTTAAATATTTATATATATATATATATAGAGAGATTGAGAGAGAGCGAGATATTGATATTCGAGTGTGTGTGTGTGTGTGTGAGTGGTATGGGAAATCGAGTGTAAGAAAGTTTCGTGAGTTAAACAGAGGTTTACAAAGAACAAATTAAGGTTATGTTTGGTGTTTGGTTCCATCATGGATATATTCAAATATATATATTCAGATGTGGAGTGACGTTGCGTTTACGTTTACGCACAATTTTAAAACGGTAGTAGATATAGTAGCAGACATAGTAGTAGAATAGTAGTAGATTCGAACGGTAGTAGTTGTTGTTGCCGTTGAGTAGTAGTAGTTGTTGTTGTTTGTTGGTTGGTTGGTTGATTGGTTGATTGGTTGGTTGGTTGGTAGTAGTAGTTGAGTAGTAGGCAAACAACACAAGAATTCAAAGTAGTTCACAGACACAGGGGTTAAATGTAAAAGAAGAAGAACAAAAATACCAAAGGATTAACAACAAATCGAAATCGAAATCACCATTTTACTCATATCTTCTACTGTCTGTCTGTGTCTGTGGCTGACTGAAAGAACTGAACTTAACAGAAAATCAAAAATGAAACTCGAAAAGGAACAGAAAATGAAAGGAGAGTTGAGTTGAGTTGAGTTTTCTTTTCTGTCTTGAGTGAGTGAGCATCCCGAGCTGAGAATTGTCCAAGGAAAACTTTCTTTCGGTTGGCTGTGGCGTGTATCTCTGTATTTATAATGAATCTGATCTGTTCTGTATCTGTTCACACCAAAAGTACGCCATTCCAGAGTTACATCTATATAGTTAGTATGTACAGTATTATATTATATCGCATCGAGTGTGTATGTGGCAACATTGAAACACGACGTGATACAAGCGGATAATAAAAGAACGAACAGCGAGTTGAGAATCGAAATGGTATAGTTTGATTTTCTGTCATCAATATGTCCGTATATCGTACATTATAGTATGCGAACAATCAGGGCAATCGAAAGATGTAACTTAAAAGGAGAAAAACCTAAAACACTAAGACCTTGTCCTTGAAAGATCATTGCCTGATGTTCAGATTTAATGTACTTCCTGTACAACTTCTATTCATATATTCATATGCAAATCTGATGTATACATCATTTTACATATTTCTTATGATTTCCTTTATACATTTAGTGTACATTTAATGGACATTAACATGCATATGATAGAGTTGGTTCGAAAGTTACATTTGGACGATCCATTCATCGTCGATCGGTTAGATATATAGAAATATAGTGGGCTATATATATAGATTTGGAAGATCTTGACATGTATTTATAGCGATAGATAGTGATGTAAGATCGCCAGAGACATGTGATGTACAGATGTATGTATGATCGTAAATAAAAAGCGCTGAGAACCCAAAACTTCGAACGGAACGAACACAAAAATCAAATTACCGTTAATCACGTGTGATGTCTTGATGTATGCATGTATGTAAATAGTTATGTTATGTATGTATATATATATGCAGGTAAGTTGTGGTTAATCGTATGTCTTTCTGCTGAGACTGTGTTAGTGTTTTCTTACAGCAAATGCAATTCTATGTATGTTAAAGTTATGTAAATCGAAAAGTTAGCATTATGTTAGGTCTGTTTTATGTTCAATGGATAGAGATATACTCAGTTATAGATTATATAGTTAGATATCGATATGTATATGTTGGTAAATTCTTCTGATCGAGTACATACCTCCTTCAGCATTGGCATCGTCTTGTGTGTAGCAAAGCATAAAGGCTAGAAAACGAAGAGAAAACAAACGAGAAACCGAAAGGGAAGAGAAAAAGAGAGAAAACAGAAGAGAAGAAATCGAAACAGATATGGTTTTGTCAGTTTAAAACAGAATAGCGGTGGAGATCGGTTCATTTTGGGGTACACACAACATTATATATTATATTATTAATATTATTTGGTTCAAAAATGTGATCCTGAATGGTTCTTATTCTTATTGCTTTCAAAGCAAACATAAAGATATATGGTCACACTTGGTAACATATGTAACCTTGATGTAAGAACCATTCAGGATCATCTCGAAAGTTGGAGAAACCATCTGAAGGCTCCTTCTACTTCTGTATGTATTATAGTTATTAGAACAGGATGGCAAGTAGTCAAAGGTTGTTTGCTAGATATCATTAAAAACTGTTTAAAATTCGTAGTGATGTAGATATTTGATGAAAGCAGCTGGACACAGAGTTTATAGTTTTGATATTTTGATAGAGAGACGAGCGATAAGAAGTTAGATGTACTGTCAGTAGAGAGTAGCGTTAGAAAAAGCTTTTTAAATGAACTAAAGAACGAAATCAACTTGGATTCATCTCGATGGGGGTTCGGTGATGATGTATCGATGTATGATTGTACATTGATGTAGATCGTGCAACTCTGCCGCTGAAGAACGCTCTTCGGGATACAGCTAAAGTTTCTTCTTAATATTTGTTTTTAGTTTTTAGCTTAATCCAAGACTATATACACGATGATGGCCATGAACTATAGAACTCCCCGCGAACGACTAACGGTTAGTAAGATCGTGTGACTATAGCGTACTGTCTAAAATGTATACAAAGTGTGTGTGTGTTTGTGTGTTTTCGTTTACAGGTGTTTGTGTGATTGTTAACCAAGACTAGACCATCTGAGAAGCCCTGACACCTTAATACATTTACAAGCGGATAGACCTTGATATATACAGATATATATATATATCGCCGATATCGGCTCCGTTCGGAAATATTTCCCTGCGATAACTTCGGCACTTACGTTGCGGCTCATTCGCCTGGTTGTTGTTGACATTGTTGATGTCAATTTCGCTGGTGCTGCTCACAACTCCATTGGCTAAACATTAATAGTTCGGGATCGGGGCACACGCAAGATAGATAATACAACATCCAACATCCAAGCACATCGAATGGGACAGGAAATGAGTGTGTGGTGTGTTTTGTTTTTTTTTGGTGATGATGTGTGTGATGTTTCAGTGTGGTTGATTCGTTGGTTCATCAATGGATTCGATCGGTATATATCCAGGATTTGGTAAATGTGAATCGGATGAGTGTTTTCGGACATCACGGGTTTCGGTGGGGTAAAAACATATATGAAAATAAACAAGAAATGGAAATCATATAAAATGCATAACAAAACGATAAATATATAAGAATTGGGAGGGAGCAATGTGGGTAGTAAAACATCTCAACCAGAAACATTAAACGAAACATTTTTCTAATTTATTTTGAATAAATTAAAAACATCAACTCAGGACAGGACAAATAATACAACAACTGTAAGCCTCTGATGACTATTCTTCACAAATATTTGCTGAATGTAAAGTAAATCGTTAACCTTTCATGCCCACAAGTTACAAATGACTTAACAATAAGTTGAATAGTTTTAAGGAACCGACTTTTATGACACATAAACAATGGTTAAAACATACGTTGATAACATAAACACATCTTGTTACGGCATGAGAGGGTAAACTAAGAACAATCACCATTGCCAAGTAAGAAAAAAGATAACTTTATGGGACAAGGACATCGTGAGGTTTTTTGTGCAAAATTTGTGCTCTCCACGAAAGATGTCTTAAAAAACATGTAAATCTTTCTTATAGTTAACAGAACAGACACACTCTCGAAGTCAGTCAGAAACACCCGCCCATTATAGCAGACACACACGCTCATCCATATCCAGTCAGAAATTGAGTAGAGAAAGCGACAGAGTAGAAAATCTTTGAGCCTTAAGCCTAGGACTAAAACAAAAGAACGCCTTGGATTGAGATTTAGTTGATTGATGTTCTCCCATTATTGGCCATCTCCGGAGAAAGAGCGAACGATCGAGTCTGTGACAGAGTCGGACTGCTGGCTTCCCTTGGACTTGGTCTACTTACGCTCTTGGTCGCTGCCATCTTCATTCTTCTCATCGCGACTCTTCATAAACGGAAATTTGCGCGAGAATGTGAAATTCTTTTTCTTTCGATCCAATGTCGATTGCTGAAAGTACAGAAAGAAATATAATGATTAGTTAAGATTCTGGGAAATGGGTTCTTAAGAGCCCTTAGCTTAACCCACCTTATCCAGATTATTATTGGCTGCCGCATGACCCTGGAACTTCACACTGCGATCCCTGGCTCGCATCTTGCGCTCCCAACGCCTTTTCGATGGCACAATGCCGATCTGCTCATCCTCATTGTCGCCCAGTACCCGTCGTGCCTGCCACCATTCATCGTCGGAAGCATTGGTCACATGCAGGATATCGCCATGCTTAAAAGGCAATCCTCGCGAGGGCAATCCATCGTCACGATTGGGGTCATAGTCGAACAGGGCGCGCACATACAGCGATCGTTTCTGCGTGGTTCGCAGCAGTGTTCCCGATCCTCCGGCACCGAGGGCAGCCTGTTGTTTCAACTCCTGGATGCGTGCCTCAAAGCGGTTGTACTCCTCAGGGCGGTACTGCGCCAACAGGGTCACCACACCGCCAGAAGTCTGGAATAATGCAGATTTAACTTCTGCTAATGGCAAATACCGAGTCGGAACTCACCTTAAGTGCCTGGGCCGCCTCCTCGTGGGTGGCGTGCGTGAGGTTGACATTGTTCACGCTGAGCAGCTGATCGCCGCGCTTAAGCTCGGAGCCAAGATCGGCAGGGCCGCCGGCCAGAATGAAGGACACATAGATACCCTGGCCATCTTCGCCGCCAACGATGTTGAAGCCCAGGCCCTGAGGTCCCTTCTGGATGGTGATGGTGCGCGGTTCTCTATGAAGGCAAGACTTTATTATAACCGAAAAACGTGCAAAAGGGTTAAGAAAACTCACCTGGTTATATCCTCGGTGCTGACAGCGCGCGGAGTTCCTGGCGGAACGGCGGCCAGGACATTCGTGGAGGCATATCGCGAGCCGGGCTCTAGGTTGTTATTTAGAAATTTGTGATTTTGGTTTAGGTTTATCGGTCGTTTTTTTTTTGGTTATTATTATTTCACATTGAATGGGAATAATTATTGAGACATGACAGAGATAGACAGAGAGACAGAGACAGAGAGAGACAGATATAGAGCGGTTAATAATGCTTTTCGAAAATATAATGATTTCTTTGCAGATTGGAGCGCGTCCAGAAAGAGTCCAGACAGAGACAGAAATAGAGACAGACAAACGCATAAGGGACAGAGACAGCTGGCACCGCCGAGAAAGAGAAAGAAACTGTTTAAAGAAAAAGACAGCGACAATAAAACTGAGGCCAACGGAAACCAAGATAACGGAAGACAGAACAGAACGGAAACTGAAGATAGCATTTGATTTTTTTTTTTTTTTTTTTTGATTTAACCCCTCCACAACACAAACACACACTATACACACAGGCACACACGATATCCCAGGCACACCAATAACGCTTGTTAACACCTTTATATTACAGCACAACAAATCAACAGAGATCGGCGGATCAGATATATGTATATTATTAATATTAATATTATTATTATGGTCTGATCGCCGGAACACAACTTTAGAACAGGCACAGATCTAGAGGGCGGGATGTTCAAATCAACAGCAATATGGCGGTGAGGACACTGACTACAGGAGAAGGCGGGAGCAGCTTCCAGCGTGTGTGGTGTGAAAATGAAAGTGATCTCTTCTAGGACCTCAAATTACTTGGCACAGCAGCAATAGCATTTGAATATAGGTGGGAAATATTGGTAGGAACATATATACGAAAGGGTTATATATATGTGTGAAGGATAAGCGTGAGGAAGGATAAACCTTTCTCGAGTGCTTTTATGAGTTGGGATCTCACATCTCATAAACCCAGTCGAGTAGGTCAAAAATATACACATAAAATGGTTAACTTATAAGCTATCCTAATAAAGAAATCATTTTTGTAACTAAATACTGATTAAGTTACTTTAAAAATGGATTAGAAAATGATAAGCCTTTCAGATTATCTAAGAAAAAAGGGTCTTTACAGAGATTGACTCAGGTTAACTTCAAAGAAGAACTTAGAAAACCAGAAAGGTATTAGAAATCAAGAAAAATATACAATAAAATACAATATTCTTATCAAATAAAATGTTAAAGAAGGAAAAAGAAAGGAAACAAAGAGCCATGATGAAGCCCAGGACAAGTGCATTTATGCTTAGAGATCTTAAGACCTCCGATAAACACCTTTGGCCTGGACATTAATGATATATATAGATATATATTAGTCACAAAAGAAGATCGGTTAAATAATAAACAAATCAATAGCTTACGACGCGGCTGGGGTGATTGGGAACGGTTGTTTGTTTGATTGGATTCGACAGGCAGGGCGGGCATGGAAGCATTGTTATAGAAGGAGGCGGGTGGAGATGCTGCTGCTGCTGTTGGTGTTGCTGCTGCTGCTGCAACAGTTGCCGTCGTGCTGCTATTACTGTTGTTGTTGTTGTTGTTGATGTTATTGCTGTTGTTGATGTTATTGCTGTTGCTGTTGCTATTGCTAATGCTAATGCTGCTGTTAGCGCCAAGCGACGGCGGCAACTTGCTGCTACTGTTGTTGGTGGCTGTGGCCGTGACTGTGGTGACTGTGGTGTTGCTGATTGTGTTGTTGCTTGCAATGACTGATGCAGATGCAGATGCAGATGCAATTGCTGCTGCAGTTTGTGGTGTTGGTGGTGAATCGACAACCGTATGTCCCACACTATTTAGCGCACCTGTCGACTGCGAATTGACCATCGGCGTCTGATGCTGCTGCTGGTGCACCTGACTTTGGCTCTGGCTGGTTGCCAACTGCGATTGCGACTGCGACAACTGTTGTCCAGATGATAGACCTCCTCCGCCGGACGCACTGGTGGTCAGGTGCTGCGTCTTGCCAATGATGAGCGTCACCTTGTCGGTGATGGACTTCAGTGTGGCCACCGCCAGTTCGTGCGTTACGTTCTCCAGGTTCTTTTCGCTCTGTCAGGAGGAGGATATAACATAATCAAATCAGAGTTGCTTATTGGAATCTATAGTAGAACACTCACCCCATTGGTGCGCACTGCAATCAGTTTGTCTCCGATCGAAAGACGTCCATCCACCTGCGCTGCTCCGCCGTCCATCAGCTTGGTCACATAGATACCATTATCGCCGGGGATATGCTGGTTGCCAATGCCGCCGGCAATGGAGAAGCCCAGTCCCTTGCCGCCCTTGACCAGATCGATTTCAATGACCTTAGGACCACTATCCCGGGCATCTCCAGCTGCCGATCCGGCTGCCGGAGTTGTGGCCGTTCCACGTTTTCGTTTCACATGCAGCTTAACCACATTTCCTGCCTTCTTTAGAGCATCCACAGCAGAGGCATGTGGCACATCCACCACGGACACCTCGTTCACGGAAACGATGATGTCGTTAATGCTCAGCCGTCCATCGGCGGCAGCTGCTCCGCCGGAAATGAGCTTGGTGATGTAGATGGAGGTGTCGGTGCCGATGTGCGGATTGTCTGTACCGCCGGCAATGGAGAAACCCAAACCAGAGTTGCCCCGCTCCAGCTGAATGTCCTCGTATAACCAGCTATCATCGCCATTAACCTGGAGGGGAACACAGATTATTAGTTTGGTTCATAAAGAGTTATGGGCTTTAGAAATGATTACATAATGTGTTGGTAAGTGTTCAAGTGTCTTATGAGGTGAAAATGTAATGGGAGGTGTGTTTATGTGTGTGTGTACATACAGTCAGTAATGAGTTACATAAATGTTAACCAAGTTTTTATTGGTATTAGGACGACTTTCTTTGGTTATCAAATGTACATCACATTTTAATTGATTGCTTTTACTATCAATATAATCTTAATCAGTTCAGATTTGTTTGTCAAGATTATGTCAAAGATAAACAGAAAGTTGCATTCCAATTAGTAGCAAACCAAGTTATTGCTCAACATTTGTAAATAACATCTTTGCAATGAGAACTTCATAAATTCATCTTCTTTATTAACAATGTAGTAACAAATTTATGAACTTGTTTTTACTTTTGCTTGTTACATAAAATTTCGAAATTGGCCCACCCTGAAATATATATTTTTCCCAGCTAAGATGCGATATATATATGACCTTCTCAGGTTTTTCAGTGATTTTGTGATGTCATAGCATGGATAATTCAGTTAAGGCAGCGAATACATAAAACAACATGAACGAAGACAATACACGACGATCACAAACAGACAAATGCAAATGCAGTTAAAAACGAAGACAAACAACGTTGATTTTTTAGTGCCCAGTTTCCATTATCGAGTTCTACTTTATTTTCAGGGGAAATCAAAGATTTATTTTACAAATGCCAGTTCTCAGACATTGGAATATGAGAATAAATTTTAGACACCAAAAAGATATGACCAGTATAACCAAATAAAGTAGATTTCGACAATGGAACCAGAGATGGGTTATGATCTTTTTCCACTTTTGGATTCATCCGGTGGCTTACCTTTGCCGACGACGCCTTATGGAGCTGAAAGTCGATGAAAGTGAAAGAGGAGGAAAGTTTAGAGAGGATGCTATTCCAAAGTTGTGTGACTAATAAATATGGTATATATATACGTATATTAACCCTCTAAAGGCCCCCTCAAACTGGCTGGAGATGGGAAATCGTGTCAATGGCGACTCTTGAAATATCTTGAATTATCTGGGCCGTAGCCAAAACTCTCGTTGCAATTAACGGGCAACCAAAAAATGGAAAACCAACAAACAGTGTGCTAAAAATGGCAACAAAAAACAACAAAAAAAACAGCTTGCACAACTTAAAGCGATCTTGATGGGTTAAGGGGTAAGGAGGGGCTGCCGGGCTGCCGGGGTGACGGGTTATGGCATCGTTAAACGAGTTCAATTGATTAGCAGGCCAGTGTAAATGAATTCATCAAGCAGCGACGACAGCAACATTAACCCTAAGAAAATGCAAAAGTGGGCGTTTCTCTTTCCCTTAACCCCACAACATATACATACATTACATATATATCTATCTGTATATATCTATATATTGCCATATCGGATGCTCTTGTCTAGCGAAAAATTGCCAATTAACCCTGGAGAGTGGGTCAAGATAAGTATACGCCTAAGGGAACCCAAGCAGGCGGGCTAAAAATATTAATATGCTCTTTGGGTTAATCGCTGGAGGATACTCTGTGCAGTGCAGCTACAGTGGTTGGTCGATAAACAAGAATCTTAACCCACTTTCTTAATAATACTCTTTATACAACTTTTCTTCAGGTAAATCATAGACATAACCTTGCAAAATGAACGCCCCTTAAATAGATTTAATTTCTTTAATTACACGAAAAAATATACGTGTTACATCTATGAGAGCCCATTAGCGGGCTAACACTGTACAAGGCACTTAGGCTAACAGGTTCGTGCCGCTTTTGCTTCCGCTGACAACTCTGGTTACACTTTTTCCAACCCAAAAAGAATTATAAAAAGAAGAAAAATTACATCATAAAGTTAACAATCGGAACTCACTTAATAGGAGCGGGCAGCAGGGGGACCAAATGTTGGAGGGGGGGGGTCACAAAAATGTGGTCGGGGTGTTGGGACAAGCACAAGACTTTGAGCCAACTAAACCCCAGGCACAAAAAAAAAGTAACAGCAACAGCACGCTATATTAACGGGGCCAACGAGCTACAATCGGTTTTTTTTTTTCGTACTTCTGCTACTTTTTTCTTTTCTGGGCCTTGTTTTTTTGTAAAGTTGTACACCCTTGAAATTAGTAGCTGGCACTAAAACCAAATCATATCATATATAGAGCACTTATCTTATCTATGATAAACATATGCTTTGGGGGCCACCAACACAAGCGCACTGAAAATGCGGAAAACCCGAACCTAGACGATAAAATTCTTAAGCTTTTGTAAGAAACTCATAAATTCCAATGCACATTTTGATATTGTTATAGAACGAATTGAGATGATTTAAGTTCTATAAGGCCCTCGCAAATCAACTGAGTCATTAAATTATATTCTATTTCAAGTACTCAACTCATTTGATTATTCGCTTTGCATGCAAAGCGAGGAAAATGTAATTTAATACCCAATGCGCCAGTAGAAAATTGTAAACAATGCCTGATTTCAGCCTATACTATATTATAGTAGATATGTAACAAAGTTTTCTAGACTTAAGCTTATAGATAAATAAGTTAATGAATAAAATTGATCGCATTAGAGGCCATATTTCAGGGTTCTTTGAAATGGTAAACCAATTCTAGTCAGGTATAACCAACAGGGTTTTCTTTAAAAGAATAAAGCATCGAAATTTAAAATATATATATCATAAAAATATATGGCTCACAACAATATTATTTTTAGTACGATCATAAAGACTAGCGAAAACCAAAGACCAACCAAGATAAACAAATATGACGCATAGGAAAATCGGATGAGATATCAGGCTAAAGAAGTCAAGATTATATTTACAGGCATTTTAAGACTATAAAGTAGTGGAGACTCCCAAGAATTCTTCAGTTCTAAACCCCACCGAACGTAATAACTTTTCCTACATCAATATTATTAATAAAAAACCAATGGATAATAATCCAGGGCCAATGAGAAATTTGAATGCGTCAAGCTGCGTTGCACTTCATTGATCAAATCGAGTATAAAAATGTTGGCAAAATGCCCGGGGGTCTTTACTATATGGAATCGGACGCACATGACGGGACGTGACGGTGACGATGATGATCGTGGTCGAGACACCTGCGAGAAACGCAACTGAAACGGAAACTCAAACCAATTATTCCATTATTCAGCACCCAGAGGGGGTGGTGGTGGTGTTGGTGGGAGGAACTAAAATTATGGTTCAATATGTAAACTTGTCCTTCGAATTCATTTATTTGGCCGACAGACGATGCGTGATTTGTTTATAAGTATTTAAAATGAATCTGATCTAGAAAGTCAAGAGCCTTGGTTTTTACAGTGGATATTCGGTGGAGTCAGTAATTTTTGTTTTAAAATGACTAATAGTTAGTATTTACTCAGTTTCATACGAATTCTTACTAAATGATCAATTTCCTTCCCATCTCACTTATCCAATATCCACTGTACATTCCTTTCTTTTGTGGGTGGCAGAAGTCACGAAAATAAAACTATTTCTGGCAAAAAACGAGCGAGAGGGAGAATCCAAATTGGGGACAACAACAAGTGCAGTGGCTACGCCTGCGCTGAATATTAAGGGCACCAGCTACAACAACAACAACAATAATAATAACAAGAACTCTACAGCGAAAACAATAACAAAACCAACAAAAGAAGAACCGTTCGTTGAAGCATTAGAAAGAGATGGCTGAGAGTCTTTCTATTATTTTTCTATATTTCTTTTTTCGCTGCGAACGCAATGCAAAGACGCTAAAACGATGACAACGCACCCAATTGTCTGTGTATGAGTGCGCGCACAGTAACGGGCAAAACGGTAGAAACAGAATTAAAGTACGGTAAAGAACGCTGATTATTTGTTAGCCGTTAAAGGAAATCTAGTTTGAACTTATTTAAATACAATTCTAATAATGTTTTTACACTGCAATATGCCTATAGCCATCCAATAGGAAATCCTGCGATGTTATTTTAAGGTTTTAAATTGATAGAGAAACTTGATTACATTATATTTAATAGGAACACAGTTTACACAGATTTATGTTATTTCTAAAATGTATATAGGAAAAGAATGTTCGCAAAGATTGCCAAAAATACGCAAGCCTAGGACTTTTCAAAAGGTAAACAAAGCGCTAAACAAGTGTAAACAAACACTAAAACGCTTAAGTAAGCTGTAAATAAACAAACTTTTTGAGAACTGTGGTCTGGGGGCACTTTGGATCGAATCCATGTCGAGCGGAAGTAATAAAAGTAATTTTTGGCATTACAATTTTGCCCGCAGCTGTTCGCACACTCGTATATATCGCTTTTGAATCGAGGAAAATCGGCTAGCGTTCAGTTTGTCTGCGAATTTGATTTAAAAATAAACCATGGAATCATCGCACACTATATAGAGCACAGATGTCGAGCCTTTCTTGTCCATCAGATATACTATAATAATGCTAATGGGGATAAAACTCCCAATTTTTTTTTACCGAATCCAGATTGAAGAGTGATGAAACTTTCTTGATGAATCCGCCGCCACTGCCGCCACCGTCACGCTTCTTTTTCCTTGTTGTCATCGCTGCGGCTTTTATTTAGTTTAATTTTATCTTTATCTTATGTTTATATTTGTATTTTCTTTTTTATTATGGCAGTTCAAGGGTTAAAGTTACAGCCACACAGACACCAACACACCGACAAATGCCGGCGCTGATGCTTCTTCTTCTTCCTCTTTTCGTTTGATATTTCTTTTTCTTTACTTTTTATTTGTGATTATCCAACTTTCTGCACTAGATAAACAAAAAATGCACACATTTCGAACTTTATTTTATATATATTTGTATTTAAATCGTACGCACGGGCGTGTTGTTTGTGTTTTAGCGATCGGGAAACTGAAAAAAAGAGGCCGCCGAAACAACAAACACAACACACGCACACACTCAGAACAAAAAGGCAACACGCACACACACGAGTGCCAGAGGAGAGCGAATTCTTTTTTTTCGGTATACCGACGAAAATTCTCTCTCTCTCGTTGTTTTGCTGGCATTTTTACCCCCGCCACCACTGATTCGATCGATAGACCGCGACCTATCGTTATCGCTCGTTCTGACAATGCTCGCTCTCACTCTCGCACTCTTTAGAGTTACGCATTGCCGCTGACGGTATCGTACATGGCTCATAAACAATTCAACCGAATTAAATTACTTGCGTTCACATTTCCAATGCACAAAAACAAAACAAACAAACAAAAAAAAGTACAGCAGCAGAACGCGAACGCGACGAAAACAACACACCCAACTACTAGAATCGATTTTTGCAGCTATAGCTTCGCCTATCGATAGGCGGCACTGTGACCGTATAGTGATCTCTAAGCAATACCAAAAAATACTGAGACAGGGGTTTTAGTATTTTTAGCATAATATTACTTAAATTTTAATTATTTTTTGTATTTTAGTAAACCATTTTTTCGATGTAAGGCAGTGAAGTAATATTTAAACAATGGAAATCCAAGATATATAAAAAATATAATGGGAAATTTGTAAATAGGGTTTGTGTCATGGGTATATCTGCCGGGAAAACTCAAATTTTTTAAAAAATATTCTAGTTTCCAAAATGCAGGGCCTTTTATAAATATTTTAGGTGTACAATATTAATTGAAAAGCAAAACTTAAAATAAAAATCAATACAAACCATAAATCATCAAAGCAATTAAAACGAACAAACATATCAAAAAAAGAAGCGCAAATATGTAAATATATATTTTTTGTTTTGTTTAATTTTCACATGGTATGTTTCTTAAAAATAAAATCAAATTTCATTTGGCAACTGAAAACATTAACATAACCAAGTCATGCATAAGAACTTAGGCTTAAATTATAAGTAAATCGAATGTCTTTATTACAATGTTCATTTATTTGTTTCTTAAGTAAATACAAATCAAACGGAATCATGCACCAAAGAACTTAGTATCAACATCGTAAGCTTTTATATAAAGAAAATGTGTTACGCCTGTTGGCGATTTTCCCGTTTTCGTATATATTTTTCTTTCTGGCCAGGTTAGCTACAACAGGCCAACAACAACAACAAGAACAACCCACCGGAAACGGAAATGGGCGACGCTTGGCCCACAAAAAAAGAAGCAAGAAGGCCGAGCGCCTTAAGTAAGTAACGATTCGTTAAAAAGGCAGGAAAAATTGTGGAAAATGGTGGAAAAGGCGGGTAAATAAAGTGGGCGGGTATGGTATAAAACGGGCGTGCTCCCAATTACACTGGGGTTTCCATTGGCGATTTTCACAAAACTGGCGTTTCCTCCTCCTCCTGTTCTAAATGAATAATTAACTTGAAAATGTAGTTTCAGTCGCATGTAAAAAATCCATCATAACTTGAATTTAATCAATTTTCAGTAATACAGATCTAGAGCAACTTATATATATATAATATTTTCGAAAGTTGCATCTTTATCTTTATAATGTAATTACATATTGATATTCATATTAACGATGGAAGCTAGGGAAACACAAGATCAAGATCAAAAAAAGAGTGGGAGAAAAAGAAAAAGTGATGCCAGGCAATGGTCGAAGCTCACAAAACCTTTTCCGTTTCGGTCCTTTGAGATCTTTAAAAGACATAGTATCCACGTCGCATGTAAAAAATCCACCATAACTTGAATTTAATCAGATCTAGAGCAACTTATATATATATATAAATATACAATGTATTCGAAAGTTGCATCTTTATCTTTACTGATTAATATTCATAGCACTGATCGAAGCTAGGGAAACACAAGATCAAGAACAAAAAGTGACTGGAGAAAAAGAAAAGGTGTCACGAAAAGAATTCCAATAGATTAGACCCAATCATGGTCAACACCCGGAAGTTTAGGGGAATACCAGTACCGGGAACGTAAAACCAAAGCTACGATAGACCAATAAATGCAAGACCAACATCTTCCAGTTCTACCATAACCGCGCAAGGGCCAAAGTATTCAAAGGGCAGAATTAGATGAGCACAACTACGACGAAGTTAGAGCCTCCGGAGCTGCACAAAATACTAAAAGACAAAGCAAAGATGGAGTCTACCATAAACAACGCCAATAAAAGGATATGAGAGGATATAATGATAGAGCATAAGAGGATAAAGGAAACGAGATCCATTGAGACGAAAGTTGATCAACAAGGTAAGGTTGTCTAAGGTAAAAGATTATTAGATTATATCGAAAGTACTTCAAACGCACACCGACTCAATCTACATAAATGAATAGAAAACATAGACTTATGGACGATCACAATTTACAGAATTTATAGAAAGTTTCTGTAACCTTCAAAAGGTAATAAATAAAAATGAAGTAGCATCTTTATCTTTACTGATTGATATTCATAGCACTGATGGAAGCTAGGGAAACACAAGATCAAGATCAAAAAAAGAGTGGAGAAAAAGAAAAGGTGTCACGAAACGAATTCCAATAGATTAGACCCAATCATGGTCAACACCCGGAAGTTTAGGGGAATACCAGTACCGGGAACGTAAAACCAAAGCTACGATAGACCAATAAATGCAAGACCAACATCTTCCAGTTCTACCATAACCGCGCAAGGGCCAAAGTATTCAAAGGGCAGAATTAGATGAGCACAACTACGACGAAGTTAGAGCCTCCGGAGCTGCACAAAATACTAAAAGACAAAGCAAAGATGGAGTCTATCATAAACAACGCCAATAAAAGGATATGAGAGGATAAAAGGATAAGGATATGAGAGCCATTGTGACGAAAATTGATCAACAATTGGCAAAGGTAAAAGAGTATTAGATTATATCGAAAATACTTCAAACGCACACCGACTCAATCTAGATAAATGAATAGAAAACATAGACTTATGGACGATCACAATACACAGAGTTTATAGAAAGTTTCTGTAACCTTCGAAAGGTAATAAATAAAAATGATTTTGTGAAACCGCCAGAATGAAGCGCGAAATACAAGATCAAGAACAAAAAGTGACTGGAGAAAAAGAAAAGGTGTCACGAAACGAATTCCAATAGATTAGACCCAATCATGGTCAACACCCGGAAGTTTAGGGGAATACCAGTACCGGGAACGTAAAACCAAAGCTACGATAGACCAATAAATGCAAGACCAACATCTTCCAGTTCTACCATAACCGCGCAAGGGCCAAAGTATTCAAAGGGCAGAATTAGATGAGCACAACTACGACGAAGTTAGAGCCTCCGGAGCTGCACAAAATACTAAAAGACAAAGCAAAGATGGAGTCTACCATAAACAACGCCAATAAAAGGATATGAGAGGATATAATGATAGAGCATAAGAGGATAAAGGATACGAGAGCCATTGAGACGAAAGTTGATCAACAAGGTAAGGTTGTCTAAGGTAAAAGAGTATTAGATTATATCGAAAGTACTTCAAACGCACACCGACTCAATCTAGATAAGTGAATAGAAAACATAGACTTATGGACAATCACATTTTACAGAATTTATAGAAAGTTTCTGTAACCTTCGAAAGGTAATAAATAAAAATGATTTTGTGAAACCGCCAGAATGAAGCGCGAATGGGAGCAGCCTTGGGGTAAACTACGAAGTAATGAATTCTTCGAGCTGGGGGCTAATTACACAACCCGCCGTTTCCACTTCCTCAACATGTTCTTGAGGTTTTCTTGTTGTACTTCTGCCTTTGAAGACTTTTCCCAGTTGAAAAACTCGGGAAGGTGGGGAAAAAAACTAGGTGGACTCGAAAGCGCGCTTAAGCATTTTAGCCAGATTGCCGTTGTTAAGGCAAAGTTGGTAATGGTGTTGGCTTTGATGTTGATGTAGTTGTTGATGATGTTGTTGTTGATGTTGTTGTTGTTATTGATGTGTATGTGGATGCTGATGGAGGCTTACGAGGATTCGCTTGCGTTGGTGTGCGTGCTGGTGTATCTGTGTGTGCGACTGTATCTGTATCTGTATATGTGATTTGTTTTTTGTTTTTTTACATGGATTTTTAACTGAGACCATTGGCGCAAATGATTATATTGCAGCAACTTACAGTCTGCGACCCGCTCCTTGACTTGGTTCCCTGCTGCAACTGCTGCTGCTGCTGTTGCGGCTGCTGCTGATTTTGCTGCAGCTGCTGCGGGGAGCGGGAACTGCGCTGTTGCTGCTGCTGCTGCTCGGCCGGTGGCTCCTTTGTATTTTCCGTGTCCGACTCGATGCGCATGCGTTGATTCTGCGAAAGATCAAATCAAAGTGGAAAGTGATCAGTAAAAGTATCACAATTATTATTATATAATATAATATATGTATCAAGGAAAGTTATTACTACACTCGTTTTTCAGCCATTAAACTTTGAACAAAATATATAGCCTACTTCTCAGCTGATGACTTAAAGAAAATTCCAAATACCGACAGACTTATCGTTCAATATCTCAAGGATTCATATCATCATAATGGTTAATGAGATTATTTAATAGAAAATCGATATTTTTTAGACCTTTCATCCCTTTACCACTTACATTGGCACAACAGCAGGCATATCGAGAACCGATCCCACCCCCCGAATCATTATCTCTTTCCCTTTCCTTTTCCTTATCCTTTTTCTGACGATCCCTGGACTGATGTTGATCCTGTTGATGTGTTTGTTGTTGTTGCTGTTGATGATATTGTTGTTGTTGTTGCTGCTGCTGCTGCTGCTGTGGCGGCGGCGCCGTTAATTGACGTCGACGTCGACGCATTCGCACCGGCGACCGCGAGCCAACATAATTTGAAAATCGGCGCCTCGAATGCCTGACAATTGACACCCAGTCAATCATTTCTCACAGTGTATTCTCAACCCCGCGATGATTTTATGATGTTTTATGTTTTATATTTAATAAAGCTCTTGTTTTATTTTAATCGGTGGGTTGGGTTGTCTTTGTGGTTTTCACTTTGTGCGTTTCATTTTATCTTAAAAAATATGTTAAAAAATTTAAAAATAAAAACAGATGGTGTCTAAGACCAGAATGGGTTCACAATTCGGTTTCGTTCCACTTTAATATATTCCCAGAAAATCTTTAAAAATATTCATAAGCGCTGGCTAATGTTTTCTTACTCAGAATAATTATGAGAAGTGAGAAATTTTGCTTTGCCTTTTCAAAGAATCTCATTCTAATTATGATTTCGCATTATTTTTGTTTAGGTTTGATGATTTAATCACTAAATAAACATTAAGAAGTCAACATCAAGGGGCTAATGTGATGTCGTCTTTGCTCCTTTGAAGAGTTGCGATAGCAACAAGTTGAGTGCAAACAGCCGGAAAAGCGTAAAGGCCGGAACGAATGGGATTGAAATCGGCACCCTTCGCTGTCTTTTGTTTGTTTTTCACCGGTTACACACACACACAGAGAAAGAGATGGAAATCTGTTTGCCATTTTTATATTTGCAACTCACAAATAACCAAAAATTAGACACAAAATTTTGGTTAATATTTAAAAATATTTAATTAACCGGAATAAACCGAATCCGTTGGGTAATCTCTCTTGGTAGCCACTATATATTTATCTAAGTTTTCAATGAATCATAAATCATTTTCATATTTTCCCTGAGACTTGTTTATTTTGCTTGCATTGAGAGCGATGAATTGATTTGCGATCACTTTGCCAGAAACAATATTTACATTTTGAGTTTATTTATGATTTGTTATTATTTGATTTTTGATATTTTTATAACTATTAGAATGAAAAGCTGCTCTAGATTTCAGTTTAAAGTGTTTAATTTATAACAAAAACCCAGTTCGTAGTGCACTTTTCGAGTGTCCACTGTTTTATATTGTCTTCTCGCAGAGAGTTCACTTTTCATTAGATTTTGAATAGAGTGCGCCGTGCCAAGGCCCGAAAACCGAATGCCAAATACATTTTTTTGTTTACACTCAGAGCGTAGAAACATGTGTTCTCCTGTGCGGATGTTCTAAATTCGAAATTTCTTGTTGCTGTATGAGAATTTCTCTCGAAATAAGCAGCGGAAAATCAAAATCCGAACGCTATTTGGCATGAAAGAAACGCAAGAAAAGCCAAACGTTGCGAGCTGCCAAAATAAATAGATTGATATATTGCTCGACTCATTTATGTTGTTGTTGTTGTTGTTTTTGTTGCTGCTTTAACGATGTTTTCCAATGCCAGACGACCATGAATGAAAAACTCAAAAAGAGACAGCAAAGAAAATGAGAAAGAACGGAAAATAGCTAAGAAAAAGAAAAGGGCTGAGTGACTAAAAGTAACCAAAATTCGAAAATAAGTTTAATATTTCACAAAATCTTTAAAATCAAAAATACTTCCCACCCCTAAACTAATTCACTTAACACCAAATAGTAATCTTAAAACAAGTTTTCCAATTTGCACATTCTTGGCCATTTCCACAAGGCATTTTCCGCACTAAAAACCTAAAACGTGTCAACCATATGCTGTGAATTATCACCATTTCCAGCAATTAATTAAAGTAATGGCTCAATTAACTGCTGTGCAGGTTTAATCACTTTTAATTTGTGCCACCTGGTGTGGTGGCTTTTAATTGGTGAGCCATTGCTCTCATGGCACGTGGGGCGTATACGTAATATTTGGAATTCTGCCTGTTGTTCATCCGCCCCGTAGTTCACCTGCCTGACTGCTTGCCTTGTAAATGCCTCAAACTTGTTCTTGTTTTATGTATCTTGTTTTTGTTCTGTTCTTATATTCTTTTTTTTTTTTTTTCTTATTGGCTGTGTACATTCTGTCTTACAATTATGTAAAATGTTTGTCTTTTGGCGCCAAAGGAGATGAGTGATGGACACGCATGTGTCAGAGTCGTTAGAGAAAAAGTAGCAGGGTAACAAAATAGACACCGGCCATCGACTGATAACAACAATAAGATACAGCAAGGTGGGTCACACAGAAAAAAAAAACACAAGAAACTATGATTTTATTACAATTTTTGTGGGAAATATTCGTTGGTTTTGGGAATATGGTTTATGGTTTATATTTTGTTGCACTTTTAAGTTGGTTTCTCACAAGCTTTATACCGTCTTTGCTTTTTGTATGTTCATTTAATTAAAAAACAATATCAAACTTGAAGATAAAGTATTCGATTTTACCATTTATACTTTTAATATTATTTTCCCTTGATTTTAAACACTTTAAAATCGATTTCTAAACTCAAAAATCACTAGATCCCCAATCTAATATCAAGCTTAACTTAAATTAAATTCACTTTGCTAATTTCATAAACTTTCTCTTGGAGTTTGTAAAAAAAAAAATAAACAAAAATCCGCCGAAAAGTGAACCACAAGTGTTGGTGTTTATATTATTTTTTTTTTCGTTGTGCTGCACGTTTAACGAGGGTTAAACAGCGTCTGGAGGGTTAAAGGGTATTCCCCGCACCCACACACACACACAGCCTACACACAGGCACGCACGCACACCCTACACACGCAGACAAACTTTGAAAGGCAGACAGACACGCGCCGCTATGCAAAATTTTGTTGTGCGACTCGACGCGTCAACGGCACGACTGTTACTACCGCCTTTGCCGTTCCGTTTGCCGCTGCCGCTGCTGCTGCCGTTTTTCCTTTTTGCCATACGTTCACCCCCAACACCTCCACCCACACCCGCCCGCCGGAATTGCCACCCACCCAGAACCACCCATCATTCCCCCTCAGCTAGAGGCATACCACACCATACTAGACCACACCAGACCATCAGACCAGACCCACGGGTCCATGTCCGTTCGCCAAAAACCGAGAGCGTTCGTGTGTTACCGCCTCTGCTGACATCGCTGTCGGCGTCGCTGCCTCGGCCCGGCCAAACAAAAAAAAAACACACACACACACACACACACACACACACACACACACACACACACACACACACACACACACACACACACAACAACAACAACACAAAACAAGAAAGCGGAAAACAAAAAATAAAAAGCTGGCAACACAAAATACGAAATAAGTAATGGGAACCTTGGGCAATCGTTCATTGGTTAGCACTGATAACAAACATTTGTCGGCATGCTGGCAGCATCCTTCAAGCCAAAGACAGATTTTCTGGGCTTGGGCTGGTACAGTGGTAATTCGCTTTCAAAGAAATTACTAAGCCTTGGCATATTTTTTATTACAGTTTTGGCAAGGTAAGGCAGATTACCTTTTGTTTGGTATTATTTTTTCAATTTCTATATTGAAAAATATTTGCCTTTTAAATATTAAATATTGGTAATATATATGGATGGGATAAAGTAAATATAAGGAAACTGTAGATTAAAAATAATCTTTTGTCAATTTTAAGTAATTTTTCCTACATAAAAAATATCATAGCATACTTTTTGACACCCTAAGAAATATCTTTATAATAATATTAAAATTTTACCAAATATGCAAATTATAGAATCACCAGCCAATGACCACTGTACCCGTCAACAGTTTACCGTTCGTCTACCGCCTACCGCCTATCGTTTACCGTTAGCCGATTTGTGACGTTCCGCCGTTTCGCTATTTCGCCGTTCCGATTTCACGATTTCTGAATTTCACGACTCGACGACTTGACGACCGACCCACCGACTTTTTACTACGCATGTCCCAGGCGACAAGCAGCAACAACAACAACAAGAATACTATCAAAAAGCAACAAAAAAGCGGGCGCGAAAGGACAACAAACAAAGTAAATTGCCGTGCACGGCACGAGAGTGTAAGCGGGATAGCAGTTGTCGGTGTAAGAGGGACAGCAGGTGAAAGCGAAAGGTTGGAAATCTGAGCCTTTGTGTCTGCTCCTGGATTTTACGTTCTTCTTTCTTCTTTTTTTTTTTTAATGTGTAGGTATAGCATAGCGACATCAATCACCTCGAAGTGAAGGAAAGAATGCGATTCGACATGGGATTACCCCTTAGGTTTGGTTTTATATTATTATATTCGTTTTGATTGAGATCTTATGTTTAGAAACCTTTAAATTGATTAAAAAATCAAAGAAATAAATATAATAATCTCCCCATTTAAAGGGTATCATCCTCCAGCATACCCTTCATATAGTTAATAACCCCAAGTACTATGATTGCCGGCTTTTGGAATTGAATGGAAAGAGTAGGCGGCACACCGGTTGTCATAGGCACTTAAGCCGCAGCAATTTTTAAGGGACATCTGGTCGTAAGGACATTCAACCCCTCCCCCTCTCTCTCTCCCTGGTTTTTTCTCTAGCCGATTGAGTACCCACTCCCACGTCCCATTCTCATCCACTCACCCATGTGCTTGGATCCCTGGGACATGTTCAAGAGATTTCAATTAGCTTTGGGCCATCTAATGGTTGTGCTCTCGATTTTCTGTTTTTTTTTTTTTTTTTTTAATGTTTTTTGCCTGAACTGCAGAGGGCTAAGAAGGTGCTCCACTTTAATGGGCCGGATATTAACCCATTTATTCGCATAATTGAGATTTTTCAGAAGACTAGCTTGGCTTTTACGATATTTAAAAGGGGTTAATTGGGGGAGTTGTTGCGGAAAATCTATATTAAAGGGAACTTTTAGTAACTTAGTTAGCCATTGGTTAGTTACATTAACTTAGGAGTTTTTAGAATATTTATCAAAAAGAAAAGTTTATGGTTTGATAAATTAAGGGTTTTGTCCTTGTAAGATGAAGTAACAACTTTGAAATTTCGAAAAACTTTTCCTAACCACCAATTAGTTACCTATTTTATTCCTTAACTTAGTTTTCGTTTAACAACTTTAGTCAAAGAAAAAAGTTTAATTTCAAGTTTTTCCTTACTTCCAGTTAGTTAACATGATTCCACCGATAGCCAATCTACAACTTAACCCAAACTTCTACCCACTTAAGTGACAATGTTAAAATGGTTATAGAATAGTTTAGTATGATATATGGTCTTAATGGGATGTTTGTGGAGTGTGTTTTCTTACCAAGATCTCTTCCAATTCACTCTTAAATGTTCTGCTGAGGGCCTCGGCCTGCGCTTGGGCACTGATATTATTCGCGATCTGAGTCTGATTGAGGGCTGATTGGTTGGTTTGATTGGATGAGGCGTCGTTGTTAAACTCATAGGCGCAATTGCGATTTAAATTTGAAGTTTTGATAAACTGTGCGATTATCGGGGATAGTAAGTAGTAGTAGTAGTAGTACAGTAGTAGTTAGTAGGCGTGGAGTGGAAGAAGAGAAGAATAGAGAACAGTATAGAGTAGAGCAGATCGAATGAGAGATGGCAACAACGACGAAAACGGAAGATATATAAACTTGAAATCTTAGAACTTGAATCAGGATATAGAAGTAATCAGGGGTTAACAACCAAAAAAGTCTGTGGTAATATAAAAGTTAAGTTTTTAAATCTCTAGAAAATGCATCAAAGATCGTAGATATTGGAAGTTCTTAGAGGAACACAGGCGGCAAGGCAAGAAAAATTTATAAAAAAATAAATATTAAAATCTATATACATTACGGCTAAGGAAAAGAATTAAACTGATTTTGAAAGTAAGCTGGAAAAACATATTAAGAGCAGCCCAAGATTATGGAAAAGGAAAGAGTCATAGACTAGGAAGAGAGTTCATCTTCAAAAACTCATCAGAAATCAAAGCAGACTAAGGGTATAATTCTATACCCTTGGTCTGCTTTGATTTCTGATGAGGTTTTGAAGATAACAAAATACTAGTAAAATATATATATTTAAGTATAAGAAAACCGGAAAAAGTCTCAAAAGTTAACTAGAAATATTGGGAATTAAAAAGGTCTTAGAAAAACTATCTAAAGTTCGTAGAGGATAAGGTCAGTATAGAGGAGGTAGTAGATAGATCGTTGAAAAGAGAAATCTATAGTTATTATCTCCGATTTGAGGAGGACAAAATACAGTAGAAACTAGTAGAAAGTATAGGTAAATGGTTGCAGATCAAAACTTCTTTACAATATTAAGATGAAAGTTAAGGACATCTAGAAATAATATTCCATATCTAATCATGATTTAGTTTAAATATTATAAAACATTATCAAAATAAAACCAGAAACAGTTGCAAACTCTAAAGATGAAAGATGATATCATAAAAGATCATGATCAGGAAGCATAATGACTGGCAATGATATTTGAAACGAAAATCTAAAGTTGGTCTAATCAAGAGGAGATATATTCTCTAAACTAAACTTCTCCCCCCTGGGAACTAACTTTCAATCCAAACATTCTATATATATATATTATATATAGTTAAGAAACCTAACTTAAGATCCTACTCACATCGGCTATCTTAACGGCCTGGCCATCCTTCTCCCATTTGGTTGCAATTTGCAAGGTCTCCGCCGTCTTTTGCTGTATGCTCTTCGAGTCATCCAATAATGTCAATTCATAGAATTCTTGTATATCTGAAAGGGGAAATGATTGAGAATTAGTTTAGGTTTTAGTTTAAATGGTCTTAGAAGTAGTTTACTTCATAACAAGATATACATAATCCCATGATAGACAAAACATTCTTTTTGTGGTTTATTTTTTAGGCTCTACAACTTCTTAAAATATGTAAAATTTCTTGGAAATTAAGCACAGTTTTTCGATGTACAGTATGTACTCTATTTTAGGCTTTTATAAATCTTTCAGAAAGATTTTAGATGATGATTATACTACAGAAATAAGTTCATATTTCACTATGCACATCTTTGAAATGCTTACAAAGTAAGAAACTTCATCAATTTGCTATTTTTCTAAGTCTAACAGGAAAACTAACAAAATTCTTTAACAGCTTAGCCTTTTTGTTAACTTTTCAATGTAAAATTCGACTTTAAAACAGTAAATTACATAAAGAAAACATATTTTCCGCAAGATAAAGTCTCATTATGAGCTTGATCTATCAAAACTGCAAGAGGTTAGGCCTCATTCTGGTCTTAAATTTAGTTTAAAGATGATTAAATAAGTTATCAACGAGTCGATCCTTCCATTTCAGTGCATTTCCAAAGTAAAACCACATAGTACCCTTCAAGTACACTCCTTCCGGTTGATCCTCAGCACATACACATTCTGCAAGTAAAGAAAACAAGTTAGAAACTTCGATCATATAGAGAGAAATACAATCACTTACCTCGTAACCAAAACCAATCCAGTCAATCTTTAGTTTATTTTCTCAGCTGCCAGCACAAAAAGCTGTCACAAGAACACTTCCCCTCCGATAGACCTACGACTTGCCTACTCAGCGTAAAGGAGTAAGGAAAAACCGAAACACAATTGCCAACCAAAGAGAGAGAGAGTGAGGGAGATGGATGAATAATTAACCCATTCACACCATCACAGATTCTGGGATTCCGAAAACAAACAGGGAATAAAAGTGGCAGTGCGGTTAATAAAGTTGAACATATTCAATGACGATAATGACCGACTGAAGTGCAGTCGAACGAATAAACAAACGGATCGAAGACTCTGCCGGGATTTTGTAGTTAACTTGAAGTGAAAAAAAAATACACTGCAAGAAATACATATTGATCTAAGAAGGTGAAGAATCTAAGAAGAAGTTGAATTTAAATCAGAATTTCTGGGAATTTTAAAGGCTGTTAAGCAGCATTAAGTTTTATAATCTTTTTAACAACTTCATTTAATATTTAATTCTATAAAATTTACAAGTTATTATTTCATATTTATCTTTTTAATAATAACCTTTAACTCAACCCTTTCCTTTCCCAATTTCTTCCAGTGTCTTTGAGGCATTGAACAGCTTTCTGCCCGAGAAGCGGAAATCAGAAACTGTCAGAATGCATCTCAAATGCACACATTTCAATGCAAACTGACGCCGCCACTGACAGCGGAAGGGAAGCAAAGGGGGCGTGCCAATACATAGTACACATATATCTACATATATAACCATATATAACCCGACGCTGCCAATATGTTTCGCTTCAATAGCAGTCAAGTGGCCCAAAATGGGGGAAAACTAAAAATCTGAAACTGAAAGGAAAAAAAAAGCTGAAAAACTGGAAACTGGAAAATATTAAATTGAAACGAAATCCATGGCGCCCATTTAATTTCCTGTACCCGACAGGGCCACCCCTCCTCAACCTCCTCTAACAGGGTAAGGGGTGCGGGAGAAGGTCGTATAGCAGAGAGCGAGCTGAAGCATTGAATTCCATGGGGCATGGGGCTATGCCACCAATATTGCATGGAAAAGTACGCGCAGTCATTGAAAAGTGTGTACATAAAGTACAGCTAGATGGAAAACTAAAGGGTTCCCTCGGGAAATTTGCAAAGCTCTTTGGGGGAAAGCATATTTAAAAAATGCCATTAAACTATATGAGTCTATAAAGTACAGCATTAAGTTGAGGGCTAATCACTAGCATTAATTTAAGTAGTATTAACTTTAAACTTAAGCTTAAGCCTTCCTTACAGAACCATCCCTATTCTAGCCCTAGTCTTTCCCTTTCGAATGACCACTGTATCTGCACATAAACATCGGCATTTCTGTGCGTTATGCAATCGATTTGGCCACTTGAACTTAAAATGAGTTATCGAATGCTTTGGAATGCTTCCTGTAAATGGCTTCTTAAGCATTTGTTATTTCTGTCCTCCATTATTGCTCCTTCAATTTGTGCTCTGCTTTGTTCTTCTCTCTTTTTCTTTTGTTTTTTTATTTTTATTTTATTTTGTGTTGTTGCTGTTGTTGTGCCAACATTTTTTAGCTTGGCTCAGCTGAATGCCAATGCCGCTGGAAAAGAGATGCTAAACTTCAGGTTACGCCATCTCTGGCTTTATCTCCCAGTGGGCAATTCCAGGAAATCGATAAGACCCCTCCAAAGTATCCACATTATACTATATAGCTGCATATGTATTCAAATTTTGTACAGTCTGGGAAAGTAATAGTGGTTAAGGGTTAGTTAAATATTCTCAAAAAAGTTGTTAAACTTAGTTTATCACTTTATAAACTAAAGCTGCGTTTATGACCAAACTATAGCTCATAACTTTTATATTTTTCTTAAATCTAAACATTTCCATAACTGTTTCCATTATTTTCACCGCCATTGTCCCACTCTTATACACACGTTTTGTATATGTAAAACTGAAGTAGGCTGCAGATGATTCGAATTCTAGGCCAATTAAATTGGGATTTTGGCCCGCACATGGCACTTCATGACCTTTCACGCCCTCATAGCACAACCCCCCCTGGCGCATCCCTATCTTTATCCTTCAGACGCTTCAGCTTGAGTGTCAATTGCTAGGCTTAGTTAACACTGAAAGCTGGAAACTAAGAAAATTATATACAAAATATAGGAAATATAGTTTAATCTAAGTTATTACCCATACGCAGTGTTGGCCAACTTTAGTCATTGAAATCCATTATTGGATTAAAAATGTATAAAATGCAATTAAGTTGCCGTGTCATAACCGCACAGCAGATTCAATGCAAATACTTTTAGGAGAAGCGGAAAAGAGATAGCGAGATAGAGAAACAGAGATGGAATGAGAGTGAAACCTAACCTCAAGTTTAATATTATACCCAAAACACACCCACAACACCCACACTCAACGTGTGTTGGGATGCGGCTAATACCTTGTTAATTATTTCACACGCACACACAGACACACACACACCTGCAAATTCCCTGGGGTGGACCTTGGTTGTTGGCTTAATTCAAGGTTATAATCGCTTTCTATGCAAAACTGACATTTTAGTTATAAATCTATTGATCCAGAGATGATATAAATCTATAACTTATCATTATTCTTAGCTGCAAATCTGAGTGATCTTGCCTTGCGCTTGTTTATTTAATTAATAGGTCCACCCGAAAATGTTTGGCCATAGGAAAGCTCCTGTTTTCTAACGTGTCACGTGTTTTGGCTTGTTTGCATTTGAGTTAGTGAGTTTGTGAGTGTGCTTGTTAGCCGTTTAACATTTCTGACACGCCAAGCGCAGCCACTGAAACTGTAACGGTAACGGTAACGGGAGAAGAGGAAGCACCAGCGGGATAGAATGACGATGAACAAGAAGAAGGAGGAGGAGAAGAAGAACACACACACAGAGAGAGAGAGAGAGAGAGAGAGGACTCTAGCGAAACGAAACGAAAAGGATTATGCAACTGCCACTGACAGCGGGCAACACATTTTGCACCCAGGGGTCCAATAGAAAGGGACGGGGGCACACACACACACACACACACAAACACACACATAAAAGCGTGAGCGAGAGGGCCATAGGGAGGTAGGTGGCGTTAGGCTGGGCGGTAGAGCAGAACTTTTGCAAATTATACAACAGGCAAACCCCGCAAAACAGACAACTGCAGACCAACCGCCCGTCTCAAAATGGATGGACGTATGGACTGGGAGCAAGACAGGGGGGGACAGAGGGGGATATACAAAGAGATGGCTGAGTGAAAAAAAAAAAACAGAAATTCAAGCAGCGCGGGCTCAGCAAAATAGTGCTGCCAAAAAGCTAAAGGCAAATAAATCCAGATAAATCTGTTTTTCTAAAAGAAATCTCTATGAGAAGAAATACCTTGAAATATTTTCGAAATTTAAGGGAATTTATAAGAGCTATGTCTAGAAAAATCCTAAAATATATATAGATTCAAGACGACTTTTTAAATTCCATAAATAATAGATTTAAATATCATTAAAAATGTACAAATACCCACGAGATCAACAAGTTGATTTCTAAAACTTAACAGTTTCCATTGCTAATAGTTGAGTAATAAAATCGAATCAAAGCAATCACCGCTTCTTTATCGATCTTTAACATTAAACAGCTTCGATGAAAAGTAGCTAAATTAGCCGCATTACCATGGGGTAGGGTAGCGCCTGCTGTTTCTATCTGCTGCGCTGCCTGCGCTGTTTGACCCAAATCCTATGCAATATTATCGTTTTGCTGTCGCTGTTGTTGCCTTTGTTCCCTTTGTTGCTGTTTTGTGTTTGCTGCCGCTTGTCAAGTGAAAATAATTTCCAGCAATGGGAGAGAAGGAAAAGACGAAAAAATCGATAGGCGATAGGCGATAGGCAAACTGTACAGATAACCCAACTATACTTTTCAAGGATATTTCCGGCTCATCAACCACTTTTTAACAATCTTTGCCTGAAAGTTTGCCAACTTTGTTTGAGTTTTAAGTTTCTGGCTGATAGATCGATGATGATAGGCTTCGTTAACGTTTTTTGTTTATAAACTTATTTAACACCGTGCGGGACTGTAAAGTTTGTAAAATTGTGTATGCCGATTAATTACATAAAGAATTTTCCTTTTAGACATAACAGTTACCTACTTAAAATCGAACTTAATCATAGATTTCTTTCCCCTCTAGTAAATTATCGATTTTTTCGATATATTTCCACCTTGATAACTCACCTAATAGCGCTTGAAACAAGCGAGATTTAAATATGCGTATAACGCGTTCGATTGCAATACGCAGCGCCCGATCCTGCGGCTCGGAAAGCCTCGCGTGGTAATCCTCGAGCAGCTCGAGAGCCCGATGAGCTTCTGCAAAATATAATAAAAGATATTATTAATAAAAAGTAGTTTTTAGGAATACAAATTAATAAATATTCTTATAAATTCCCTAACTAATCGTACTCTGTATATCTGCAATTCGTTTCTCCTCATCCTGGCTAATCTCCAGACCTGCCTGACCGAAAACCGTTGACCAGAAGCCCCTCTCGGAACCCTTTTCCGAACTCTGATCCGAACCGCTTTCCCCAGTCGATTCCTGGATATGAGATCTCTGTTTAGGCTTTGGTTTTGGCTTGGTTTTAGCCTTCAGCTGCAGTTCGGATTGCGATTTCTCAAGACTTTCCCGTTCGAGGGTCTCAATCATGGTACGGAAACGACTCAGTTCCATACGCAAACCCTCGGCACTATGCCGGCTCGATGAAGAGACGGACAGACCGGATATTCCGGATAACAGACGGCAACGAGCTGCGCCTGACGAAGAGGACGAGGGACCTTCCCATTCATCGCGTGAGGCATCACTCTCGGACTTCTCGAAATAACCAGATTCTACGTCCGGTGTTCGGACCATGGATGTGGAGGATAACATGTGTCCGTATTCCAGAAGATCCTGAGCCGAATAGAAACATTCCACGGATTCACGAACACTATCGCGCAGGGAAGAAGGACATTTGAGGGGTTCTGGCTCAGGATCTGCTTCGGTTTCCACTTTGCATTCAACCCCTTCAGGTTCCCTTTCCACATGACCATCTTTAATGGGCATTGCCCCAATGGGATCATCGATTTCTTCAGTCACTTCTATGGCTTCCGCTGATGACTGAACCAAAACCACCAATGGCGTTGGTTGCTCTTCCATGCGAATCTCTGTCTTCTTCTGCGGCAACAAAGACTCCTCCTCTTCCGGCTCTTCTTCATCATCGGCTGGCGAAGAATCGTCCTCCTCCACTTCGTCATCGTCATGGAATGTCTTATCATCGCTACTTAGCAATCCCTCATTGGGATCACTGCTCTTCTCACGATCCGAGTCCGTATCAGAATCCATTTTAAAGGACCACAAAAGAGACCTCTTCGCTTCCAAGTACCGAACTCAACTGGCGCGACTTTTCAGCTTTATAATGCCATAGTTTCGGGGCATCGGTGCGGTGCGCTACCCGCCGATAAATCAATAAAGATTGACGCTTTTTAAACATTTTGCTCTTCTTGTTAGCCCTAGTTATTCCCTTTTATGTTTTTTTTGTTAGAAATTTGTTTCTCTTTCTTCAACACTGAGTGCTAAAAGAATGTTTCTTAAGGAGGCCAATAGTAAGCTTAAGGTTTCTTAAAGTTCTAAAAAAAAAAAGATATAAACTTAAAAGAACTGCCTTAAACGTGTTTTAGAAGTTGGTTGTCCCCTTTTGTTAGAGGTCAGGGGTCAAGTGGCATCCTCCTGTCGCTGGTTTTGTCATTCGTCCGACGTTTGCCAAAAAATTAAACACATAATTTATTATTATAATCGAGTCGCATTATGGCCCCAAACACACTCTTACACATTACACACACACACACATACAGACTTAGGAACACCCTTACACATACATATATGAATACGCTTAAACCAACAATGTATCTCTGTGTCCGTAGTTTGATGTCCCCAGCACGCGTCAAACGCCGACGTTGACCTTCACTGACCATTTGCGAGGCTGCTGGCATCCCCAGACCATTCCCCCCTTTCCTGTCTTTTACAGCTTTTTCGGTTGTTTCTTGTTCTTTTATATATACATTTTGTTTGGCCATTTCAGTTGCCCAAATATGATTTGTATGTGACATAATCAAATAAAATTCTCTGTCTGCATTAATTTAGTTTTTTTTAGGAGGTTCTAAAGCTGTTGGATACATTTTTATAAAGCCAAAAGACTCATCATAAGTAATTAGGGCATGTTTTTGGTGTAAAACTAACTTTGCTCAGCGAAAAAACAAAAGTTAAATGATCTAGAATGGAAAAACTAACACCAACTTTTCATGTGCATAAACTTTAGAAAGTTTTGCCAACAAATTAATGTAATGTTTAGACAAAAAGTTTTACTAGAAATGTTTAATTATTATTATTATTAAAAATAAAGAAAGATAAATGATCTTAATTTATTCTAAAAATATTAGAAATATTATTTTATGATTATTAAAATTTATAAAAAATTTAATCCTTCTTTAAAATAACTATAGAGACCCCCTAACTTCATGAATTTTCCTCTTTTTTCTAACATATTTCCTCTAACAAAGCTGAGGAAGAAGATTTACCCATACCCACATTCCACTGTCTTGCCATTCATGAGGCAGCCAATTAAATGGCTTTCCACGTAATGTTTAAGAGTGATATATAGTACAAAAAGAAAACCATTAAAAAAAAAAGTGCATTATTTCGCTTACCTTGCTTTTTCACTGGCATTCTGTGAGCGGTGTTTCTGCTACTATTTATGGTGGTGCTGGTGGAAATGGCAGCGGAAATGGCGGTGGTGCAGCAGCTTTGAGTGTGGTTCAACGCCGCCGAACTCGGAAAAGCGTGGGTCGCAATTTTGAGAATTTACTGGAGTCGCTTTCGAGTGGAAATATGCGGGGAAATCGCTTTGGCTTCTCGTCCTTTCACTTCTACGGGCACATATACATATATATATATATATATAGTTTCTATATATATATTACTATATAGTATGTGTTTTTTTTTTATGTACAAATATTGTTGTTTTTTGGCTTTCAAACGAAGTTGGAGATTTGTTTATTTATTTTTTTTGGTAATTTTGCGCTTAAAGTTTTTATGGTTTTTGTTATTTTTGTTTCTTTTTTTTGGGGCAGTTTTGTGGTTACATTGACGTGTGCGTTTTTCTCTGTCGATTTCTTAGCGAATTTCACATTTCAATGGCTCCTCGTCTACTTCCGGTTCTATAGCTTTTATGTTGCACTCGAAATTCGGCTATCATCGAAATGTCGTTCTCTTCTTCTTCTTCTTCACAACACAACACCAACACAAGAAAAAACTACAATCGTTTTTTTTTTGTTTCTTCTTTTTTTTTTTGTTTATTTTGTTATATTTTTATTTTATATTCCATCCACCATCTAGAAGGCGAAAAAACAAAATAGAATCGGTTGAAAAACAATGCTGGTTGGGTTTTGGGTTTTGGGTTTTGGATTTACTCATCAAAACAGAATTTTGTTGTATAATCATAAACAACAACAACAACATAGAAGTCTACAAAAATTGCAGACACACACACGGGCGCAGCGAAATAAGCTTCCGATTGCAACGAAAAAGTGTACGGTGGGCACTCGTTAAGGGGATTTGGTATAAGCAAGGGGGGTTTTATATTTGATATTTAATTTTGGAATTTTTTAAGAATTTTAAGGTAACTTTTTAAAGGATTTCTTTTAAGGATTTTTAAGGATTATTTGAAGAATGTAGGTACTTTTAACCTTGTTTTTGTTACTTAAAAGAACACGACTTGATCAGGAATATCCATAATTTAATAAAATTTAAAACACATTCGGTTGCTTTTCAAGGATTAACCACTGTTCTTTGCTTTTTTCCTTGCTTTTTTCAGTCACTCATATTTGGGAAATGAGAAAATTTTAAAAAGAAAAACAAACAGCGTCGCGGCTATGTCGAAATTTTCGTCTGGTCGTTTTGCTTCGCGATCGCCATTGTCGAGCTGAATTTTATTTACATATTTTTTCGCCAGACTATGCGAGAGTACTGGCTGCCTTTCTTTCCCCCCTTTTTTTTTTCTTGCTATTTCAGCGAAATGTTTTTTCTTTTAGTGTGCAGTTGCTCTAGATTCACTCACTCACTCACTCACTCACTAAAAAAAAAAAAGAAAATCAAAGAAAAACTGTAGAAAAAAATACAGTTGAGGTAAAGTTGAAATGTCAAAGTTGGGTGCTATTCTTTTCTTTTCTCTCTGTTTTTGTTTGTTTGTATAAATTTAGCTTTCTGGCTTGATAACTTGTTACATTGGCCAGGTCGAAATTCCGAAATTCCGCACACCCGCACCGCACACAGACACACGTCCAACTGAGGCAATAACGGTGCTCTGCTTTCATAGCCCTCAGTCGCCAATGCTCCTATATATGCTCCTCCGCTCTCTCTTGGCCACACTACCTTTCTCTTGCCGACCGAGAATCCGAGAATCCCGAGCGATTCTCAGTCGTCGGTCGGACGGACCAACAATTAGTGTTTGCATATACACCAGATACCAGATACGAGATACGAGATATATATCTATCTGCATGCCTTCCTCTTTTTTATATAGTTTTTTATGCTCCTTTCAAAAGTTGCCAATGCGAGTTAATAAAGAAAAATAACTGAAGATTCTGGTTTCTTTAGGAAAAATAATGATTAATAATAGAATTGGATTTGTTGTGATTAAAACTTCTGAATTTCTCTTTTAATTTTCCCTTAATTTCCATAAATCCCCTTGCAGTCCTAAAACGATGTCAATAACTGTATCTCCTTATAGATGACCTAAATATTTTTCCATAATTTCTAAACAAAACAAACGATAATAAGCTAAACTGCAATAAAAGCAATTTTATTAAACTCTCGACAATTTGTTTATAAAGAACATATATAGAGCAGCCACACAATTCAGATTCAGTTAGGGTAGTCCCGAAATTGTTAATTCAAAGTTACAAACTTCAAAGGAATCTTTAAGCTATCAGTTAAAAAAAAAACAATACACATATCGAACTGCCAGGAAATGTGTAATTTAACTAAAAATAGCTTGTTAGGGGAAATTATCAAATAAATTGCCATAAATAGCAGGGAAATGTCTAAACCGGCAATCCAAACTGCCTGGAAAAGCCATTATTTTGACAGACAGGAGGGACGACGGACGACGGACGACGGACAGGATCCTTGGGTCTCTATTAAAATGGAAGCCATCAGGCAAAGTCACTTTGATTAATGTTGTGGAGGACGTCAGTGACGCGAATTACTTAAAAAACAATTGAAGAACTAAGTAGACGGGTCAATAATATATACACAACGCCCAGGAAAACCCAGGAAAAAGCCAGACGAAAAGGCAGAGGGCAATGAAAAGAAAGAGAGAGACAGAGAGAGAGAGTAGTGGCACAAAAACAAGGCTAACGACTGGAAACTAGGAAACGCGCTTCGGCAAAGACACCAGCAACAAAAATAATAATAATAACAATAATAATAGCAACAACTACAACATGAACAGGGGCAGCGATGGCTGGGTTCAATCACCTTTGGGAATTACGTACCGGTTATTACGGTTCTTATTATTATTATTATCCCGTACTATACCCGTACAATTTTCAACGTAGTCTACGTTCTCTGTACACTAACACAACTTGCATTGCATTGAAATAGTTTTCTTTCAAGTTAATATTTGTACTTATACCTTTTAAATTGTTTTTGTGAATTATGCTAAGGGTTAGCAATGGTATGGCGAAAACCATGGGCACCTGCTTGTCCTGTCATGTGTCCTCGCTAAAGCTAAGTTCGTTGCGCCAGAAGCGCAGAAGATAACAGGCCGATCTCGTTTCCGCTGACTCTCCAACCAGCAGTAGGAGTTCCTGAACACCTTCTACTGACATAATACTAATCTATAGACAATTCAACTGATTTATGGTCTAAGCTATATACTTTTTAAAGTGTTCATATAGCCAAGCAGCCTAATGTCAAGGTTATTTTTAAATTGGCGCCCCTGGGTTTTTTTTCGTGTGTACCTACGCTTTGCTTGATTTAGTGTGTGAGTTAGATTTCTATACATTTAATTTATGTGCGTCATTTGTTTCCTATTTTTAATGTCTTTCGACCGCTTGAAGTACTTTTTTTTTGTATTTATTCAGGCGCACACACGTCGTTTAATTGATATGCATACTCTCGCATACACACGCACATTGCCTATTTGTAAGGTCCGCCAGTCCTTTTTAGTGGACATGTGTGTACGAGTGTGATTCTAAAAGCATGGGTACAGTGATCGCTGACAAAGTGGAGAGGAAAGAATGTATATAAATTATAAAATATAAATTTGAAAAATTTGGTATTACATATTAAACTTGAAAGATACGAATTTTAAATAATTTTCATTTTGACCAGCATGTCTATACATTTCCCTTTTAGTGAGTGGTCACTGTACCCCACATAAGCACTCCAAAACACACGCGCGCACGCACAGACATGCACATTCACCTGCTGCAGGCGCGAGCCCAGAAAAGTATGCATCAAAAAGGAGAGCATATGCAATAAACACTCAATTCCACGCACACAGACGCTCAAGCACACACACACGCATACACTGAAAACCCCATACTTGCAACGAGATATTAACCGTTACGGATTGACGTTTGCCTGGCGGATTTTTGACCTTGACATGTCGCCCGTGCTTGTAATTGTAGTTGTTGTTGTTTTTTCGGTGGACCGGAGTGCGAGTATGTCAAAAAAAAATGAAGGGAAGCAGAAGGAAAAAGGGGATAATCGGAGAAAATCGAAGAGAAAAGCGGGCGGAAAACTGGGTCGCAGATAGCTGGTGATTAATTATTCAGCCGCAGCATAATTATTCGAGCGTTGTGGTGTGCGTGTTATTTATAGACTAGCCGAAACAAGAAAAAACAACGCCGCAGCACAAGCAGAAAAAAAAATCGCAGATACTACACAATAAAATAATACACACATAACGTATGCACAAAAAAGTACGAGTGCGACAGAGATGGAGCATAGAGCATGCTGGCTAGAGCGAGAGAGAACATTGTAAACTTATTAATACTAATACGAAAATTTGCACACGCACAAAATTGTAAATTTGCCCCAAGTAAACGAATAAAAAAAGGGATGCTGGGAATTATGTATGCCCCACGCTAAAAACGCGCACACACACACATATATGTACAAGCTTATTGCAACTGCAGTGCTTTCGCACAGGAAAAAAAATCAGCTGGCTGCTGTACCGTTACTTACTTACACACACACATACATACATACACGTGCCTCTTTGGCAATTATTTGATTTTGCCCGTGTTTCCTTTATATCAACTGTATTTACAACAACATCCCTTGCATAGACGGACATGCACAGACAGGCAGGCAACTGTCGCGCACACACACACACATGGGAATGGAATAAAAAAAAAAGCACTTTTAAAAAAATGTAATGTAACGTTTTTTTTTTTTTGTTAAGTTCTGCAGACAAGTTCAAGCAAGTTTTTATGTTTTAAGTTTTCTTTGTACACTAAACCGATACCGACTGATTTTTATGCTCCACATAGCTAACACTTACATTTACTGGTAAAAAGGACATGCGTTTGGCACAGCCTTCGGGCATTTTATGTTTAATATAAATAAGTAGCGGCAGCACGTTGGAAATTATATATTACGGTTTTCTGCTCTGCTCACGGAAACACTAGTTCTAGTTGGGTGCAGTGTTACCAAAGGCGATCACAGTAAAAGGACCAATCGGAAATCCCGGGCAGACATTTTTAAATGTGCCCGCAATACTATTGATGAATTATGAAATTCTATATATTAGGATATTTTTAATATCTTATTCACAGAAATTATCAAATGACACTTAAAATTAATAAATTTAAAATATATTACCCTAAATGCTGGAAAATACAAATATTACGTAGACCTGTCGCGTTAAGAACAATTCCAATTGAACTTTGCCGATACATTTTAGCAAGTGGCAGCGCTACGCCAACTATCGATATCAAGCGGTTTTTTTTATTTTGTTTATAAATTTTAATTTAAGATATTCTTACTTAAATAGTTGTAAAAGATATTTATGAATATTACACACACTTGTTGAATAGTCTGTATTCAAACAATTTGCAATGTTTTTCTTAAAATATTCCATTAAACATGATTTACATTTGAACACTTCTAATTATGTCTGCGTTTAACTATACTATATGTAGTTACTGTAGGATTGGCACAAATCCTTTAACGCAATATAAGGGGTTCATTTAATCACCATTAGCTTTTAGAATTCAGTTTCTTAGTGAAGAAATTAAAATAAATAAATGGGTAGCTGCCCATCTAATTTTACATAACATGGGAGAATAGATTTATAATATTCAGCACCATTGGCTAGAATATCAATCAAATAAAATAGAATACTTCTCATTTTAAACACACAAAACGAAAATTGTATTTATTTTGAAATCGCTAGCGTCAGGCCGTCAGAAATAATAGAATTGTGGTACAGTTTATAGTTGAATAGTCTGTATTCGGAAAACTTGGAATGCTTTTTCTTTAAGTATGCCATAAAAGATTATTTACATTTGAACACTTCTAAATTGTTCAGCGTTTAACTATAGTATTGGCACAAATTCTTTATCCTCCTTTATCCTTATAGTTGAATAGTCTGGCAATGCTTTTTCTTAAAATATGCCATTAAACATTGTTTAAATTTGAAACACTTCCAATTAGTTCTGCGTTTAACTATACTACAGTTAATATAGTATTGGCACAACTCCTTTAACGCAATATAAAGTTTGCATTTAAACACCATTAGCCTCTATAATGCAGTTCCTAAGTGAATTTTAAGTACACTGTAGAAATTAAAATAAATAAATGGGAAGCTGCTCATCTAATTTTACATAACATGGGAGTATAGATTTACAATATTACAGCATCATTGGCTAGAATAACAATTAAATAAAATAGTATACTTCCCATTTTAAACATACAAAACGAAAATTGTATTTATTTTGGATTCGCTAGCGTCAGGCCGTCAGAAACAATAGAATTATGGTACAGGATTTTATATGGTTTGTCCGGATATCGGAATCCGGATGTTGATTTTGCCGGATTCCGGGTTACATACTTCAAATGGCTGCAGCGAGACACAGCGTGGAAAAAAAAATGGCTTACATGGTAATTTTTTGTTTAAAAATAGCTTTAACAGTAGGACAGTGGCGGAAGCTCCCTGGCGGATACCCGGATTCCCAGATCCCAGTTTTTGGTACATGTGGACACCATCTACAGGTCGCCGCCGCCGCGTTTTTGGAGCATCTGGGCAAATCGCTGGGTGATCAGCAGCGATGTGTCGATGAAACGGTCGACGCAGTTGCTCAAACAAGTCTCGGTGGCGTGGTCCAGTTTGGTGCTCGGCTTGCCGATGCACTTTTCCCAGCAGATCTCGTTGAACTCGTGTATCTGTTGGGGATTACAGGTGCGTTTTTTCCTTGTTATGATCCAATTTAAGAGAACCGAGTGAAATCTTTCGACTCACCTGCGCATTGACCTGCGCCTTCTGTTTCTCGATCATGAGGAACTCCTGCAGCTCCTTGTCGTTGCTGGACAAATTCTCGAATTCGGACATGGTGTGATTTTCAGTGAACAAATTTATAAAATTACCGGGCTCCGGAATTTTATATTTTTAAGGTTTGAGGTTATATAAACGGCAGTGACAGCTGTCTGTATGACCAGATGGTGAAATGGGTTTCCCTTAATTGTCTAAATACCAACGGTTGGTTGTTGACAAAAATGGAACGACGTGATTTGGAATATTTCAATTTTTTTGTGTATTAGAATTTAGTTTTAAAAGACATTTTATGCAAAGTACTAAATTACTTTATGTTAAAACAATATATCTACTTTTTCAAGACAAGAAATAATTTTTTGTATAAAAATACCATAATTTCTTCAACCACATGCCCATGTTCGATAGATATATCGATATTAAGGCACCGTAGAGCGGTTGATTTAAAAGATCCAATAGCGGTCAAGAACTGAGAAAACAGAGTGTATTGCTTAATTTAAGTATATTTCCGATCAGGTAAACATAGATAGAACAGTCTAAAGAGGGCTCAGGCCTCACTTTCGCCTTTGGCCGAATTCTTTCCAGCCTTCTCAGCTTTCTTGGCCTTTTTGGCCTGCTTCTTGAGATACTCGCTCTTGTCGAGATTGTTCTGGAAAAACGTTGTTTCTTTACGCGCCTGTGATACTTCAGTGAGGAGCCGTTGCTTGTGCACCGCCTGTTCATAGTTCATTCGCTCCGTCAGGTGCACCCATTTAAACCGTGGCAGGTACTTCATGCTCCACAGCGAGTCATAGAACTGCGACTTCTTTCGCGTAGAGATCTGCTTGTTGTTCAGCAGGGGAACGATCTGTTTGGCTACCCGCTTCGACTCGAACTCCACCCAGCCCTCGGTGAAGTGGATGTTGTAGCGCTTCCGCTTGTTCTTCTTTGCCTTTGCACCTATAATAAAGGTTTTGATTTTATAAAATCGGTAAGGCTAAATATTCTATAATTTTATGCACATTCTGCTTTAATACGCCATCAGAACCACAGTTACAAATGGGTTATAACACTTTACGGATCCTATCGATTGAACTCACTTGAAAGCTTCTCCGGCTGCAGGTAAACTCTTCCAATGGTTCCAAACTCTCCCAGGATTTCCCGCAAGCGCATCACATTCATGTGCTTTGGTATATTGGATATATAAATGATTCCCTTCTTGCGTTTTTTGGTGGGTGCGGAGGTACTGGATGTGACTTTAAAATTGCCCAGATCCATTTCATCGTCGTCGTTGTCCAAGGGATTTGGCTCCTCAGCGTCATTTTCCTCCGGTTGTGAGTCATTGGATGGCGCTTCCTCTTGTTTACTCTCCTCCACTTCCATGGCAGCTGGATCTTGCTTTGGCTTTGATTTCTTTTTGATTTTAACCATGTTATTCTGACTTCTCGTGGCGAAAAAAAAAAATAAATTAACACACGCTATTAGAGATGACAGTTAACAGTCGATACGATAATTTAGAAGGCTATCGATACATTAATACCCTCTCCTAAGAGTCCAACAATAGATTTGTAATTTGTAACCGATTTCTCAAAGTTCTTTAAACATAAAATGTCTAGTAGTAATTATAAATATTAAAATATTTATTAACATGTTTATATTCATATAAATGTCGAAAGGGAAACTAATTCAATAAAGACTAATAAGAAAAACTGGTATTTAATTATTTGAATAATTTAAGTTCCAAGATCTTAAATAATCACAAAATAATATTTTTATATTTAAAAATAACAAGACTTTACGACTTTTAGACTACGCATCCGGTTTTTCGGAATCGGCAACGCCGGCCAGTACAGATTCTTTGCTCATGTCCAGAAACGAGGCCTGTGACATTTCCGTATCGTCCTCCTCCTCCTCGATTTCCATTTCGAAAATGGTCATCTTGCGTTTGCGATCGGAGAGAACAGTGGCCACCTTTCTGCTGCCCGAAACGGCTAGCATATCGCACAATCCATCTAATCCCTTGAAGGCTGCGCCATCGACAATATCATGGATGCTGTGCGTCACTGTGGCGTCTTTCAGCTTGACCAGTGGTCCCATTTGGTGCTGTGTACATTGATTTCTCGCCGCACTTAATGAGAATTGTACAAAGAAGCTATGTGGACGCATGCCGGCACTGGCACTTGTCGACTGAGCCAGAATTGAAAGCGAAGACTCATTGTAGAATTGGAGATCAACAAAGCGCAGGTTAGCGAAATCCTCATGAACGGATGATGTAAAAATTCCCGGCTCAAGTTGAATTCTAGTACACCGCACCAGGCCATCACCCGCTCGACTAACCTCGAGGATCATGGCCTCCTGCCAGCTGATGGTGCATGCCATCATATCACTTTTGGCTGCCTCGTTAACGTAATAGCTGCAGGTAACAAATTCCCGATCCTCCAGTCCCTCGCCAGGCTCCATGGGCGGCAGGTCATTGCATATGACTGTCGAGGACAGCTTGAAACTACCGCTTATGCTCTCTGTCGGCTTATGAAATACCGCATCGATGGCATTGAACATCTTGTCGCGCTGCTGCACAAGAGACAGATTCTTATCGTGCGGTACAAATAATTTGCAGTGATTAAGGCAATCGTTATCAGACACCATCTCATCCCACAGCTGGTTGGGATCCTTGGTATAGGGCTGGGTTAAATAGTTATTGTCCAGGTACTGACCAACCCGCTCCAAGTTGAATTTACTGCGAACTGGTGGAGGCGTGGCAGAAATAGGCTCTACTTCGTCCTCATCATCGCTACGATCATCTAATTCTGGCTCCATGGCGCACAGGAAGTCGGCCATAGCAATATTCTCCTCCTCGGTGAGTACCAGGTCATCGGGTATTTCCTGATGGGACAGTCGGAGTATCGTGAATATCATCCAGGCGTGAAAAAGCTTCATGTCGTACACCAAAGTGTCTATCGTTCGCTGAAGTTCATGGACTTTAAGGACAAAAGCTCCACATGCTCGCATCGCCTCGTTGGCCACATCTGGTGAGATGAGCGACTGGAAAATACGTGAACGCATATTGAATAAATGCAAATCCTATTTTGAACGAATCACCAACTTACCTCAAAGAAATGCGACATGCGACCGAATCCCGCGATCGTGTTGAGAAAGTAGAACATGTTGACAGCTGACCCATTTAGCTGCTTAAAAACCAGGCCCTGTAGGTTGCTCAGACTGAGATCCACAGAGTTGGCAATCTTCTTAAAGCCCTTCTCGGACAGAGTTCTAAAGATAAGGAGAAATAGTTAGTATGCTGATTCAAAAATAAACGATCAACTCACTCGAACAAAAACTCCTCTACCTCGAAGGTAGCAAATCCAAAAACGTGAAGCTCTAGAAAGTGGGCTGATATCAATCCATACGGCTGGGAGTTGGCGTACTTAGTCAGCTTGTTGTCCATCTCCAGTTGCACGGTCTCCCAGGCTTCTGTTAAACATTGTTGCGTGTCATTAATGTAGCTACAAGGAAAACAATTATATTAGGTAATACGTTTAGTTATTAGGGAATATTACTTTTTGGTTTCCAGGATGTGAGCACAATGTGTGGCCAATTCCAGCATCGGCGCCATGCACTCCTGCAGCACTTGATTGTGGAAGTGCAGCATCTTCAGCTCCTGCCCGTCTCTCAAGAGAGCATAAATGGCATTAAAGTCACCATTCAGCCGCACATCATACACATCAAACTGTTCCGGATGGAGGATGTGCTGGGTGAGATCAATGCTTCCCGCCTGCAGGGCTCCAAGGAGCAATAGGTGCACCTTGCCACTGCGCATTATCACCACAAGAAAGCAGGGCGAGCCCTTGGGAAAGGACTTTTGGTCTAGTGTTTTCAGGCAGGGATCAATGTTGGTCAGAGGCTGCAGTTTGGGCAGGAATTTTCGGTGCTTGTCCTTGGCATTGCATGTGTAGGTACCTAGAATGTAATGGTATTGATGGGTAATAACAGTAAAACCTTTTTTTTATAAGTTTCACCATGAATTTCCAACATACCCAAATTCTCCTGCGAATTGATGGCCTTGCTGAAGTAGACCTTTTTAATGTCGTCCTCGTAGATGAGACCCGAGATGATCGTCTCGCTCTCGGCATCCAGTAGCGCCACCTTTCCATTGCTGTAACCGACCGCCAGAAGAGTTTCATCCATTTGCCAGCTGAGGGAGCGCACCCGGACATCCTCCCCAGGCGTGGGGAAGGTAACGATCTTCTGCCAGTTTAATCGTTGGATGACCACCTCGCCTGGCCAAAGGAAAACGAAAACATTCGTAAATTTCTTGGTAACTTTGGATTTCCAGAGGCAAATGCTCACCTTTCTCTGTTCCATAGGCAATTAGATCCATTTTATTATTCCACTCCATGCGCTCCACAATGCAGGACATATTGCGGGCGCCCAGCAGCTTCATTGAGCTTGATTGGGTCATTTTTCCACGTTAGGATTCGTCAACGTCGGCTTTACATCAAAAATTAGAATCAAATTAAAGTTTTATTTGTAGTTTACACTTTGCCGGCGCCTATATAAGGTCTATCGATTACCGCTAGTTATCGATATCTCAGAGATGAGCGTCAAACAGCTAGTTATTATAGGTTTTCCAAGACATTTTTATATGCTGTTCAAGAATTAATTTTAAATTAAATTAATATAGTTTTACAAAAAACATAATGAATCCTTACAAATTTGTGGATCAAACCAACATAAATATTTAAGTATTTTAATGAATCATTTAAATCTCAATTCGTAGGCCTTCGCAGCTAGTACTCTAAGAAATCCTTTTGATTTTGTATTGTATACTAGGTTTAATTTGGTCCAATAAATAAATAATTTTAAACCATTTATTTTATATTAGACATTTCATAAATTTATTGTTTATTATCCAAAACAAGTAAAGTATTGATGGTAATTTAAAATTCAATTCATAAATAACTTAAAGCCCTTGAACTTTTGTTCATGTGTATATTTAATCCATATTGCCAATACATACATAATTCATATAGAAATTTACAAAAAGAAAATAACAATTTATATAATTTCAAAAAAGGATTCATAGGATTTAAAAATTTACAATTCAATAAAATTTTACACTAATGCTTGCGCATAATTTTATTTTCCATATAAATGCTTGGTTTCTTAACAACCTACAAAGTTTCAAATATAATTGTTTCAATTTTCTAAATAAGAGATATACAAAAACGTAATTGGCTGCATTATAAGTTAAAAAGTAACTTAAAAAAAAAATAGCTAAATAAAAACTTGGCCGTAGAGGAGCCAAGTGGGTAACTTCGTTCGGGAATTTGTAGACTTTATTACAATTCAAATGATCAAAAATATTGCTTACGGGTAGTTCAGGATATCTAGATGATTAATGGTTGTCCTTTAGCCCATTCGTCCTGGACAATTTAATATACAATTGCGACTTATGTGATCCTTAACCTTTCATGGGATTCAAAAATATTAAAACAGAAATGTAAAATAAAGAGTTACATTTCAACTTATATATAGATTAGGTATTAGATTGCTACTGCGGATTGGAACTCCGCAAAGGACTTCATTTAGTAAATCGTTAAGTTTAAGGGCTACGCTACAAAATATGTGTATATCGTTATTTGCAAAGACGGCGCGGCGTGTATGTATGTATACACAAGCGGTTGAGTCCTGAACAGTCATCCGGATTCACCGTTAATCCATAATTTCCACATAACTAGTCATCAGCATCGGGCTGACCATTGTCCAACTCACTGCTCTCCTCCGGCTTGGCATTATCGTCCTGGTTTATGCTACCGATGGGGCTGGCCGGTTCTTGATCATCATCGTCGGCTCCTTCGGCATTACTGCCGCCGCCGGTGGTTCCCACACTGCCGGGAGCTGTGTCGTCACCGGCACCACTACCACCTATGGAGCCCATACCGCCGGACGAGGGCAGATTGCCGGAGTTGCTATTGCCATTACCGTTACCCGTGTGCCATGTAAGGCGCTCCTCGTAAAACTGTATTACTACCTGTGGACACCGAATGTTGGCCAGCTTGGCGGGCACCAGATCCGCGTGATCGCTACCCTTCCACTTCATCAAGAACATTAGGTGGCCGGATGAGTCAGTGGCGCCAAGAATTTTTGATGGCTCAAGACCGCGCTCAAAACCAATAAGTTTCTTTTGTTCCTCAGTGTCATCCTCCAGGAAGCTCTTGCGCTTGCTTCGGATGGAATCGGGTGTGGAGGAGGTGGACAGGCGTTTTTTGGTCTCCTTTTTATTGTTTTTTAGAGACTCCTCGAAGTTGGCTATCAGATCCGGGCAATCGAGGTTCTCGACCGGCTCCCAAGTGTTTTCGCTGCGAGGATATCCCTTCCATTTCAGGTAGTATTCCGTGCGCCCATTTACAGTCCGTTTATCCTCTACTCGTTCCACGGAGAATTCTGCCATAGTTTAAAGTTTATTTGGTTACCTTCTTGGCGTCGCGTACAGTAAATATATTTTTTTTGTGCGATTCTAGAGGTGGAATAAAGGAGTAAAGATGCGCAACTCCTTGCGTGCCAACTATCGGCAAGCGAAAGCTACTAATGCCATGCTAGGTCCTCTTTTGCAGGTTAGAAGAAAAGTTACAAAATTAAAAAAGGTTTTCAAAAATATGTCTATTAGTGTTATTACGTATTTAAAATTTCTTGCCATAAACAGTTTACCGCCTAATAGTATACTGTTACTGTTCTTAGCGAAATCTATCTCGTAAATATATAACGAAATAAATTAAAGACATTGTATTATAATGAATATATAATTAACTGAGTTAGTAAATGATAAGGAAACATCCTTAAACATAATACATTTATGTTATTTAACTGACGACAAATTCTGTCACTTCTAATTGATATCGATAACCATCAGCTCTCAATCGATAACCGGCCGTTGCGTTGCACGTGCGCTTGTTTTTAAAGAAATAAACAATATTATTAAATAATATTTAAACAGAAACTAAGCAAACATGGGCGAGTTTATAGCTGAGATGCAGGAGCGCCTGCTGCCGGAGTACGAGCAAATGAAGAACTATAGCGTATTCACAGCAGATCAGGTCAGGTTAGTGATCCATCCAATTTTGCCATTTTGACTACCAAATTAATCCTCATTTCTGCAGAGATATCATTGCTCGGCGAGAGCGCTTGTTCCTCAAGATCAACAAGAGCCACCAGGCCATCACCGACTACCTGGAGTTCATACTGTACGAAAAGCAAATGCACATGACCATTGTAGAGAAGGAGAAGAAGATGCATGTGAAACTCACTGGTCTAAAGGCATCTATAGCCACGCGGATCATGCGTCTGTACAGGGAGGCACTGGGCAAGTTTAACCACGACAGACGGCTGTGGAGCAACTGGATTAAGTTCAGCAAAAAATCCAATCCCGTGGAAGTGACTGGTATATATGAGAAGATGCTACTGGTGGGTATTTGCTGCTCTGCTCATTTTCATTGAATGTAATCAAATTTAAAATGCCTACCGAACACTGTAGTACCACGGTGATGTGCCGGACTATTGGGTGGACGCTGCTTTATGGATGTACGAGTTCAATCGCCTCAACATCGACCGTGTCAAGGACATTCTCCTGCGGGGTCTGCAGAGACATCCAGATTCCGTAATTCTTAACAAATGCTTCTTTGACATTATGTTGAAAGAGGCTGCCATGGCCAACAATGAACGTAATCTCGCCGAGAACACGGTATCCGAGCAGGACATTAAAATGGAACGCGTTGAGGCAGTTTATCGCAATAGTATGGCCAATATCACACAATTGGAATATTTCGTAAAGCTCCTAGAGAGCTGTGAGGATCATCAGGAGTTGACGGGCAAGCTGCAGCGAGTGATAATCGATGATATGCAGGAGAAGTTTCCGCGTGAGCCTGGTTTGTGGGATCTGCTTGCACAACGGGAGCTCCGTGGCTTTCATCTGGGCGACTTGGAGGATGAGGAGCTGGATACTAGCGATGAAGAGCCTGCCAACAAGAAGCCCCGCTCGGTTAATGCCCGCTCCCTTAAACGACGCATTCAGCTTTGCGTTACGGTATACAAATCAGCGGTGGAGGAGCTGCAAACGCAGGAAATGTGGAATATGTATTTAGATGCCATGCTGGCTTTAAATTCCGATGGAAAAACAGAACGGATTCTTAAGCAACAGTGCCTGGCAGATGCTCTACAATCTGGTCATCGGTCCCAGTTGATGGGTGTAAGACACTATGCCATACTGCGGAAGATGCTCTGCACTGCTCCCGGTGGAAGGGAGGCAGCTGTCACAATTCTCACAGAGGCCTTGAAAAACGATTCGTCTGTGGAGATGCACGAGCTGCTGTTAGCCACACACATCCAAAGCGATAGTGAGCCATTGATCTATGAGCTATTCAACAAATTGCAGAAGAGCATGGGCAGTGAGGCGTTGCCGTTGTGGCGCAGTATCATTTTGTATTATCGCACAAGGCAGGACAGTTTGGGTGCACGCAGGCTAGACGAAATCTACAGCCTGGCCTGCAAATCCGCGTGGCCAGAGTTTGGCGAGCTGCGTTCCGATTATCTGCGCTATCTGTGGCAGGAGCGATCCGTCGAGGAAGCACGCAAGGAGTACGCTAAGCTGGCCATTCAGCCTCCTATGTCGCTGGCTCTGCACCGACAAATGATCCAGCTGGAGTCCAGTGTGACAGTTCGCGTAAGTTTTACTTTCTTTCCTTTCTTAAAATCGATTTTATTCAATTGCTTTTAAACTTCCTTTTAGGACAAGTCTAGTCTCAAGTATTGGCGCATGTGCTACGATCTTATGGCCTGCTACTTTGGCAAGACAGAACCGCGCGTTTGGGTGGAGTACCTCGCCTTCGAGCGGGATCATGGTGAAACGAAAAACATCTCACTTCTAACCACACGGGCCCTCAGCACCCTGGAGCCCCAATACATCGCCGCCTTTGAGGCGGAGCGGGCACTGGCCTATGTAGGCGCCTCCATAGTTAATTAAAAGTTTTCATAGTTTATTTTCTATTTTTTTTTACATAATTCCTAAGTAAATCTTTTAGACTGTCTATAGTTTTCCATTCTAGAATAGGCTTAACTTTTTTAAACCTCTGTTGTAAACAATTTCGTAGTAAATATACAGTTTTTAAGATAATTTATAAAAGTGCTTAAATTTGACTTTCCTAGAAGAGAGGTAAGGAAGCTAAAGCTGCAGTCTAAGTTAAGGTACTAATTTAAAAGTATACAGAGTAGCGCACCTATGAGATCATGTATTTTTTGTGCTAATAAAGGCGGAATTATATTTACATATTAATTATGCAGATACTTAGAGGATAGAGGACTAGAATCAATAGTAAATTCATCATAAATGCTTAATAATTCCAAAAATACTTTAAGAAAATATCCTTTAACCTCTTTAGCCAGCGGATGTGTTCATAAATCCGAGCTAATTGCGTTTTTTGAAGGTAAACATGGGCATTAACTTTTTAGCTGGGTGACGCTGCTGCCTGCGCTGACTTCACCGTTGCCGTCGCTGTCGGCGTCGACGCTAGGCAGTGGAGCTTTGGAAGCGAACGACGACGGCGATGCTTTTGGCCAGTTCACTTGCGTACGCCGTGAAATCAACACGCACCAGGAATCCATCGGACTATCAAATCCGATCCCATCCAAACAAATTCAATTCCACCGAAAGCGAAATCTCAATTGAGCGCCATGGAGTGCAACAATCGCCTACTGCTGAAAATCATTGAGCTGGTGAGTAATTCAATTACAAATACCTCAAGTACACTTTAAATATATATGATAAAATATCAGTGTAAGGTACTTGGGCTTGGTTTTTGATTTTCAAATAATAAAGCGTGTCGTATCTCAGTTGATTATGGAAACTAAAGGCTGCAGAATGTCACATTGAAAGTATATCAACTTTGGTCTTCATATTTAATAATAATTGCTATTTAATTTGGCTTAAAAAATATATATTAATTACTACTATTTGCAGTTTGTTTGTCAGAATATTCATATAAAATATTTCTAATATTAAATAAGAATTTTTAGGATTTTACAAAGATATAATCTGACCATAAAGTGTCTTTACTATTTCATCGAAAATTTTAAAAACAAACCATTTAAAGTTAAAATCAGCATTTTAAATGTATAAATCTAACTAGTTATATTTATTTTTCAAACTATCAAGCCTATAAAAATGTTTTTTATAAAGATCACATTATAATTTGTGGCAGCTGTAGCTTCGAGTCGACTGTATACAATGCTTTTCCTTTATGATTTTCTGTGAGCGTCTGCATTTCTCCTTCCCCGAATTTCAATTCAATTTCCTGTTGCGTCTCTAGAGTTTCTGTTGTTATTGTTGTTGTCTTTCTTGACTTCGGTCTTGAAAAAGAACAACCGGTTTTTCTTTAGATTTTGGACCATAACAAAAGACTATGACTTCACTGCCTTTGTTGCCGGTGCGTAGGTCTTGGATTTAATGCGTGTTCTGGGCTCAGCAATGATGTCATGACCTCTCCTCCTTCTGAATTAATTACGTTTTGTATTTTTTCGGGGTTCCCAGCGGTCTAATACTAAAGAGCAACAACAACAACAAAAGAAATCCCAACTTGATGCTGACATCAGATCATGCTTTTCAATGGCATTTTGTTTCGCCAAAATTGCTCTTGATTCGCATTTATTTAGCTGTAGTTAATCTGAATGGTAATTGCCTGGCAAATCGTTAAGGTTAGTTAGTTGCATGTGAGAAGACTGATTTTTAAGGGATATATATACATATATATCTGTATATATCTGTATGTTAGTGTGTCATTTTGGCAGTTTATTGTATTTTTGTGACTTAATTAAGCGCTTATGGTCCAAGCACAGATGACATCATTGCTGCGATTCTGCGAGCTTAAAAGAGAGCAAATCGGAAGATAAAGCGGGAATGTATATAAGTATATATAGCAAAAAGGTGAGCAGGCTTGGAGTACCTGGAATATCATATAATTTTGGAAAGCTTCACCATATAGAAGATGATCTAGAAGGCTAATGTAATGATTCATCTTTGCCAATGATAATGATTAATATTATAAACTGATAGATTAAATCGTTTATTTTTATATTCATTTAACAATCAGTCAGTCACCTTTTGTTTTTATTCATATTTTTATATATATTTTTTAAAGATATGATTTATTATGAATGACATTGTAAGGAAGTTAAAGTAGATTCTTGCTGAATAATCTGAAAAATAATATTTGTTATTGGGAGCAGATGATTATAAATGCATGGAAAATGAGTGTTTACATTGCTGATACATCTGTTTTGACTCGAAGTTTGCTTATTTAATAAACTTATCAGCAGGGAGATCACTCACACGAATCAGAGCTGTAAAATAAGTATTCCCTTTTGTATAAAATCAAAACTTAATTATGCAATTTTGCACTCACCGAGATAGAATTTATCTGCATTCCATTCAGGCTAAGTAATCACCAATAAACAAGCCTCCGTTGCATCCTGCTGTTTGTTAGCATTTCTTGCCCTATAAGCTATATATTTGTTGTTTTTTTTTGAATAAAATCACTTATCACCACAGGATGAGGCCTCATTTCACAAACTCTCTTGCTTGAGCGATGAGTGCTTTTTATTTACAAATCAATATTTCGAAATGATAGGCCCTGATCAGTGATCTTGAATCTGGTCTCCCGGTAAATGAATCACTTACTCGGTTGATTACATCACTGCCATTGGCTATGGCGACCCACTTGCCCGGCACGTTTGATATATTGTTAATGCGGATCATGTCCGTCCATCCCGATCCGTCCGACCACACCCACTTTATGGGCCGGGCCGTGCAATCACGTTCGCTCATTGCACTTACTAATCAGCTATTTACTACACAGGGCAAAAATTTGAATAGATTTTAAGGTCATGCTGGTACATTTTAAGTGGCTAAATGGACATGACCATAAATACAAGTTGAAGTTTTTAAAATAAATTTAAATAAATGTAAAAATAAGTAACTAACTTTTAAGTTTTGTTTCTAGAAAAGCTATTAAATTGTGATTTTTAAAGTTGTTTTTTTTTTGTATTTAACAAAAAAAAGTCAACTAATTGATAATCAAGAGAGGAAAATCCACTCTTTTAAAGGAAATATTTAAGGAAAATCCAACTAAAGATTCCCCTAAAAGACACCCTGTTTTTGGCCAGTGCAGCTGAGCCTCAGCAGCCACAACGATGACATCATCATGTGCACACATGGCCAAAAACAAAAAAAAGGCTGAAAAATCTGGCACGCATTACGCATACGCCATGTGCGCTGCTTTCAATCCCTCTAACCCCCTCTCACCACCGAAAAAGTCGCTTGCATTGAGTAAACAAACGAAATAAAAAACGTTCATGGAATGGCTAATTGGGCTCTAGCTGTTCCTTGATTATCTGCCATATCTCTATATATTGGATATATATTAGGTTTTCCCTTTTAGCCAAAGTAAGAGCCAAAATCAATGGGTAAATAATATTGTTTAAATATTTGTCCCCTGAATGTGGGAAGTCTGGAACAGGCAAATAGAATAGAAAACCATCCGAGAAGATAAGAGAACCCGACCCATTGTTTGCCTTCGCATGAATTCCGGCAACTTGGCCGTAAATATTTTTACGGGCTAATAAATGCTTTAACTGCAAATCGGGAAGGCGCATTTTCTGTTTATTTTCTTATTATTTTTGTTCTTTCTTTTTCTTTTCCCTTTTTTCCCCTTGCTATCCAGTTTTTTTCTCTTCTCTTGAATTGGAAATTGATTTGTGCGCTCTTCTATCTTTTTTTTTGATAGCCCCCCTCCCCAAGCAACAGCACCCCCGAAAAGTCAATGGCATGTCAGGTGGCCATATAATGAATGGCCCATACTAACCATATCAATTGAAAATAAAATTGATCTATGGATTTGCCAGAGCTTGGCAGCCAAATGGTTTTCGTGTTCCTTTTTTTGTCAAAGTGCTAAAAACTTTTTTGGCCAGCAACGCGCCGTCTTGTGTTTATATTTTTGGCGATGGAGGGGGAAGTGGGCTGGCTTGGGGGTTTTCCCTGGTTCCCTAAGGCACATTCAACTGGTGTGAATATAATTCGTAAATAATACCAGTCACTAGAAGTAAACAATAGTTAGTCATACGGAAGCACATTTCATAGTTCTGATAATTCGCGGAAAATGTTGTTTTTCTTTTACAAAGTCATGAAAGGATTCGCAGAAAGAAAAGTTAATGGTTAGGGGAGCTAGGGGGGGATGATTCATTTTGAAGATAAATAAAACATAAGTTGGAATGTAAAATTTCGAATTTTTGGTCATTTTTGCAAAGATTTCTTTCCCTCCCAAAGTTTTCTTTTGTAAATCTATTAAAATTCCTTTTTCAGCTTGGCTTCTTCTTTCAGTTTTAGTTTTCCAAGTTCCCCTAAAAACCATAAATCATTTATCAATTGGGGAAAACATTTCCCCCCTCTGCTAATGGCATAGCCAACACCATTTACCCAAAGTAAAAGCCACGTAACTGCTCTTCAGTTCTTCGAATTTCGCGATTATTTCGGTGTTTATGTCATTTTTGGGGTATCATTTTCCCCATATCCTATACCCCATAGCTGGGCGTGACAATTAAACAATAAAGAAGCCGCATACATCAGCTTTATAGAGAGCTAAATGGTTATAAATAAATGGCAAATGGCAAATGACAACAGCAATGGGTAATTATTGATACAGGAAGCCCACCACCCGCAGAAATCTATATTATATCCGCGATATTTATGTATTCCGAAAGGCAAACAAACTGCCAGCTAATTCCATAAACAAATTATATGATATGGCTAGAGGGAGGTTGTATAGCCACCGGATTAAGGCATTATGAGTTATAGGATATGGCATTTGTTTACTTGACTTTCCCTTTCCTTTCCTCTACTAATGACCTATTCCTGTTCTTCCTTGCCTTACATTGTCAACAAGCTTCGTCTAGCTTCTCCCTGCATCCTGGGCCAATTAGCAGAAGGTCGCCGTCTCCTAATTGATTGATTGCCAACGGGTGTGTCGCACTTAGTGAAAGACCACTGTCGCGTATTGGCCATCGATGGCTCGTCAATTTAACGCCATAAAACCCATATCTGTCGCTGTCTGTTTGTTGGTTCGTCGTCGCCTGGCAAATATCGAAATAATTTTCACATTTGATAAGCAAATGGTGGGAGTGGGTGTCAAATTAATTCCCCTCCCGGCTTTTGTCGCCATTTAGTAATAGAGATATAGTTGTTATACGCTGAAGTGTGGTAGCTTTGTGGCAGCTCAAGATGTCACAAGCAAATTAGTGGCAAATATTATTTATGGTTATTGATATGGGTTTTGGGGGAGGGAGATACATCTTTATAAGAAGGAAAGTCACTTTCTAGCCTAGTTAATGGGTATCTATAATAGAACTTCCGGTTGTTTTAGTAAATAAAAACCAACAAATCAGAGAACATATGGCCAGAAACGAAAGCCATTAACTACATGCGGGGATAAAATTATCGAAACGTTTTTCCCCCAAACAGCTTTTAGTGTTAGCCCAAAGTGATTAATTTTGTTTGATAGGACAGAAAAGATATTGATGAATGTTAACTTACCTGAATATATAAATAGAGAGAACATTCTGAATGAATAATATAAAAATACAGAAACTCAGCTGTCCCTTCTATGCCTTCAACTTCCTAACTTGTTATCTTGACTTGTCCGTTTGTCTGTGATTTTGTCCGTAAATAAGCTTGTCCGTTTTGTGACTTTGTCCGTCTCCTGAAATCCGTACTCAAGTCCCCAACTCTCAGGTCTTCATCGCAACGAGCATTATCCTGATCGAGAGCATTACGGATCTGACCTATATAAGACAAGCGATCGTGGTCTATGGGACTTTAGTTGGTTATCTAATCACGTGCTTTGTATTAGCAACAGGTAAAAGCCATATCCTTGGAACTCCTCTTCCTATATCCTAGTACAGCTGGTGGATACATGTTTTGCAGGTCATGTTGGTGGAACTGCTGTAGACAAGCGCCTCGATATAATCTTCTCGATCGGTGGCTTTATAATGTTCGTGTCCAGCGGTACCATTATCCTGGATCAGTGGCTGGATTACTGCAAGACGCAGGAGGAGTGGGAAATCCTTTTGGTCTCCGGCATTTTGAGTCTCGCCAATGGCGCCATTTTCGTGGGCGATATTTTCGTTGTACTGGGATCTTAGATTTAAGTCAGATTATAGTCCATGGAAAATATAAAATAGTTTTAATTTAAAAACAAAATTTGGTTAATCTTGATCAAATTGGCCATTTACCTTCAGTCAGTTATTGGTGTAATAGGTTGGATCATGAATATCCAGCGTTCACGTCATCAAAAATCCCAAAAATCTATTTCCGGATAAAAATCCATGATGCACTGCACTCCTCCTGGAGTCCAAGTGCCACCAATCCTAGCCAAGCATAACAAAACTTATTCTTAATCGATCCACATTGCATTGGCGGCATGCAAGTCGAATGCAAAAATGGCGGATATGGGCCAAACATGCCCCTCGGCTTATGCAATACAAAAAAAAAAGATGGCACCTTATCTTGATTTCCGGCTTGCCGAAGTCCAGCCATGGTAGGCACCGACATATACGATGGACGATGAAGGCTTCGGATCCCACCGCAGAAATATAGAGTAAACCCATCTTTGACTTATAATCTTATCCGTATCTCCGAGTGGATAGTCCATAAATCTCAGGTGGCTGTAGTCCAAAATAGAGATAGCCAAAAGTAGAGGAGTACCAGCTCTGCAGAACTGATGGAATAGGACTGGAAGTGATCAGAGCCGGACCATGTCCAGGTACCACTAATATAATGGGAGAGCACGACTTGGAAGCCGATACATCCCGGCTAGGTCAAGTGCAGACGTTCCACTTTGCCTTAGAAGAAGGCAGCCGCTGCATTTCCAAGTCTCCCCGGAAGCAACTTGAGACTCCTTGGCTTACATATATATATATATATATATATAAAAAGCTAAATAATCTAACTTAATATCTATAACCGATCTAAGCTGCTCTGGCTATGTAGGAAGCCATCGCAAGCTTGGCCAGCTATGGGGTAAACAAGCCCCTTGGCTTATGCAATAGAATAGGAAAAGTTTGCCACCTACCTTGACTTCCTGCTTGGCGAAGTCCTTTTTTGCATCGTCATTTATATCCAGAATCGACGTCATCAGCAGTCCCAAAAATGGATTCCCGAAAAAAATCCATGATGCACTGCATCCTCCATGGAGACCATGTCCATGTACCACCAATGTGATGGCGAGTACCACTGGACCACTTGGAGGCACTTGAAAAAACTGAACTAACACAAACACACACACACAAAAGTGACTTGACTAATTTTTCACCGGCCAACAGCGCCATAGTCACAACATTTCTGGTAGAACCAGTTGGGAATTACAAGGAGCCCGGAGTGAGAAAAATTAATTTGGATTTAACTGACATAGCCCTTAACTGGCCGATGACATTCAAAACTTAACTTTCAGTTAACTTTCATTAAAAATTCTAAATTTTCTGTTAAAATTCGAATTTTTTGTTTATATTTAAAAATTAAAATTAAAAGAAAATTACCGTTAACTATCGGTTAACGGTTATTGTTTAAATGATAACATTTTTCAAAAATTGTTCTTAATAGTCAAATTTGCGGTTTATTTTCAAAATTGCTTTGGCAGTTAAAAAATACGTTAAAATATAAATTAATTATATATTTTTCTTTACAGAAATATTAAAAATTTTTAAAGTTTTTAGGCAAAGTAAAAGGTTATTTCCCTTGAATGTTTTGACTACTAACTGGGACCTATTCTGGTCTCTGCTAATCCTGCAAAATAAGTTGCCTTCCTTCACAAGGAGATATATATCGACAAAATATGTTAAAAATACCTGGAAACTTTAATATTATCTCATTTTTTGCAAAAAAAAGATAATTTTAAGCCTTATTGGAAATGCGAATTTTGGTTTCTCCGTATATTCCCCCCAGAACGACTGTTTTTTGCTCATAACTAAGCCGATAATGATCCAAATATAGGAAGTCATACCTCGCTGAGTGCGTAATTGGATTTCCTACAAAACTGGATCCCCACCTCAAAATGTACAATTTTTGCTATTTTTCGTAAATTTTGATGATGTTACCCCTTATCGAAAATGCGATTTTTGGTTTCTCCATAAATTCCCCCCCCAGAACGACTGTATTTGGCACATAACTAAGCCATTAATGGTCCAAATACAAAATGTGATACCTCGTTAAGTTCGTATTTAAATTTCCTACAAAACTGCTTTCCCACCTAAAAATGTAAGATTTAAAGCAACTTTTCTAAAAAAAGATGATGTTACCCCTTATTAAAAATGAGAAATTGCTTTTCTCGCTATTTTCCCTTTAATATGAAGGTATTATTCCTGTAACTAAGCCATTAATGGTCCAAATACGGAATGTCATACCTCGTTGAGTTTGTAATTAAATTTCCTACAAAACTGGATCCCCACCTAAAAATGTAAAATTTTAGCCATTTTTCGCAAATTTTGATGATGTTACCCCTTATCGAAAATGCAAAATTTTGACAAAAATAAAATTTCTCAAAATCAAAAAACGAATGATGAGGGTTGCAAGTTCTGGTCGATAGCTTCACAAAACAGTCGTTCTTTTAGCTCTACGCCTTCTTTTGACCAAGTTAGAGGTATAAACCCTATCAAATTTTGGTCACTTTCTGACAAAGTTCATAATTCCGATTTTTGATTTAAAATCATCAGAACTCTTTCCATAACAAAGCCAATAATGATCCGATTAGGGAATGTTATGCATCACTGAACTCGTAATTAAAATTCCATTCGAACTGCATTCGCACTTTAAAATGTAAAATCTTAGACATTTTTCGAAAAAAAAGGATGGTGAAAAAATGTGAAATTTGGTTTGTCCTTATTTCCACCCAAAATGTTAGTATTTCGTCCATAACTCAGCCAATAATGGTCAGAATATGGAATGTCACAGCTCGCTGAGTTCGTCATTAAATTCCCTGTTAAGCTTCATTCAAACCTGAAAAAGTGAATTTTTTGGAATTTTTTCGAAAAACAGATAATGCTACACCTCTTTTTAACCATTAAACTACCTTTTCTGTAATCTTTTAGGCCATCGCCATAGCCTGCATTGTCATGTACACGACAGTTGGCAATCTGTCCGTCTACCCTGTGCTAGTGGCTGGTACCATTGGTGGCTATGCGGTCGTCTGCGGCATTCTGCTGATCGGTGAGTAGTGCTAGATGAAAGGAGATGAGTAGTTTTCCTGAAGATGAACATATGATAATCCATTGACAGGACACGTGATCAACTCGCTGGTGGAGAAGCGTCTTAATGCTTTGTTCTCGCTGGTTGGCTGCCTGCTGTTCGTGGCCTCTGGAGCTCTGGTGATCGATGAGTGGCACAACAGCTTCCCGGATACCGATAGGAAGCGTCAGGCTGTCGGTGCCGGATCCCTGATGATCATCAATGCTGCTGTCTTCCTCCTGGACACCCTCTGCATCTGCCGGACGTAAAGATTCCGTTCCGTTGCTCTACTTACTGTTTACTGGTTTTTTTTTTTTTTTTGCAAATCGAATAACTCCCAAAAGTGGAGAACAACAACAAACAAGAATCTAAATGTTAACATATACATATATATAACATTTTTTTTATCTGTGTGTAAAAGCATTTTATATACTATATACATTTTTGTACGTGTCCTAAGCTAAACTCCGATATACGCACGCTGATTGTTTACAGGAATCCATTAAATACAAATATGCACACATACATTAGCAGCTATCTGTGGTTATAATATGCTATATGCTATATGCTAAGCTCACAACCTCTGGCCATGTTGTCTTACATCACCATAATTGCTACCCTCGTACCCCTCGTACCGTATGCCGTTCCTGGTCTTATAATGGGCCATAATTGCCCGGAGGGCTGAGTTTCTGGGAAAAACGACTGCCGGGCCTGACGTCACGTGCCAACTGTTGCTAAATCCAGGTGGACTTTGCAGTTTTACATTTCCATTTCCCATCCTCCTAAAAAGCTGGTCAACTCCTACGCTTGAGTTGAGGGGAAATCCATCACTCCATTTGTCCAACTCCTGTCCTGAAGTTCATCTTGGTCTTGCTTTCTTTCTATATTCGGTTTATGATCTATAAACATCAATCTTCAAGTTGTTTTTTAAAAAGTCATCTTTGATATTCAATTTGATAGACTAAAGTAATCAAAATGCTCAGAAAATGCTTTACAAGCTTACTAAGCCGTGTTTTTGCATGAAAACTAAAGATTTTCTATATCTTAAAGTAGTTTAAAATAAAAATCTTACCAAAAACAAACCCTTACCAAACCTAAAACCTTTATGTTGTCTTCCCTACAGAGCATTCCATATTCGTTGCCTTTGCCCAAAGCTTAAACTTCTTTCTGCTGTGTGATTGTCGTGCCACAAGCTTATTATGATTAAGTAATTTATTTAATTTCTAATTATTTCTTATCATCCGCATGACAACTCTGTGAAAACAAAAAACAAAACAACGTTAAAAATTACATTACTGAAACAAACTGACAAGAGCAGACGGAAGGAAGTGCCTGTTATATCGGAGGAACCGAAGAAAGCCAAAGTCGAGATAGATCGCTTTTAGAGATGCCACAGAGTTCCATCGAGATGTTGAGTTGCAAAGATAACCGATCTACATACATCTATATATATATATATATATACCGCCAAAGACTTTTGAAACCGCCTTGTGATTTATATATTTACTTTTGTTTATATAATTTAATTGCCCCCCCTCTTTGTTTTTTTTTCTTCTTTAACTTTGTTTTTTTTTCTTTCGTACTAATACTTTTTTTGCTAAGAGATCTTAATTTGTGTTTTGCTGCTGGGAAATGTTACCTGCTGTGGCTGTGATTTCTTGCAGCAGATTATGTTGCACGATAATTGGCCGCAATTACGAGCTCGCTGCTCGCTGCTCGGAAGTTCAAAGTCAGGGTCATATGATGGGGTGCTGAGATTTCCCCGTCAAGTTGATTTAGCATTTTTGGTAAAGGGGGCAAGAGCAAAATTCAAAATCTACTTGAAATGGCCAACAAAACAGAGGAACCCCCACAGATCTTGGGCTGTGACTTTGAGGTCCGTGGTAAAGTGCCCAAAGAGGCCTTTGAACTCTTTGCCGTTGCTCAGGCCAAGACTCTGGGCTTGCGGGGCTTCATTACTCAGGTTTCGGATGAAAAGTTCAAGGGTCGTTTGGAGGGCGAGGGCAAGGTGATCGATGCCTTCAAGAAGCTAGTCCTGGCCGCCGCTGAATATATACAGGCCATCAAGGAGTTCATCATCAAGAACCTGAAAGTTATCCAGGAATATACCTACAAGACCTTTGAAGTGGTGGTGGAGAAAAAGTAAAGCTTTTCAAGTTTATAAATTTGGCAAAAATATATCTGGGCTTAAGATTTGGTTAAATTTATCATTTTACTAACTATTTTAAGGTATTTCAGAATGAAAAATGTGCAAAGTAACGCTAATAAAGAAAAACTAAAAGAAAAAGCTATATAAATCCGTCTTATATCTTTTTAAGAATATAAAAATCTTAAGACATTACAGATACCTACGTGCCAGTGCTATAAAATTCTGAATTCTCAATGAGAAGTACCTGTGAGAATGCAGAAATCTCCCCTGGGATCATTATGAAATTGAATGATTGTCCGATTTATGATTTATGCAATTCCCCCAAATGACCCATGAGTTCTCCACTCTCTCTTCCCTTATCCACATCTTGCTGTTCTAGGGCCGATCGTGACCAATAAGCTAATGATGTCCATGGGGAGGGGATAACCTTGTGGCCATTGCCGATCGGATATCAAATCGCATGCCACGGATGCATAACCCAACGATGTTTCCCGGCTGCTTTGCTTGCTTGGCATGCAAATCGGAGACATGATCGCCGCCTCGATCGACACGATCAAGGTGTTCCAAACATACTTCAAAACATACTCCATGGATGGGTTATTTATGTGCTCGCGGATACAAAACTCCCCTCGACTTCTTGACTTGACTTGCCACCCCCCCACTCCGCTCCAACTCAGCTCTCAAAGTCAACTCAACTCAAGTCAGATAATGTATCTGCAATGATATATGGACGGCTAATCTATCATGGCCCAAGCAACGTTACAATTTTATGGGTCAATTTGCGGACGGTCATTACCAGAATGTGTGAGTGTGCAACAGGTAGCCAGGTATCTGTTGGTCTATATGGTACAGTGAAAAAGATTTAAGTTAAGAAAGATGCAAAGTAACTATCAAGAGGCTTGGCTAAAATATTAAATGATTTATCTTTAACATGTTTGTATCTTCATGTCAGCTATATTTAAAACAGATTATTCTATAGTTTAACCTTTCGTAACGAATATTGCATGATCTATATGCCTTTTCTCCCTGTGTATTTATCCAAGTAAGAAACGGACTCGACCCATATGCGAAAAAAGCCGCAAAATTGAGGGGAATTAACCTAGGCGGCGGTGGCGAAGTCGTCAACCACTGCGGTTGCTTGGAATATATATACATATATAAATCTCAGTCTGGATCCAAATCGGAATACAAAATCCAAAAACAGCCCCTTAATTGCAGCGCTGTGGCAACGCCAGCAAACCGGAAAGAACGGCGACAATGATTGCCAATCGGATTTGGCCCACAATCAGTGATGACTAAGCTGGCTTTCAAAACTAGCTAAAAAAACAAGAGCAAACAAATAGTTAGTATAACGAGTACAAAAAATGGATAAAAACTAAATTCAATTCAAGCAGTTTCAAATAAATTAAAACATTTTATCCAAAAAAACATTAAACAGAATTTGTAATAATTAATTAAAGAATTTTTATCTTTAAAACTAACATTAATTGTTTTTAAAACCTTTACAAGCTGAGCTGTCATCTCTAATCGCCGGCGTCATTCACAGACCGCAGTCGCAGTTGCCGTCGACGTCGACGTCCACGGGCTCCAACTGCGCCGCTTTGGCGCTCAGTTTGCTTCGAGCGCTGGAACGTGAAAGTCGTCGACGCAGTTGGGCCAACGTTGCGTATGAAAGTTTGCCATACGATCGGGAAAGATTTTTTTTTTGAAAAGCGCAGGCGTGCAACGGTTATTTTTGTCCCTTTTCGGCGTTTCATTTCGTGCCGAATGGCATTTTTTTTCGAGTGTGGTGGCTGAGTGAAAATCAAACGCATTTCGTGCATAATTTGTGGAATTTTACACGTTGTAAAATCGAATTTTTTATTGTGCAAATTGATTTTTTTTCCTTTTTGCTTTCTTGGCTTTTCGTTTGCTGTGCTGTGGGGGGCAACAGCTAAGAAATAATGCAGCCACATTAAGCGGGCAAACAATAAACAAAAAAAAAAAAAAAAAAAAAAAAAAAAAAAAAAAAAAAAAAAAAAAAAAACTAAAGAGTCAACAGCAATTACAAGGCACTAAAAACCGGAGGAAGAGGTGAGCAAATATTTCCATCCATTTGTTGTTCTTTCGTTTGGTTTTTTAACAGTTTTTTGTGTTTTGCGTTTTCTGTTTTTATTGCTTGATTTTCGGTTTATTTAGTTTCGCTGATTTTTGTATTGGAAAGAAAGACCGAAAGGGATTTTTGTGAAGGGAAAATTGTAATTTAAATATTAGTAAAAGAAACTTAAGTTATATTCCTAAAAAATGTTAGAAAAAATGTTATAAAGTAAATGTATTTTAGTAAGTCTAAAGCTGCTTTTATGGATGGATTTTGAGTTAACTAACTTTTTTGGTAACTAACTTTTAAAGTAAATACAAAATAGGGAAATTTCAAAGATTTTTCTCTTCTGATTTGCAGGGTTTTCTTAAGAAAACTCTTTGCTAAAGTCTTAACTTTAAATAACATTTATTATAGTTAGCTCTCATAGACTTACCCTCAATGTTTTTAACCTTTTCCAAGCAAAGCTCCCTCTGCTTATACCCATTAGAACTCATCCAAAGATCTCCTGACCCATTAAGTCTCCCACTTTTCTCTCAGTGTGCCTATCCCAGCTGGCTCACACACACGCACACCTAGGCATAACCTCATTAAAGTTGTCGCTGTTGTTGTCCTCATTTATCCGGACTCGAAGAGTTGGAGTTCGGAGTCGCGGACTCAAAAACTCTGAGCCGTCTTCGATTATTGAGCCGTTTGACTTTTTCCCAACTTCCAGCGAACCTGTTGGCCCCACTGGCAAAACGAAAAAAGAAAAAAACCTACAGAAAATATATACAAAACTGGAGAAAAAAAAAGAGTATATATATATAAATGAAAACATGCTCTGGTCAGCCTCTAGAAATATGCGAGTATCTTTGTCTTTGAGCTCTTTTCTCTTCTCGGCATCTTGGTATGTTTTTTTTTTTGTTTTTTATAAATTTTTTGCGCCTTTATTTTAGTTTTTTTTTTTCTACTTCTTTACACTCGCCGCTCGTAAAGCCCATAAAGTGCAGTAAAAATCTCGACTGTCGTCCATATACTTGACCTATCCGAACCGGGCTTCTAAGGGGGGAGGTATCTATATATATATAGTATACTATATAGTGTGGTTGAGTTGCTTTCTGGGTTGGGCAGTTGCACTTGGCCTTAAATCAGTTCATTTTCCTAGAAAACCTCTAATTTGTTGAGACTTTGAGTGGTTTAATGGGAACTTAAAGTATTTTGTAAAATATTTAATGAATTAAATGAATTTTTATTGCAATTTTATAAGCCTTGATAAGCTTAGTTAGTTACAGAAAATCAAAATGTTTGATAGATAGTTTTTAAGTTCAAGTTTAGAGACTTTTTATCTCAAATTAACTTAAGGTATTCCCTCTTCTAACGGTTTTCCAAGTTTCTAAGCTTAAAAATGATTAAAAATCCCAAAACTTTTAGCATTTTTCAGCAACCTAAACCCGTTTTATTTTCACCGTGCACTTTACTTAAGGCTGAGAGCAATTTTCGTTTGGATTTGGCCCCTCCTCTCGAGGCCCCTTCAAAATGATTATTATTACTCTGCCGCATCATTATCGCCGCGCTTGAAATCTAATTTCTGCCCCGGCCACAATTTGCCACACGATTTTGTTTTTGTTTTTTTTTGCTATATATATATATATATATAGTATTTATTTTCTTTGTTTTGCGGGTCCGAAAGGAATTGAAAGTGCGCGCGCATGCGCAATTAAGGCCAAGTGCGCGGGCCAAAAACAAAAAAAAAAAGTCAACTGGCAGGAAAACAACAACAAAATATGCCATAAAAAAGGTGATACAGGGAGGGGGGGTCAGCGGAGGCTGAAGGCTAAAGAGCAGAAATTCACTTTTTAAGTTGGTAAAAGAAAAGCAAGAAAAAAAGCAAGAAAAAAGCAAGAAAAGTACAGAACCCAGAAGAGAGTTAGCCGAAAACGAGGCAGTTGGTGAAAATCCAGCGCATACAGGTTATAAAGATTTATGATCACTTTTGATACCATCCGCCGACCAATCGGCCTTCCAATGTAGGTGAAGCTCAAGTGAAAGAAGATAACATCGCGGCTTAAAGCCGGCCAGATGAGTTTACTTGAGTTGGCCCGCAGTGCCGCCTGACTGGGCCATGTAGCTATTTTGCCCACTTAGATTCAGGTCATCATTGCCGGCTAGTGGCTAGGCGATTTCTTTCAAGGAAAAGCTAGCTGTGATCTATAAGTTTTTATACTTTATTTTCTTTTAAATAAAATTAAAAAGTTAGATTTTTGCAAATTTACTTTTAAACACTCAATCAACACTTTAACCCCTTGACAATGATTGATGGGTTAAATTGCCAGTGGAATGGGGTCGAAAGTATTGCTTAAATGATTACTTTCATTTATTATTTTTTATAGTTTATTGTTTATTTGTCTTAAAAGTTGTTAGTTTGCCAATATATGGCTAGATGGCTAACCTTTTCTATGGAAATATTTCACAGCCATGTTAGGTTTCTTACTCATAAAGGTCGCTCTTGTTTTTATTTCTTGTTTTTTTTTTTCAACTAACTCGTACATAGAGCTATCTCTGGTGATTCATTTAATGGAATCTTGGCATTATAGTTGCTACTTTGTATGCAAAAGCTAGTCAATAGATCACATTAAATGATCTATTAATTGGCAGTTAGATCGAAGTACGAGTGAGTTTTCTTACAGAGTTAGTTTATGTTTTAAGCTATGAGATATCTTAAGTTTGAAATTAAAACATTTGCAATGCTTTTTGTTAAAGAAAATAGAAAACTTTTAATGATTTTGACATTTAACCGGAATTACTAACCTTTCCGGCAAGGTCTTGGCCATAAAAAAACTGAACTTATGGCCAATACATGTTAAAAACATAAATTTATTAACATTTCTGTTTAAGGTTTTAAGTGTTTTTTGTTTAATTTAAGCCATCTAAGATGAATAAATATTAAAAACATTTCTTTAGAGTCTTTTGCCGACTTAAGCTACCTCTTTTCCCTGTGCAAGCCCGCCTTTCCCCCTTCCAAGCCCTTAGTTAATTAACTAATTAATGCACTTTAAAACTCATATTAATTTTTACTTTTATTAAGCTCACTTCTCCTGCTCACTGCACTTTAATTAAGCTGTTTGTTCACCTTCTTATCACATTGCATTTACTTACCGACTTCGCTTACAGATTTTCTCACCATTCATTTGCTATTCATTCGTGTTTTTGCATTTCCCCTGGAAAAGCGGGAAAGGAGGGGAGCAAAAGTAACAATTACCAAGGCAGATAACTCATTAATAACTTGCATGGCAAAAGCCATTTTTTAATCTTTTTTTTTTTTGTTTTATTTTATTTTTTTTGCGCCGCTGAGCATTTTTTGTTACGGTTAATGTTGGAATAACTATTCATGAGACTTAAACGGGTTACTGCTGCTGCTGCTGCTCTGTTGCTTTCTACATAACAAATGATATATATATGTATATATAGATATATATATATAGCAAATACACCCACAGGTAAAGCCAAAACCTAAGCCCAGACCAGCCATCCATCCATCCATCCACAACTTGGAATCTTTCAAGTGTTTCAATGGCCCGTAAATGCGGGCTGCCAAAAATAATGTTAAAAAACCCAAAAAAAAAGCTAACAAAAATTAACAAAAACTTAACAAATAACTCGAAGAATGGTTATTTGGAGCTTTTTTCTATATATAGCCAAGAGCCGCAGCTCTGTAGGCCCAATTGACCTTAAATTATTGCCCTGGCGTTGGCGTAATGTTTCAAAATTCTTCAAATCTATAATCTATATCTATACATACATATGGTAAATAGCTTTTTTTGGCCTAAAACATATTTGGCTTTTGACCAGATTCGGCCACCAGTCACCGAAACATGCAAATCGGGTTTTTATTGGTTGGTTTTTTTTTCGGTCAATTAACCTGCGATATCCGGCCAGAAAGCAACCCGGGCAATTACAAATGCAGAGCAGCTCACAGCTTAAAGTCGTCGTGCCACATGCCACATGCCACATGCCGCATGCGAGCTTTCACTGATCACTGATCCAGCCAAGCAAAACTGGGCAGCTTGGACTTGGACTCGGACTCTGATCCTAGTAGCTGTGAGATCTCACAGTATAAATCTAAAAGCAGTAAGAAAAAAACGTGGGCGAACTTTCCCACGTCCGAAAGATGGCCGAGGAACTAAAATGCAGAGAGAGAAAAGGGTGGGAAGATGCAATTTTATAAGAAGTACTCACTGTTAACTAGAAATTTCCATAAAATGTTCATAAACCTAACTAGTTTCTATCACAAATAAGTAACTTAGTTTAGCTTCAAGTTGAACTTTTAGTTTTTCTTTAGCTTAAAACCTAAAACAGATTTCTTCCTGTACATCAAAGCTCCGTCACGCTTCGTTTTGTTGATCTGGCAAAAAAAAAAAAAAACATTTAAAAAAACTACAAAAAACCAACAACACACAGATACACAAATTTCACAAATATCAATAGATGTGTGGCAGCGTAACTTCAACATGTTGCTCCCGGGCGCACAACAGCAACATCAGAAACATCAGCAACATCAGCAAAAAAAAGCAAAACTGCTGCCCTGGGGGCCAAATCTCATGGCGAATTGGGAATGGGAATGGGAATGGAACCTGAGACCCGAAAAGGGTGGAAAGACTGGTCCCAGGCTCCAGGGGCTCGCCGAAAAAGTTCTCAGCTCAGAATCTTGACTGCACCTTTCACTTGTAGCGGAAATACAGAGAGAGAAAAGGTTGGTTAATGAAGTTTGAAAGGAAATAAATGAGAAATTAAGAAATTTTTGATATAAGTTTTGGATTTTAGTAAAGATTTTTTAGGAAAATTTCGTTCAGAAAGATCTTAGCTAACTTTTCCAACTTACCTGATAACTTTTCCTACACATTTTCTCTCTCTGCAAGTGCCTGTGTGTGACTTTTCTGCGGGGGATTGGCAACCAGAATCAAGTGCTTAGGCTTCATAAATGGCGGGGGTGTGGCAGTAAAACAAAAAAAAAAAGGGGGGAAAACTGATGGTCTAGAACCTTGTTTTCCCACAACAAAAAAGAGAGTCAACTCAAGCGGCTGGAGTTCCACACAATAGATAAGCGAATATATTTACGTGATCCGAGCTGAGCTTGGCTTTTGGTCCGAAATTTCCTGCTCATAAGCACGGCTCAAGGTCATTGGGCATTACCATTGGTGGGCCACATCCGGTCGGGTACGTAACAAAGGCTTTTATACGAAAATGCGGTTTAAGGTTGAGGATTTCAATTTCAATTTCAATTTCGATTTTGATTCCAATACCCCAACCCTAATCTATATATCGTAATCGTCATCGTCAAAGCCAAATGCATCGCTGGCTGACCTTTTGCAATAATCGAAAGTGAGCGATGAGCGATGCCGAAAGAAAACCGAAAATTTCCCAATCGAAAAACTTTTCAAAATCGAAATGGTGAAAAAAAAAGAAGATGAAATGGAAAGAAACCTGAAATGCATATCGGTCTCACTTGGATTGCGTCTAAATGAAAAACTCAACAAATAATAGAGCCGCCAGGAAAAAAACCAAAAACAAAAACAAAAAAGATGAAAAGAAAAGTTAAGTTAAGCTTTCGTCACGCTTATACAATTTTTTGTTTATTTTTTTTTTTGTATCATCTTTCGGCTGCGACTGCGCAATGTTTAAAAAAAAAAATGAAAAATAAAAATCCAAACTTCGATTCCGTTTTCCAGCTTCGATTGCAATTATCTCGCTCGGCTCTGGCCGTTGTCTAAATGAATTCAATTAAAAATTCACAATCGACAATAAATAACCCCGGATCGGCGGCATTTTCACTATGCATGGCTCTATACTTAAGACCCCCTCTGCCACCTCTGCCCCCTGCTTACTCTTCGAGCTATTCCAGCGAATGCAAAAAGCCAGCAGAGGCAGGAAAAAATAAATGCTAAGCTAAAAGTAAACAAAACAAAGCTAAAGCCGCGCTGGACAGTGGTTGGAAAGTGATGGGAAATTGGGCATAGGTTTTTGAGCAAGGTTTGGATTTTGATTTCTTAACAACTTTAGAGATATTTCTAACTGCTAAGCCTAAGATAATGATTTGAGAGATATTAAAGTTAGTAACTAGGAAGGTATGTACATTAGGAAAAGGCTTTTTCAGCCTTAAGTAATATTTAAAATATTAAAAAGACTTCTTAGAAGTTAACCAACCACAAAATTGATAAGATTCTTAGACCCAGAAACATAGAAAGAACTTCCTCACTCTCCCTGAAATAACAAGAACTAGAACCAAACTTAGTTATAGTCACCGGGAAAACCTTTCCAATTCAAAAACCATTTCCCAATGACCCAGAAAATGATCTTTCCAAGCATTTAGTAAACAAAATCGATTGCAGTGCCTGGCCAGTGACACTATTTCACCCACTCGAAACGCTATCTTATCGCCGGGTGCATTCAACTTGTCTCTAATTTTAGTCATTCTACCACTGTACAGATATATATATACTGATATATATGTGATATATATATGAAACGAAGGTAGTTAGCACTCAGTATGCATAAAACTGCGAACTGGCGAGCGTGGGAAAAAAGCATTGGCTAATCTCGGACTCCGCCAAGTTTGACCAGTTGTTGTTGTTTATGGATTTTGGTTATGGTTTTCAGATTGGTAATGGGATTTGGGATATTTGGGATATGACGATGACTTCAGCCCCTTCCCCCTTGCAACTCGCACATTACTCATACGCTGCGTGGCAAAACTCTCTGGAAAAGGGTCAAGATACTCGAAGAATATCGATATGCGGATCTGTTATTATGATCTGGCAAGCAGCAGCCTTCTATAGACTTTCATTCATAGAAAACTTTCAAAAAAGCGTAGACAATAAAGAAAAAGAAATAGATATAGAAAGATATATATATATATATATATCTAAACAACGAAATAACTGCCAAGTGACCATCAAGAACTGGCCGCGAAAACGGGTTTCAGACTTTCGGCTTTTGGGTTTTGGTTTTTGGTTTTTGGTTTTTGGCCATAATTTTATCGTATCTCTCCGCACCCTGGCAGAATACAATTTTTCTGTGCTTTTTTGCAGATACATTTCGCAGGCAATCTAACAGTTGGCTGCTAATGTGATTTGTGAATGTTTCGACGGGTATTTCGCAAGGCGAAGTAAATAAATTACATTGGCAGTTTAACGACGTCGTCTCTCTGCCGTTGGAAATTGTCGCCGTTTGGCGGCTTTTGTTTGAGTCTTAGATTTCCAGCCCGGTTGCAGCAGGGCCTGCCGGAACCCCCCTTCTCTATCCCCCATCTAACCAGCAAATTGCTGGCCATTTAACAAGCCAATAGTTACAAAGCCAAGTCACACAATGGTCGGTCGCATACACCATCTGAAAGAAAACAATGCTACGCAGGTTATACAGTCGGGGTTAGAAGAATAGGACTTATGTAATGGTAATATATCACACTTTTAGCCTTGTTAGTGGGCTAAATATGAGTTTCTTTGTTGGAAAAACAATTTCTAGGAAATATTTTAAAGAGATCTTAAGCTGTTGTTACTATTTCACCGAATCGAAGTGCATATCGGATGCCTGAACATTCATACTCGTATATCATAGCCTGCTGCCGATGAGCTTCAATGGGTTCGAGCGATCGCTTGATTGACAGTTAGCTAACCGTTTCGACTTAATACTTAATACAAGTGTTTAACAGTTAGTCGCCGTGGAAATGGTGAGATATATGGTACATACTTGCCGCCAAGGAAATGCTATCCATGGGAATGCTCGGGCGGTTGCAGGTTGTACCCTGTACGCTGTACGCTGTTGCACGTTGCTTGTTGCTTGTTGCTTGTTGCACAAATCTGAAAAATAACTGGAGCAATGGAACCAGTTCTTACACTGATAAAACAACAATCGACAATGGCTTAAACTTAACAATAAGTTTACAATTCCGGGAAGCAGGAAACTGGTAATGAATGAGCCAAGCTTAATGGATCCATTGCGGTCTGATTCTAGCCATTGGCTTTGTTGGCTTTATGGACCGTTGCTTTGGCTCTTAGGGGAAAGATTAAGTTTGGTTGGAAAATGTAGAATTTGAACGAATTTCTTCATTTTTTAGCTTCATTTCTAAAGAAGTTTTAACATTTTTTATTCTCGCTTAAAGTTAGGAAATCCTTTTAAGTTTCTTTTGACTTTTAACCCCTCTTCTTACTCTCTTTACACAAATTTACTTGAGTTTGCAAAGCAAATATTTCGAAATTTGGCAAAACGTTGACAACCTTTTAGCCCTCACCCAAAAAATGTGCCAACTAACTTGGCTGTAAATTACTTTAAGCCAACTGAAGTTTTGCGAAATTAGCCCCCCACCCCGTCATAAATAAAGATCTTGCGACCTCGAAAAGGGGGGGGCGACACATTTCGGTGACCTTAACCTTAGCCTTAATCTTGGGGTTTCTTCTGAAAGGAAATCCAGAGGAGAAGAATCCAGAGAAGCTATACATACAGGCTATAAAAAACCAGTTGCCAGAGAACCTTACAAGTGGCTCGCGCTCGAGTAGCGATCTTGGCCTGAACGAGTTGGCCGGACAGATGGAAATTGTTGTAAAAATATGGGTCGTGCGACAAGAAATGAGAAAGTGCCAGTGAGCCAGGCAGCCAGGCAGCCAGTCAGCTAGTCAGACCGTTAGAATCGACTTTATGAATGCAAGTCTTTGGGCTTGGCCAACACAAATCGAAGAACCACTAATGGCAGCGGGTTTTCGACGTGTCTCCAGCTCTAGCAGCCATCTCCTTGGCCAACTTGGTTGGTGGGCCACCATTCGAACGGCTAGCGGGTAGCGTGCGAAAATGGAACGATGCCGGAAAATAGCCTCAGAGAATGTGGCCTGCTGTTGTGGGAATGTTGAGAAGAATCGGGAAGAAAGACAGGGAGATCTCTAGAGAAAGATCTGGAGATGGAGTTAGAGAGTTTTTTTGATTTAAGAAAGAAATAAAAAATGAGTAAAGCTCTTACTTAGGAGTTTAGGAAATGATTTAGATTTCTGGTTTAAATTTTCATAAACCTAACATTGCCTGGTTAGCTCTATTTGGCCAGCATCATTAGCTGAGTTATTGGAGTCCATTAATTTGGCTCTTTCGCTTTTGCTGCTTGCAAGTTCGATGCTGTCAACGAGGCAAGGTCACCGTTCGGTTAAGGAAACGACTACCGACTATGAGAACTCTTGAGATTTCGTAGATAAATAGGAGAGACTCGGCTGAAAGGTGACCTAGGCCAGTGGAAAACCCGATTAGAGTGGGAAATAAGAAAGATATAAGCTAAGATATATGATTTGAGCCAAACTCACAGCCCGTCCTCTAATCCATTTCCAGTGATCTCTCTTCGGGATCAGGATGTCGGCTGCCACGCACATGGCAATGCCGGCTCATGCCGTCGTCCCGCCGCCCGGAACACCGCCCGTCTTAGGGGGTAGTGGTTGCTCCAGCCTGAGTCTGCCGGCGGGTAAGCGTGGCCACAAGCGTAGCGTTTCGCTGGAGAACAATGCCCCGCTGACCCTGCGCAGCACACCCAGTTTGGGACAATCCTCGTTGGGTTCACCACTACTACAGTTTGGCCATGGTCAGGGACAAGGCCATGCGCAGGCCTTCCACACGGGCACTTTGAAGTCGCGCCAGGAGCAGCGCCGGCTGAGCCAGAAGTTCGGGAGTCACAGCAATCTGGACGACGAGGGTGTGGGCATTGGCGTGGGCGTGGGCCTCCAGATGCGCAGCAAGTTCCAGAATATTCGTCAAATGTTCGAGCTGAGCCGCAGCTGCGTGGGCGGAGGCGGTGGCGGTGGCGATGGTAGAGGGGGTGCGGCCGAGGAGGAGGCAATGCAATCTCTGCCAGCAACATTGCCACAGCAACAGCAGCAGCAGCAGCAGCAACATCATCATCAGCAACCGCAGCAGCAGCAGCAGAGGCGGACCACGCCCATCACCGGCGGAAGTCGCCAGCAACAGCAACAGCATTTGGGCGAGGCGGAACAGGTGAGGCTCACACTTTACACTAAGAAAAAATCGTATTTAAAATGACTTTTTGGTTTCCAGACCAGCGGCAACTTTCTGCGGCCAATTGCCTTTAAGCCCATTCCGTTTGAGCCGGACTACCGCATCGCCTGCCAGCAGCAGCAGCAGCATCAGCAGCAATTGCAGTTGCAACACCAACAGCAGCAGCAGCAGCAGCAGCAACAGCAGCAACAGATGCAGCTGCAGCAGCAGCAACTGCAACAACAACAACAGCAACTGCAACATCAGGGGCTGCAGCTGCCGGCGGTGGAGGGTGGACCAGCGGTTAGCGGCGGGGCAGAGAGATATGGCTATGGATCGACGCCGTCACTTGCCCCACTGCCCACCGCATCGGCCCAGAAGTTTGGCAGTGAGTAGCAGTTAACATTCCACTCCATCTAGATTAGTTAGTCACTTGACATTGGGGGCATTCCTAGGCGATAAATTATAAATTATCTGCGACGTTAAGTGGGCGAGATTGGGTTAGTTCTTTTAACTATTTTTAAAGTTTACTTAATCGGGGTTAATATATATTAAATTAGTGAGGAAAGTTGAAGAAATCTTAGCTAAAATACTTTCCTAACTTTCAAGGCACCACCGATCTGCGACACCTGGCTGCTCGGCGCCGTAATCATCGTCTGCTGCAGCGCTCCAGCAATGAAGATGCCCTCACCCTTGACCTCTTGAGTACAGGAAGCCATGATAGACCCGATGGAGCCAGCAGGTTAGTCCGAACTGCTTCGAATCCCTTCAAGAAATAACCAAAGTTAAACCACAGCAAGAGCAGCGGCACTGTGGTGGGCAGCAGTGACCTAACGCCCTCACCCTCCGACTCTGGGATCTCGGAACTGGAGGCGGCACTCAAGGATCGGGACTCGGAACTCTCGTACCTGCGACAGGCCATGGAGCACAATGAGAAAGTAATTTTCCAAGTACAAAAGGTTAAGCAGGCAGTCGCCCGCCCATTTTGGCCATCTTTTTTGTAATGCCTTCTAAATCTTTATATATATTTTATATATCCTTTTTCCGATCAGGATAAGGAGGTGTATTGGGAGCATGAGAACCAGCGGCTGAGACTCTTCTACGAGGGCCAACAGCGGGAATGTCAGCTGAAGTTGCGCAAAATGGAGCAGCTCCTTGGCCTGCAGCAGTTCCAGCTGAAGCAGCACAAGCTGCGCCAGTCGGAGCAGGTGAATCGCCTGCAGCAGCAGCTCGATTTGGCCAGAGACTCCAGCCAGGGACTTCAGCAGCAGGTGGATGCATTGCGTCATCAGCTGGAGGATAGCGAGTGGCGGGTCTGCGAGCGCAACGGGGAGATAGCTTTACTCAAGACGCAGCTCAAGGAGGCGCATGTATGGTCATGGTTCTTGGATATCTATCTAGCTATGTACCTAATGGAATCTCTATCTTTTAGCTGGAAATCAACATGAAGGATCATGCGATTGTCAGCCTGAAGCACAGCAGCAACAGGAGCAGCAGCAACAGCAACAGGAGCAGCAACAGCAGCAGCAAGTCCTGCGACACAACCACAAGCCAAAGTCAACCAAAGCAGCAGGCGATGGAGGAGCAGCAGCAACAGGAATTGCAGCAGCAACAGCAACAGCAGCAACTCAATCATCAGCAACAGCAACAGCAACACAAGCAACCACTCCAACCTGACCAGCAGCAGCTGCAGAAGATCATAACCCTGAAGGATCAGGTGATCGGAGCCCTGACCAGCGAGCTGGCCAAGTTACGCAAAGAGCTCTCCGACTTGGCCATTGCCCATGAGTACGGCGAAGAGCCATGTGGCCGGTATACCCGCCTCAAGCAGCAGTTGGACAACCTGAACGAGATCTGCCAGAAGACCAGAAAGTACACAAGCACTTCCACATCTCCGCCAGCAGCAGCAGTAGCAGTAGCAGCACCTCCTCCACCACCTCCAGTAGCATGTCCCCAGGAGCTGCCGCTGCCCAAGTTGGATGTTCTGGTGCAGAGATTGCAACTGGATCAGGGACAGGCTCCGCAGCAAACGCTGGACACGCTCATTGAAGAGTCCACCACATATGCTGAGGATATAGCCAAGCTTCGGCAGAAACTGGATGACTTCCGCTTGAATCTGGAGCTGGAGAAGCGTCAATGGAGCGCCGAGAAGGACAAGGTCCTGGGCTATCAGAAGCAACTGCAGGCCCACTACATTCACATGTACCAGAAGCTGCGCTGCCTGGACAGTAGCCAAGGTTCGGGTATGGGGGCTGGAGCAGCTTCTGCCCAACTGGAGGCCACCAATGGCAATTGAAGGGAGTTCTCTTTGGGGAAAATACAGGCAATGGTGCTATCGCCGCTGGGGCATTAAACTAAGAAACTAAAAACAGTCTTTAAATTGCAAGTTTTGGTTTTAAATTTTCACAGCAACAGGTGTTTTTCAAAATAATAGTACTTAAAAGATGTTTTTTCTAAAAGTAATTAGTTAAACTAAATGAAAATATTATACTCTTAAGTATTTATGTTGGCGCTGCTTGTTTTTCTATTTAAAAACTTGAATTTTGAATCTGTTAAAATCAAAAATGTCTTTTAAGACGTAAAGAAAAAGAACTCTGCTTAACTTTTAGTTTTTCAGCTTTTTAAACTCATTTTAAAGGCTATTATTTTGAAAGCAGCTGTTGGGAAATTCTATTCTCTACTAAACCATAATTTTACAAATATTATTTCCTAGGCAAATATGGCAAAAGTGTGCTTAAACTATAAAAGATTCTGCCTAAAAGTTAGTTGACATTTTTATACAGTCAAAAGGAAAAGAACTAAGATTATTTTCAGAATTTCCATAAAGGGAAACGCTACCTAACTTTCGTAAGCCTTACACTCTGATAAACACTCTGATAGTCCATAAGCCAACTTCTGGTCTTTAAGTCCTCAACTCTTGACTTTACTTTCTCTCTCTCTCTCTATAAAACCTTAAACTTTAGGTCTTACCAACAAATTTCCTACCAAGACCAGTGAGTTGAGACACTTTCCCCTCCTCGGCGATAAATAATACACGATTTTCGATATTACTAGAGTTGATATATGGAAAACTCTTTTCAATATTTATACAAAATACATTCGTAATTGATTTTTTTGTTTTTAATATTTTACAAATATACGATATATATGTCTATATATATGTATACTTTTAATTTATTAAATGTAATTATAAACGAGAAAAAAAAAACATTTGTGATTTCGCATGTTGAATATAATAATATATATATATATATATTGATATACTCGTATGTCGTTCCATTATGTATATGCAAAATAAAAAAAATTATAATAATGAAATAACAAAGATTGCAATTTATTGATGAGGACCAGCGCTAAGGTTAATAATGTGCAGGATCAATAAATGTTAAATGACTCAACTGGAAGCTAATCGTAAACTATAATTGGTAGTTAAAAAATTAAAATATTTAAAAAAAAATCATATTTAATACAATCGTTACGCGTAGATTACATAGTATGCTTAATGCTTAAGGCAAATGCCTGTCCTGGGATCTCAGCATTTTGTCAAGAACAGGTTAACTAACTTCGTAACACTAACTAAGGCAGAACGATTTGCTTGAAACGAAATTAAAAGGGGCTTAAAGCAATCTTGGAAAGGAAATCAGATTATAACTTATTAAATTATTAATTAAATATGAAACTATTGCAAAACATTTTAAAACCAAACTAAGGAAAATCAAGAAATATTTACTCAAAAGAAAATTGTCAATATTTTCAATATTGAAACTTCATTTTTTCTGCTTTCGTTTGAACAACTTTTTGATCTTAAATTTCCTTGAAAAAAACTTAACTCTTTTCCCTGGCTAAAGAAGTTCATTAAAATGTAATCAAAAAACAAATTATTTTCATTTTTAACAAAAAGAAAATGTCTTAACAAAAATGAAGCATCTGTTTTCTCGATTTTGTTCGTTTTCAGTGAGATTAAAGTTGCTAATTCTAAATGTTTTCTATAATTTGATTTTCAAGTGTATAAAAAAAGTTAAGTTTAGTAGAAAATTAATGAAATTTTAAATAATTTGCTTGGCAGTTTAAAATTTACAATTTACAAAATGATTTTATGTTACTTTTTGAGACTTTTTGAAGAAAAATATTGAAGTAATTTTTAAAGTTTTAAGTTTTTTGTACATTAAGCTTATGCTGAAAATATTTCTGCTTCTTGGAAAAACATAAAGAATTCAACTTTTTCATATTAAGTTTATCTTCTTTCTATCAGTAAAAAGAAAACTCATAACTTTTCTCACCTTTTTAGATGTTAAATTTGAATTTAAGTGTAAATAATTCCTAACTTTCTTTAGTTTGAAAAATAACAAAATGACTTTTTCTTTCTTGACTTTTCTCGTTAATTTTTAAGAATATATTAAGGTAGACTTTCGAAAATATTGACAGTTTCAAAACCAAGTTTAAGCCTTGGAATCTCTTCCGCTTGACTTTCTCCTTCTTACAATTTCTTTCAAACAAATCGCTCCTCCCACACACACTCACTCTTATCCTTGTTTTTTTGGCAGTCGCACACACACTTTCACTCGCACTTATATAGCTATGGAGGGATCCTGGGAGGAAGCAATTTAGGCACACTCCTCCACATAGGTGGCCGGGAAGATGCCGATGTGATTGCGCAGGGCGCCCAGCCACCAGCCGTCATCCTGCTTGGCATGCACCTCGATGATGTCGCCGGGACTCAGTTCCAGCTCGTCGTAGAGCTTCGGGGTGTAGCTATATAGGGCCTTGCAGCGTCCCAATATCGGACCGGATTCGTCCTTTTGGTTCTTCTGCAGATCCTGCGCATTCTGATAGTAATGCTGCGTCTGCATTTGGGCATTGATGGCTGGATTTTGCTGATGCTGTTGGTGCTGCTGCTGGGGCTTCTCTGGCTCATCATCTTCGTCCTGCGAGCTGAACTCATCGAAATCAGAGTCCTGCTGATTGGATCCACCATCCGCCTGGCCGCGATCACTATGATGATGATTATGATGATTATGATTATGACCATCCTGTAGATTGGCCAAAGTTTTGGACTTAACGGCCGCGGCCACCGAGGCATTCGTTGTCGAGATTATCTTTGGTTGGCTGGTGAAATTGGTCTCGATGTTGCTCTTGCTCCGATTGAACTGCTTCACCACCGAACTGATGTCCGTGCAGGAGCCGTTGCTATTGTTATTGCTGTTGCTGCTGCTGTGCAGGTGGGAGCAGTTCTCCTCCGGCAGATCATCGTCGTGGTTATTGGTTATATCGGTGACATCGTGAGCCAGCATACTCGTAGATTGCTGGGTCTGTGACTTGTCGTTGTTCTTCAGCCAGTTGGGCACCTTCAGGATGCTCTGCTGCAATCCAGTGCGGTCACGGGTTATCTATGGGAGTCAAAAAATGGACGTTGAATTGGAGTTAAGTTTATAAAATGTATCACAGAACCTACCTGAATATGCTGGGCCAGTGGGTGATTGGTCCTGGGCTTGTGGTCCAGCTCCAAAAGGGCAGAGTGCAGCTTGAGGCGGGCGCCCTCCAAATAGGTCAACATAGAGCGGATCTACAAGGAATCTCATGTAAGATTATGAACTTAAAAGGTCAAAAAATAAACGGAAACCCACGTGATACAGTTTATCGGTAATGTTCTGATGCTCCTGGTGGTTGAGCGACTGTGACAGGCCCCTCAGTCCATCGCGGGATCGACGTTCCCGCTCCAGATCCGTCTTGACCAGCTGGAGCAGCTTAATGAGGGCGTGCTTGCGACGTTCCCTGTTCATGGCCAGCGTGGTGTGTTCGCAGTAAAAGTCCGGCAGCAACTGCTCACTGGGTCCTTCCGAATTACGGCGAATATGACGCACCACCTGCATATCCTTGGCCACATTGCAGGCCTCCAGTTGGGGCTGCAGGCGAGTGCTCAGACCGCCAAGGATCGGATTCATATCTGAGATGAGACGAGCATATTGCTGGGCAAAGTTGTGCATATTGCCCAGTCGCTGCTGTTCGCTGCTTTGCAGCTGGGCACTTCCCCGGAGCACGGCCATCTCCCAATCGACACGGGCTCGCTCCGCCCGTACGCACAGGGTATAGTATTCGACATCCGCCCGCTTCACTGCCTCCTCGGCTTTCTTGCGTTTGTTGTCCAACTTCACGCAATCCTTCTCCGCCGACTTAAGCTCTTTTTCGGCCGCCTGCTTATTGGGTCCCTGGTGGAGCAGGGCAATGGATGGTGACTTTTGGATACGCACGTCCAGCATTGCGTCCTGCAGCTTCTCATTTTCGCGGGCTGCCGTGTGGGAGGCCTTCTTAGCCTTCGCCTCGCTGGCACGCCATTCGCCCAAGACTCGCGCTGCCTTGTCCACGTTGCTTTCCACCTGAGGATTGGATATTCCTTATTGTTATATAATCAAAGGTATTTCACAGTCACTTACCGCCTTGCGGGCTTTGTGATGACCCTCGACAACGGTCTTAAGTGGCTTGACCAGCTCATCCGTCAGCGAGGCCGCCAACTGGCGATGGATATCGCTGCGGCTCTCCATCTCCGTAGCCACTCCACGCCAGGCATCGGCCACGCTTCCGGGTATTTCCCTGCCAGCTTTGTTCAACTTGTTGGCCAGCTTCGAGAGCGACTTGGAGTAGATCAGCTCCGAGTCGGCCCTTCATAGAAAAAATAAAATAAGTACAATAAAGGGAAAATCTATCGCAGTCAACTCACCTTTCCTGCAGGACGAATATGAGCTCCTTGCTGAAGTCGCCACCCTGCTTCACATATCGTCGGAGTTCCTCGAAGCCGTTCTGTCCCTGTTTTGGATACCAAAAAATATTATTAGTATTGAACTTACACCATAGATGGACCCAATCCCCTTTGGAGCTACCCCAGACCAACAACAAGCCTTGTACCTCATCCTTGAACCGCTTGGCATGCGGCGACAGATCATCCTCGCTGTTCCGGTGCGACATGGACGACTCCATTTCGGTGCGTTCGGTGACATCCTCGCAACTCTCGGTCATGTCGCGGCGACTCCGATCCGGTGACATCGATTGGCGACTGGCATCCGCAGTGGACTGATTAAGATTGCTCCTGGATTGAGCCAGACGCTTTAGAGGCGTCTGCTGACGCACAGCTTCCTTGATCTTGGTGCCCTCCTCGCCCAGCCAATGTTTCATGCCGTGCCAGCCCTTCCTTAGCTTCTCCTTGTTGTGATTGAAATTGATCAGCGATTGGTTCTTGTTCTTCAGCAGAGTGATCCTGCGCTCACTGGGTCTCAATTGATCACGATGGGTGCAGTACTCCAGATCGATTTCCTTGCCAAAGTCCTCCGTCTCATTGATCTGCCGCGACAGCTCCTGCAGTTCATCAATGGACACAAACAGATTCTGGGCATTCAGACTCTGGTAACTGACCGACTTAAGATCAAAGTCGAATTCACCATTGCTGCTGCAGGCCAAACTCTGATGGGAACTCTGGTTGGAACTCTGGTGGGATCGGGTGATCAACTGGAAGGAATCAAGGCTCTTGAAATGTGGCTGCTGGGCCAAGAAGCCACCATTTGGTATCGGTGATCGTTCTGCCGAGGGCTTGACCACCATTGGTTGATTCTCCTTATTATCACTGGCTGCCAAGCTCAGTTCGCTGGCACCATAGAGTTCCGGCAATTCCGGCATATTCAAGTCCAATCCCAGTTTGGCCGGCGCCGTGACATTCATGTCCAGAACCATCGAGTTGGATTTGTGCAGGTAGACCTTCAGTTCGCTGCGATGTAGATTCTGGACAGATTGCGATTGCATCTGCTGGCGGCCAATACGTGGTCGTCTCATTGGCGGTTCTATGGCAGTGGGTATTGGAGTTTTGGGTCGTTTCACCTCCTGGGGAACCGCCGCTTTAAGTTCCTCCTCCACTTGATGCTTGGGAGTCTCAAACTGCTCCGGCTCCTCCAAATCTTCTACATCTTTCTTCTTCTCCTCCTCATGTTTTGGTTCCCTGGGCACTTCAACCTGCTGATTTATATGATTTTTTGTAATCTGCAGATTTTCATCCCTTTCCATATCCTGCGGACTGCTCCTGGCGTCCACAAACTCATCCTCATCCGAACTCCTGGGCGTTAGGGTTCTCACAATACTGGAGGTTTGGGCTATGCCGCCGCCTATTTGCTTAAGTCTCGCCTCTGTGACATCGAAACGATCCGTATCCAGAGTGGTGGTGGATATTAAGACCGGTGCACCGATCTCCAGGCGATGGTCATCCGAATGACTACCCGTCATATTATAGCTACCGGTATGGAGTTTACTTGGCGACACTGAATTATCACTGGCATTACTCGATGGATTTAGATTAACACTACCGAGATGACGACGTCCAAGCTTATTACCCAGCACCGAGTAACGCTTGATTCTGCCCAGAAATCCTTTGGCTCCTCCATTGTTATTATTATTTCCAACATTATTGTTATTATTGGTATTATCCGCTTGTGGTAAATCGGCCATGGCGGCATTATCTTTGCCGCCCAGCTTGAATTTGTGCACCCGCAGGTGGTTCATCGTTGACGGCTGTTCGATTTATGACACACAAAACATTACAAAAATTCCAATTCCTAAACTTGCACTCTCGTTCGCGTTTGCGTGTGTGTGTTTGTGTGAGTGAGTGCGTTTGTTTGTGTAAATGGGATAGTGGGGAATATGCCTACGGCAACAACAACTGCAGCAGGGCGAAAGGAAATGTGAAAAGGGGAAGAGCAAACTGTACCGCTTCTAGGTGAAAAGAGAACCCCAAAATGAGACTGAGATTCGACTTCGAAGTGACGCTTATCGATGGAAAAGTTTTTGTTCAAATGTTTTTAAAGTAATTAATTTTACGCATAGTTTGTAGTTAAACTAAACACTAAACACTACGATAAATCCTCCTTTGCCGAAGACACACAAGTAACTGAAGCGATGAATGAAATACTATTAACTTTCTTATTTAGTTCACATGAAAATTGGAAACCATGGCCTAAGGCAACCTAAATTCCACTGGAAACCCATTCCTCATAAATGGTTAATCCGGAATAGGTAAACGTTATGCCCGTAATACCCTGTAGTAAGTAACTTAAGCAGGCGATGTTCACCTACATAAAGCACACAGATAACATAAACACAGCGAGCACCCAGGAGAAGAAGGAGGAGGAGGAGAAGGAAGAGTTACAAAGGAAGGGGTAAGTGACTCAAGAAAGGTGCGAAGAATCGGCTAAGAAAAAGGGAAAGATAAGGGGAGCAGGTCTATTCCTTTTTCACCTTCTTGTGACCCTTAGCCCTTTCTCTCCACCTCTTTTTTGCTTCTAATTCCCCTCTTCATCCCCCTTCCCTATTATTTCTCCCTAAAGTTCCCTTCCTCTTTGCTCCAGTTTTCGATGCAGGTAAAGATTACAAAACGGTTGTGGAATGAAGGGAAGGGCGAAACGCTTGCGAAGGGAGAAATGAAAAAAGGGGAGCAGCAGTGGTTGCTGGAAGAAGAAGTGAGAGGAGAAGAAGAAACGGACGCACAAATCGCTGCGTTGGCCACTGGAAAAAGTGGAATAACAAAACAAAAGACTGCAATGTCGCCGCCCGTGGCGCCCCCTTCGACTTCGACGCCGGCAGCGACGTCGGCCTGTCTCCTTTTCTGTTTTGTGTCTGGCCGATCAAGTGTGGCCCCCACAGTAGCATTCATATTAATAGCAGTCACTCAACAAATATATTCCCTTACTTTACTTATACTTTTCAAATCTTAACTAAAAACAATCTTAAAGTCATTAAAACCGATTTCAACTTTCAACATTTCTAATTTCTGATAATCCAGTGTAAAAACCATTAGCACTATTTTTCTAACCTGTATTATTGGATTTTTATGATCTATCCGTTCCGCTGCTGTTCGTCGGCTTCTTCTTCTTCTCTATGCCCAGTAATTTCGTGTTGGTAATTATATAAATCATTTATTTATGAACTATTTACTTTCGAGTTAAGCCCGATAATGGTTATTCTCAACGATTTCTCTCCCTCGCCGCCTCCCTTTTCTAATTTCGTTTGCTTCGCTTGAATGAAATGCAAATTGTTTCTATTTTTCCCTGGGCAAATTGTGTTTTCTAATTACAAATACATATGTATGCATGTATGCATGTATGTGTAACGCGAGTTAACTCCTATTTCTGTTTTGGCATTCGCATCCCAAAGTGGAACAGTTAGTGGAGAAGAACTAAAGAGAGGACGAACAGCAGGAGGAGGAGGAGTGCAAAGAACTGAGGACAAGCGGCGATCATTAAGCTCCAGTTGCTCTAACAATGCTGTGATGTAAGGTTCGTGCTAAGTTGATTCTCGACAGTGGAAGTTTTTTAACTGTGTAAATGTGTTAATATATATATGCTGACTAAAAAAAGGTATTTAAGTGACCGGAGTAAACGGGTATGTGCATAATTTACAACTTTATAATTGAACCCTTTGATAAAAGTTCAACTTTTATAAAATAACAATTTTCCAAGTGGTGAAGTTGAGTTTATAGTTAAAGTTTGTTACTTTAAAAGCCCAAAGAAGCTTCACAACTTAACAAATGAAATCATAAAACTCATTATCCATCTGGGGTTAAAGTTCCCACCCTCAATGCTAATTGAAGAGTGCAGCATCTAGTTATATTACCAAGTACTCACTGTACTTGTATTTATGTAGATATCTGGGTTGCCTTTGTTACACTTTTCGCGATTCAAATGACCGACGTGCGAAACCGTAGTAAGTAAAACAATTTAATTACATTTTGCACTTGTTTGTTGCTGCGGCTAATAGCATTTGCATCGAAGAAGAAGAATAGGCAGAGCAGCCAAAGGGAGATGCAAAAAGAAAAGAAGCAAACCCGAGGCTTAATAAGCAGCAGCAGAGGGAGCGTGAGGGGTTAATCGCTCCGTCTGCGATATGTCACGTTTCGCGAAGTCAGGTGGAGTGCAATAAAGTGGAGTGTGTGACAAGTCAAAAGACAATTCAACTAATGAGCGAGCTTAGCTGAATAGCCGCACAAGCAGTTGAAGAAGCAGTGGGCAAGCAGTGCTACAATCGTCTGATATATTAGGCCTGAAGAAATATGTATTTTAAGGGGTACTAACGGACAGTTTGGATTAATTTTGGTTATATGTATGTATATATGTATTTTAAGGGGTACTAACGGACAGTTTGGATTAATTTTGGTTAAGTAAAAGAACTTTACAATAGGTAAATGATTTTTCTATGATTTTCAAGTTTTTCTGGCCATTAATTCTACTCTGAAAAACTAAAGTTAAGATCTTTTTAATCTTATCAAAAGTGATTAAGCTTTTTCACTTTAAAAGAAAGGAATCTTTATTTGCAAAGATGAAGTCATCTAGTTAGATATTTCCTAGTTCTTTCAGAATATGAGATATAGTTAGTTCTAGTCTAATCTCATAATGAAAATCTCAACTTGAACACATTTTTGCCAAGTGCAAGGGGTGGAGTATCAAAAAGAGGTGAGGCAAACTGAGAAAGAACCTGCAATTATGGGAAGCCTTCTGCCAACTTCGCATCGCGCAGGTTTAAAAGTCAAATAACATAAATTATGGCCAGACGGACGGAAGATCATATGGGGGCAAGACCCACGAAGATAAACAGTGAATAAGTCTGCCCGTGGGCCTTTTTGGTCTCTATAAATAGAGTTGCCAACTTCGGCCAATTGCAGCCACCGACAATTGCGAGTCCCTTTGCTGGGGCCCCCCTTCTTTCTTCTTTTATGGCAATTTATGATTAATAAAACGAATTAATCGCACAAAATGCCAGCGAGTGGCCATAATTGGTGGCACCGACTTGGCCAAGGATCGATGGATCACAGTCAAGGTCATGGCAAGGCCATACAGTGAAGAAACTCTCTAAACTCGTGTACCAAATTGTATTTTCCCGATCTCTTAAAGAGTTTCCTTTCGTTCATTGTCTATTTTCACTTCCGAACTGTGGCTTTTCTTCAAGGTTTAACGACAATCGACTGATTTATAGTTCAGCTAAGCTACGGTTTTTATATCGATTAGAGGCACTGTGAGAAATTAGTAGGGGAAAGTCTGGTATATAGCCTGGAAAATACTTTAATTAATTAATTTTTCTGAAATTTTAATCAAGCTAAATGTTGACTTAAAGTTAAAAGCAAAGACCGCATGCATTTTGACCCTTGTAAGTGAATAGTTTCCTAATCTAAATCCATGTTCTAGATTTAACACATTTTTTCTCAGTGATCTATATATATTACCCACTGAAAATTCGATATCTGCACCTTCCATTGCCTGGCACTAAACAACGTCTGTCGTGGCATTGTATATAGAAACAGATTCCCATAAACAAAAAGTGGGAAAGTCTCGCCAACACCTGGATATAGTAAACCATTCATGGGATACGCTTTTCCATTAAAAAATCGGGCAAAGATACCTTGAATCAAACTGATCCTGCACTGTCTGTATACAGATATACAGATATAGGTATATAGTGTGGTTTTTCAAGGGGGGAGAAAAGAGATTTCGCGTTGTTATGCGACTATTTACTTGGCATTAATCTCATTCCAGCAGTAGTTTATGGTCCGCATTTATCTCATTTAATGTCTAGAACAATAAACAAAGCGCCAAAGCTTGTTGTTGCCAAAAAAAGAGAGTTGAGAAAACGAAAAGATTTTCCTGCCCTTTACACTTTGCCTTGCCGTTAGTATACGATCGGTTGATCTTTCGATCTTTCTGCGCCAGCCAAAAATAGAGAATGAAAATGAGGTAGAGCCAAGAGCCAAAAGTAAAGAGCTTATAGACAGTGTCTGAATGTCGACGCTTTCTGTTTCACTTAGGCAAATATTTTCACAACTTATCGCAAGATGTTGCGCCAAATGGGCAAGGTCTGAGACCCGAATGCAAAAATAATACTCTTAATGAGGCATTCAAGGGGCCTCTGTTTGCCTTTCCCCGCATTTCTCGAATGCCATTCAAATGGTTAAATGGTCTTTAATCGGATACGATAGCAGATAATATGATCTGATCTGATTTAACCACCTGACTCGGATAGGTCACGTTCGTTGAGGTGTCAAGACGAGTCAAGAGATAGATACAGGTGCAGCGTTATCTGCTAGATACAACGGATTACAATGAACGATAAGGAAGTTGGCGAAAATTTCTTTATCATTTGGGCTCTGTTTGAGGAGAAACTTCTATGTACTCGCCAAGTGGGAGCAGGAGATTATATAAACGTACTCGGAATTGAGCAATTTCTCATTTCCTAGGAAAGTTTATCTATGTCTCACGTGTCTAGAAGAAATATAATGAGATTTTAAGATACAATATGATATTATTGAAAATCAAAGTCTCAAAGGTCACATTTTCTAGGCTGTTTTCTTTATAGAAAGAACAAAAATGAAGAATTGTGTTTTAAAGATATCTTCTATAAAGACAGCCTTAATTTTTAATAGAGATCACTTAACTTTTAACCAATTTCAACGTTACTTAACTTGATTTTAAAGAAAACTCATCATTAACTTAATTGAAAAACCTCGTTTAACTCCAAGAAGTTCTTCTTCATGTGATTCTGTCCCTTAGGCTGCTGCATTCGGTTCATGTGGGTGTCAGGGGTTAACACAATTAACCCGTTTCGCGTTGCCGCCTCAATCAATTTTTCTTAAATGTCATTGACATGACGAGCAAGGCAGCAAGACAGCCAAGTAGCATGCAACACGCTGCAGCAGCAGGCAGCAAGTGGCTGAGACGTTTTCTGAAGAGCTTTTATTTAGTATTAGTTTTTATTTTTTGTATTTATTTTTTTCGCCTCAATTCTTCTGCCGAATGCCGTTAGGCCCAGGGTGTGTGTGTTGGCCATCTCCCTTGCTCTTTAGCTTTGAGTGGCTGTCAATCTTGTTAGAAATGCGTTTGTTCTTTGTGAAAAGGGCAAGACGAGTAGAGGGGGGGTAGAATAGAAGAAGGGCCACGAAGACTGAAGACTAGGCTAGGAAGAAGACCCAGAAGAAGCAGCCGAAGAAGCGGCTGCATTTTATTTTTATTCGACATTCGGTCATTTTGGGCTTATGCTTTGTTTTTCGTCATTGTGTTTGTCTTTGGATTCCGTTGAATGTGGCGGCCTGTGCCTAATTAACTATCGAATTACAGTCAAGCTTCGATGGGGTTGAATATGTGTTACATGAAAATATCTTAGAAATATAAATATTAACAGAAACTTTAAGTTCCTTCAAAAATGTTGAAAGATACATTTTCCTCTTTAGGTTTGAATGTCTTTCAACCAATAACTTGCTACTTATTCTTATAAATATTTAAATAGGTGAGAGTTCACGCTATTGAGGCTCTACTATTGATCTTTTGATCGACTCTTAACGGTTAATCGTTATTCAAGAATAGAGTTATGCCAAAAGGCCCCTTCAACAATTGCTGGGCCATAAATAATTATGCTAATCGCCGAGTAGACCAACAAGAACCTGCCATCAAAAGCGAACATTCATGTAAAGATCACATAATATCTATAAATACGTACATATATATTCGCCAGATATCAGCCAGATATATAGACAAATATATATATGTATGTATTTACGGATGCGTAGACATGGTCTATGGTCTTTGGTTTTTGGTTTTTGGTTTTTATTGTGTTCTATTTGGGAATTGTACAAAAATAATTGGCACATTTTCAAGATGTTTAGACATTTTCGGGGTTTTTGGCCATTTGGCTTAGTGTGTGTGGCGATGGAAAATGTTCATTGCAGTTGCTTTTGCCAAGGAAAATTCACCAATTTATTGCAGCTTTATTTTTTGGCGTATCTGACAGATGCGCTCGTCATTTGTCACGCTGCAAACTTGAGCTCATTTTGGAGGCGGCAACAAGGTCGGCAGATAGTGAAAATTAAAAAAAAACACTATTTGATTTGCCATTAGAAAAGAAGTGCAAATCACAAGATGCAGTTGTAACGAAAGCACTGAGAAAAATGAGTTTGATTTTGAGTTAAAAAGTTATCTTAATGATTTATCAGCAAAATAATGTTGATATTCTAAGTTATATATCCAAACCTAGCTATATCTCAAAGTAGAAACATCTTTCTTTCTGCTGGGCTGCAGCAGTTCGTTGCAGGGGGCAGTGACTGTAGCGGTTTCTTCAAAAAAATTACAACTTCTTTATCTAAATGTTCTCGGGGGATTGGGGAAGTCACAAGAAAACAATTCTCATTCGATTTCAAATCAAATCAATCAAAAAAACACAGAAACCCTAATTCACTGCATTAAATTTTGTGCTGTTGTTGTTGTTGTTGTTATTATTGTTTCTTCGCACGTTTCGCACTCTCGCACACACACACACGCACACTGAAAAAAAAACAATTAGCTAATTTGCCTTGCGGTTATGCAAACATCAATATACATATATATATAGTCGAGTATGGATGTATGTGTATACAGGCTAGTGCAAAAATTTACCGAAAATAAATAAAACTGTAATTATTGCAGGCTAGCTAGCTATATTGTTATTATTATTTGTCGACAACGGCAGCGGCGACATTTACAGAAACTCGCGACGTCGGCGTCGGCGACTAAATTTAGAACAGCGACGAGAGAGCGACGTCGACGAGGCGACGTCAACAACGCGCGGCAGCAGACTGAGACTCTGCCCGGCGGAGCCTCAGCCAGAACGTAGCGACAGCGGGCAGAGAGTTGCAGGCAGAGGCAGCGCAGCAGCAGCAGCAGACAGTGGGAGAGAGCAAAGTGCTCATGAGAGGCGCTGGCGCAAGCATGTGATAGGGGGCCAGCATTAGCTAGCTGCGCCGACGCAGGAGGGCTGCTGCGCTGTTGCAGCGCTGTCGCTGTCTGGATGCTGCACCTGTTCTCAGTCGCTTGACTCCTCTAGCTCCCTCTTGATCGCTCCTGCTGCGCTGTTATTGTTTTTGCATTTGTTATTGTTGTTGACATCGCGTAGGCCAAATATTTGAATGGATGATGGTGAAGAAGAAGAAGAAGAAGGAGCAGAAAGACGAATCTACTGCGCCGACGCGCCGTCTTGCGACTTACGGTACACGAAAAACCAGCGCAGCCGTCGCGTCATCATCCGCGCAGCATGCAAAGCGGTACTCGCTGATTGGACCGCCAATGTACCGTTGCACAGTGGGCCTCGATCGACGCGGGGCATGATTAATTAATTAAGCGATTAATTGCTAAGTGGCAAAAATTAGCGAGACAGCCAGGCAGTTAAAACAGGCCATCAGCAAGTGGCGAATTAAGTAGGCCTGCAGTTAATTAGTAAAAGGTATTTATCATCTATGAAAGTTCTTCAATAATCCGTGGAGATTTCACTTTTTTTTTTGGGAATGCTGCAGATAATGAGAGAGATGAACTCCTGATTTGGGGTATTAAAGTAAGGTCTTGGTTGGCTTTTATAAGGTTTTTGCCATTTAATCTTAAGTAAGAACAGTAAGAATAGTTTTTCCTCAGAGAAGTCTTAGAGTTTTCCAGTCTTCATATAGATTTTCCTTGATAAATCGTATTCTTAGATACTTATTCCTTATTTTCCCTTTAAGTTTCTTAGCTTTCCTTAAAGCCATTGCTTTGTTTTTGTAGTTTTTATCCATTTATTACTTTAGTTAATCCCCTTCTAATGTAAATCTGGATTTGATTTCTTTTAGGTCCTCATATCGTACAGCTTAGTCCCACTGTGCTGCATCGGCGACGTCTGCGGAGTGATACAATAAATTTAAGCAGCTAAATGCACGTGCTGAGTGAGGCGACGCCGTTGACAAGTACCGGTATTATGGATCTTCGGATCGTCGGGTTCCGTTCCCGGTTGCATAACCATAACGCTAGGCATGCGCTTGAGATTTATGCAGCTAGAGCAGGTAGGAGAAGTGAGGGGGGGTCCCGATTATAATCGGAATTGGAATCGCTGAAAACCGCTCACATGAACGTTGCACTTGCCGCTTGACCGACATTCGAGTATGAAAAGAAAAACCCGTACTTCGGGTTTCTTCTCTATTTTTGCGGGTTAAGTTTTTCGTATTTGTTTTTGGCGACTGAAAATTTAAATTAACCCATGTTGTGACATTTATGAAGCTTACTTGTCATTGTTGTTGTTGTTGTTGTTGCAGTTGCTGTTGGTCTTGGGTGCTAAGCAAGTTGCAGAAAAAGAAAATACAAACTCAAGCTGGATTACCGTTGCGGTGCTTACCTGCAGGTGAGAGAAATGTAGAACAAAGTTAGTACATAAATTAGTCGTAGGTTAAATTGGACTGTGGTAAGTGAGTGACTGAAGTTAATGGAGTAACCCAACACCGATTCATAATTAATTTTCTTGTAGATTTTAAATTCATCATCAAACACCACAACAACATAAGACGGCAGAAGACGTCTAGCAAGTTTTGTTTGGAAAATGGAAAGCTTTTCAACGTTATTAGCGAGGACCAGCACCTATGGTGAATTTAACTACAGAGCTTAGTCAGGTTTCACACCTGCTTGGGAATCAAGTCGAGAGTTTTTCATGGAAATGGGGTGAGTTTTTTGTTTTAAATTGAATTTTCAATTAGATTTTTATTGATTTAGAGGTTCAAGGGGTTTTATTTTTAATATTTAATAAGTTGTTGGTAAATTTTTGGAAACTTTAAAGTATTTTTAAGCAGCTCAAAAGTAGGCAATGAAAGGTTTTCCTGAAGAGATTTAGGAAAAAAGACAGATTTGGAGATCTCTAGAGATCTAATTAGGGCACTTTCTTGAATTATTGTTAAATATTTTGAATGAAAGTATTTAAACAGAAATTTATGAGGTTGTTATGCTTTATTTTTCCGACTGTATACTCTATTTTTAAGTTACTTTTCCTTAACAAACTTTGCTTTGATTCATGAAAACTTAATTTTTTTTTGATTTTTCAGTAGTCCAAGCTGTCATTCCTTAAGAGTGCTTAAGCTTTTGTTCTACATTCGCTTTATTTGTTTTTGGTACTTGTTAGCTGTTGGCCATATAATTTGTATTTACGAACAACTTGCACTTGGCTGCTAAATGCCGTCGGCCAAACGGGTTTAACAAACGCAATCAATTCACACACCAAAAGGGGGGTTTATGGGGGCGGTACAGTGAAGGGCAGACACGTATTAAATTTAATTTCTCGATTGTCTTGCTAAACAAATGAGAGGTAGAGAGAGAGCATGAGGCTGTAAAACGCTCCAATAGGTTGATGTCACCGATGCGGATCTTAGGATGGGATGCAATGGTACCGAATGCAGATGGAGAACTTTTTGGCGTTCGTTCTGGGTACGAGATCCTCTTACCTGAGCATTACCCATTAGAGCATCGACTTCGGTTCCAGTTTGTGTTTGTTCTAGATGATGAATGGGTATAACCTCATCCACATTGGCATAGATCGGCTGATCTTCGCTAAGACTTTGTCTAAGTTTTATCTTTTCCTGATTCTTCTTCTTGACGGGCTGTCCTTCTTCCAGCTTCTGTTGCTTCTTCAGATGGGCATTCAGATTAATGGCCGACTTCGATTTGGCCTTGGCATAACGTGCCGAGCTGCGTAAACTCTTCAAAACGCCATAGGAACGGGCATTGGCAAGCTTTTCTCCAGCGTTTATGTTAGAGAATATATAAGGGAGATATAGAGATAGAGAAAGAGAAAGAGGGTTGGGGCCAGGGGTTTGGCAAAGCGGAAGAAATAGTTTTTGTTAGTTTTACTGGCTAAGTAAAAGTATAAATAATAATAATAGTGGATAATTACAGTAAAAGGCAGTAAACTAGGAACGGTTTGCGGTTAAAATTAATGGCATTGGCAAATGAAAGTTTAAATATTTAAGAAAAATTATTTGGAAAATTATTTTGTTAAATGAAAAGTCTAAAACTCAAGTTGGCATTACAAATAAGTTTAAGGTTTGTGTTTTAAAATCTTAAAAAAATTAAAAACTATAATAAAATTCAGTCTTTTAATGATCTAACTTTACTTTTTCCTCTGCATGACTTCCTTATTTCGTAATAAAAATGTATAAATATTTCTCCGGAAAATTAGCACATAAACTTATTTAGTAATTAATAAAAAAAAACCTTTAAAAACACCTTTAAAAAACCTAAAAAAAACACTTTAACTCTTAACGAATGTCATTTAACAATTTGAACACTTAAATTTATGTTCCTAGCGCAGCTTTCATTTGTGATTTGCAGTGCCATTAATTGATCGCAACTGTAGGCTGCAATTAGACATGAATAGATGGCCCAACTACCAGGTGAAATGGTGCTGTGGAAGTGAAGGGGGGGTTTGTATTTTTGGGGAGCGGGATAGGTTAGCTTTTGGGCCTGTCCACTGTCCACTTTCTATTAACTACGTGACGGCATGCCCATATACACGACCAAACGAATTGGCCAAAAACCAAAACGAAAACAGCAATAAATGGAAATGCTATGGCTTGGCCAACTTCCGGCAAGAGGAGGGCCAAGACGGGCTAAAAACAAGTGCCAACTTGGAGGATGATTCAAGGCGCGTTAATGCATCAGCCAGTCGGGGGTCTATATATAGTCTCATGACCGAAGTCAATGTCTGTAGATAAAACCATTGAACTAAGCAGCAGTTAATGACAGTAAATAAATAATGCACTGAGGGGAAAAGGTGGGGGAGAGTTTTTTAAGAAGGAAACTAGTCTTTACGATGAGATTTTAAGTCCTATTCATATTATTTTAGTGTGAAAAACTGACTTTTAAGATAAAAGATCTAAGTTTATCAATACTTTAAAAAGGGAAACTTGTTTTCCAGCAAAGAAAGTGATTTTTTAAAAGATATTTTCTTAAAAATCCAAAAATATCTACAAAGAAAGCAACTTTTCAAGGTCAAAACTTGATTTTCTAAAAGTACAACTTTTATTTTTAACATTTTCTACTTCTAAACAATTTCTCTCAGTGCCTATACTGCGCACTTGCGGCTGGCATTGCGTTGCAAGTGTTCAATCTGGCAAACAAATCACCGACAATTGCTACACCGGCATTGCGCATACGCCCCGTGGCCGTAGATAGATGAGTGCCCGGGCACGAAGTGGGCCATATAAGTTGTTAGTTTGAATGAAAAACTGAAAAGAAACAAAGAAACTGAGAACTGAGAACTGAGAACTGAGAACTGAGAAATAAAACCCGATTCTCAACGATTGCCGAAAGAAAGTTCATAGAACGAGTCGAACCAGTCGACTGAGTAGTAGTAGTAACCGCCGTGCTGTAGTTACTAACAATTGACAGTCGGCGGATGGCGGATGGCGGATGGCAATTAAAGCCAAGTTAACACCCTCGAAAAGGCGGCAATCGGCCAAGAGCCCTATACAAAAACCTAAAAAACGGGCTCAATGCGGAACCAAGTTGCCTTTCCCCTCGATTCGAAGCTCTTGGCCAAGCGATCTCATTAAGAACTGGAAATTGGAGTTCTGGCCAAGGTCTTGATGTTGCGAAAAAAAAAAATGCTTAAAAACTGGTAACAGCAGGAGAGTTCTATATTTTGTGGCTCTAGAAAACAGGTTGAGATAGTGTCAGGGAGGAGGACTATAAATAATTTTGGGTGGGTTGAACTTGAACTGGGTTGGGCCATAATGACCGGGTAACTGCAATTAGCCATTAAGTTTGGAATGCAAGGGGGTGGCTAGGGGATGTTTCACAGTTTGCTAAGTGTAATTTATGCATTGGAAAAGCTAAGCAGGCCATTAAAATGCACAGAATGTAGGGGTATGGTAGTAGGTTTTAGGAATTATCTAGAATTTCCTTCTATTAACTGCTTGATTTGGATGCATTTTTCACATTTGTAGTCAAAAAGTGAACTTAAGTTTCCCTTTAAGACATCACAGTAAGCCTTCTTCTTAACAAACTTTGTCTTTACACACTTTTTTATTAACATTTTCACTTTGATTTGCATTTAGAAAGGCAACTAAGTGATGTTCCTGAGTGGAAATACGTAGCAAAAGCTAGTTACCCGAACTCACTGGCCAACCCTCTCGCTGCGTTGCCTTTGTAATTAGCTGAATTCGCATTCGCATTTAGTTACACGCTCCGAAGCCCATTCACAATGCACTTTCAATGGAATGCCAGCGAGTAGTAGCTAGGTGGGATCAGGAAGTGTCCAAAACTGAAGGCGATTAGGCCACGTCCAACTGGCAATTCAGTAACTTGGCTAATGGAACTCTGGCTAAAAAAGGCTAAGGCAAAGGCAAAGGCTTTATCATTTTGCTTAAACAGCAAGTTCAATGATCTAAAAAGAACGCTCAAAGGGCAGTAAAATTGTTATAAAATTACGACAAAGGAAATGCTTTTGGCCCAAACTTGAGTTCTAGGCTGATTTCTGGGTAAGGCGATATCAGTCGGAATGCCTAACAAACTCAATGACCTATTTGGGTTTAGGATTGCAAAGAGTTTTGCTAGGAATTATCACATATTATAGAGTTTATTTTCAAGTTCCAAATAATTGAATTAAAAGCAATTACTATTGTTATGAAATAGCCTTGTTGGCCTGCAGCAATTATCAGGCTATTGTTGGAGAATCTCATTCAGAGTTGCTAATTACCAAAGCCATATATTGATGGACTTAATAGAGGTTGTAGTGCCCCAGATCTGGGCAATGTAGGTGTCGAGATACTCATTGCAGGCAAGTGTAGATCAGTTCTAAGACTATTTCCGAAGTGTGATCAGTTGATAAGTCCACTTGATATCTCGCAACCTTTACTTGACTCATTTTGTTGTTAATTTTGCAAGAAGCTTTCTTTCTGCCCGCTGACTAACTTTGAGTTCTTATCTTTCCTATCAAGACCATCGAACATTTGCCACCTTTGACAAAGACCAAAGGCAATGCTGGGGCTTATATATTTCATTAAGAACCTTGTAGGTCAGTGTTTTCGAGTGACTAATTCTTCGGTTAGTGTTTGCCGAATGACAAATCTTCTTCGAGGCATTTCCATTCAGGCAAATTGTTTATCTAACCGCCATTTGCCGACAACAATTGGTGGCATTCAACAATAGTCAGCCACGAATGCGGATGACTGTTAATTATTGCAAATATCTAAGGGGTGTGGGTGCTGGCTGAGGCCTACTTAACGGAAGGGAAAGGTGGGTGGTAAAAAGTAAGGGAAAATGCTGGAAGTTTTTGTGTTTAGAATTGGCAAAAAGCCAGAAAAGAGCTGCAGAAATTGTAACAAAAAGTTTGAGTTTGCTTTTAGCTTTAGTTTTCTTCAGTTTTGATTATTTTTTAATGTTTTTTTCTTACTTATTATTATTTTTCTACCAAAATCAACAGCCATTCATCAATCTTTTGACACACAAAACTCGCTTAAGCTGTCATATTTCTGAAAAGTTGGCTAGATTTTCCCATTCAAACTTGTCTTTTATGAACAGAAAATGATCTTTGCTTGCTTTTTGAACTATTTTTCTAACTTTTTAATAAAAACATTTCATTTTCTTGATGAATCTCTCCCTTTACAAAGGTTACTCTACCTGAAAAAGAAGTAGCAAATCATTTTGAATTCATGATCTCGATCTCGATCTCGATCGTGGTGAAAGGGAAACGTCTCCATTTGAATACTTTCCAAGCTTAAGGCGAGAAATGAGAACAGTTCTCTGCTCGCCTGTGTTCCGCTTTACACAAAAAAGTATCTGACAGATACACTTGTCTCGCTGTCTCAGATACGCTTGGTGCTCGAGCTCGAGCTCGAGCTCTTAACGAGGCCACATCTCCTAGGCCAAAAGCAAAGTCTGAGCACGTTTTTGTTACCAATTTTCGATGTGTCTTTCTGGCTTTTGTTTTCTATATTTTTTTTCGGTTTTTTTTCTATTTTTTTTCTTTATTTTTTCTGATTTGTTGTTGAGTTTTCTTTGGCTTCTCGAATCGGTCACAGAGACTGAGTTGAAAATCAATTACCGTTAATGCTGGCCCACATATACATACGAACGAGTACAATATGGCCAATATGGGTTAGCATTGAACGTGACTTGGCTGGAAGACTTTCGGCCCGATCTTCACTAGCTTCACCACTTTATTCAAGGTCAGCTTGCTAGCGCCCCCCCCGCCCAACCTTAGACGAGGCTTTTTAGTTTTACATTTTAGTTAGTCATGGAAAATGAAAAGAAAAACAAAGAAAAGCAAAGAAAAACAAGAAGAAAAACACACAAATAGATAATTTACAAAAAATGCAGAGCAGCAGAGACAAAGGCGAAAAGTGAGCGAAAAGTTATTATTATTATTATTATTTTTAAGCAGCTTTTTTAGCGCACTTGGCAGCCACCTTTCTGGCCATGTTTCGCCAGCTCTTCTTTCTGGCTCCCCCATTAAATCTGTCATATCATGGAGTAGCAAAAAGATATATAAAGATATATATATGGCAGTGGCAGTGGCAATAATAACAAGTCGGGGTAATAGCTAATGCCACTGCGATCCATTTTAGCGACTTTCACTGTTTAATTGTCGCAAAATTTCCTTTTTTTTCTCTTCTTCTTCTTCTTTGCCAGCAATTTGTGTGTTTGGTCAGCGGTGAAAAAGTATCAAAATATGTACAAATCTTTGCCAGTTAGTTGGAAATTTGTTTAAGTATCTCTTAGTGGCTTACATAAGCTGGTTATTTCGGTTGTTGTGACTGCAAAGTAAGCCTGAAAAGTGTATTTTTAAGCTGGCTTTCTTTCAATTCTAGCTAATTAGGGGGCAGAGAAGGCTGGTCGTGGCAAGAGCCTTGATTAAAGTTGTCTTTAAAGATACTTTTGGGTGATTGAATAAGCATTTAAGCTGGCAAGGCTGTAAAGTTACTTTTAATTTGAGGTTTTTTAAGGTTTTTCTTTTACTAAAAACTTAAAAAAGGAAGTTTCTAAGAGAGTTACTAGAAGAAAGACTCCTTTTCCCCAAGCTTATTGAAAGGAATCTGATATATCTCTGACTGAAAGCTATGAAAATCCCTCTGGGAAACCTGCAGAAGGGAAAGTATTTCTTGACAGCATTTTCCTGTGACCAACCAGCGGGCCAAAATCTAATCACTGCAAACCTTGCAATCCGATTAGGTTTTAGCCAGAAATCGTATTTACAGCGCAGTTTTTCATAATTTGGCAACCAGTTTGTCGATTTCTGCAATCCCAAGGAAATCAACGAGGGGCAGCCAATCTGGCAAATCTTCAATGGAAATCTAATCGGCTGCTGTCGGGGGGAAATGCAGGGTTGTTTTTTTTATTTTTTGCAAAAGGAAAAACTCAAAAAACAAAGCCAATTGTTTGGCAGCAAATTGGGCAGGCATTAAATTGCATATGATCACGGACACTTTTCCTCCTTTGAAAAGTTTTCCTAGGCTTTGGTTTCTTCTCCTTCCGCTCCGAAGCTCATTTGAATGAGGTGTGTGTGAGAGTGTGTGAGAGTGTGTGTGTGTTACCTTTCTTTTTTTTTTCTTGCTTTTCCCTCTTTTGCGAAACGAGTCTTTGGGGTAATTAAAAGTTCATTGTCGTCGACGGCCTTCCAACTTGTTGTGGAAATTATTTTGCAATGTCTGCCCAAAAAAAGAGAAGCAGCTTCCATGAAAAAACAAAAAAGAAAGAAAGACGACTTCCCCATCGTTTAGGTTCGTTTTTTTGGTTTTTGTGATCTTTTCGCAGAGGCGAGAGATTTTCCCACATGAAAAACGATGACAAAATGTGCAGGAGGAGGCAGGCACAGCACATCGTCAGCATCAGCGTCAGCGTCATGAGTGAGTGAAAGTTGCTGATGACCAGCATGGATGTGGATGTGGCTGTGGCTGTGGCTGTGGCTGCTGTTGAGTATCCATGCTAGCCATGGCCAATGCCTTCACGACAATCTGCCGTAATTGAACTTGAAGCCAGAGACCAGGAAGCAGCCAGCTGCCAGACTTTGGCTGGATGCGCAGGTGCAGCATCCACATCCCAATCTCAGCCAGAAGAAGATAATCGTTTGGGGGCGAACGTCAGTCACGACATTTGCGCAATCGGTTTGGGCCAGGCCAACTGGTTTTTCTTACATTATTTTGGTTGCTTATGTTTATGATTTTTCGGGGCCAGACGAGGGAGCGTCTTTAGAGTGGTGGGAGTCGATGTGGGGTGGGGGCTTATCAACAAAAATAATGCCAAAAAGCGGTCGCATTTTAATGGATCATAATGCGATTACGCGAAAAAGTCAGATAAGGCATCAGAGAACAAAGGCTTCTAAAAACAGAAAGCTAAACGAGGGGAAATTCCCTATGATATGGAGTTCCCTTTGACTGTTTTCCATTCCCATTTTCCATTTTCCCTCTGATTAAAAAGTCAACTTAAGTTTTATCTGCAAAAGAAATTACAACTTAAATGGCTTGTTTTTTATTTTAAAATATTATCTAAAAATGTATTTAACTTGGCTATCTTATCGGTTATTTAGATAACTCTTTTCGCTCAGTGCACTGACTTTTGTTTGTTTTTTCCTCTTTTTTTTTGAATTCTTTAAAAAAGAAAGCTCTGGCGGCGACCTTCAACTGCAGAAAGCCGCCTGAGGTGCGGAAATAATGTTTGATCTAGATTACGGCTAGCAATCGAGTTGGGAAATCTTCTAGGAAAATGTAGGTGTGTGTTTTTTGTTTGCCTTTCTTTGGTTTTCCTTGGTTTTCTTTGTTTTTCCCTGTCTTTGTCCCAAGTTGAGCTGAAAGAGCCAGAGGCCCTAACAGTTCTGGGTTAATCTGTTGGATAGTCAGGGAAACCAGAAAGCTAGTCGCTGGATAAAAGAGAATTTAATAAACAGTTTATTTGGGCAAATTAAAAAAGAAGTTCTAATTATATAAAAGTTCGAGTTTATTTAAGGAAAAACTGCAGTTAAAGTTTGAATATTTAACAACTTACCCCATAACCTTGCTTTTCCTTTCCAAAACCTAAAACTTTTTCCTAAAAAACTTTTCAAAATCCGAATGTTGGGATTTGCAATTATCGCGGAATCCCAATGAAATGTTTTATTATTTCTTAATAACAAGTTTAGTCCACAGTTAGCGGGAGTTACTAATAAATCGCTGAGGTGATAAACGGGTTGCGAAGCTGAAAACCTGGCCAAAAGCCTGGCAATCCATAAATTTCGCCCCACGTTGTCGCTTGACCCGCTTAACCTGTGTTTCTGCTGTAGTTTGCCTTGCTAAATTTATGCAAAAACTGTTCGACTTTCGTTCGTCGCACAGCCCGCGACGCACTCCTAATTAAACATTAAACTTTAAACTCGAAATTAGCCAGAGATTAGGGCAGAAATTTGATTGGGTTCATTTTCAGTGACCTCGACACCGTTTTGACTGCTAAGAGATAAAGCCAAGTTTTCTGGAAAGCTGCGCTGGGAAGCTATCAAAATTCTCAGTTTTTGAGTTTCTCAGTTTCTGAGCTTCCACTTAGATTGCTAGCAATGACAGAAATCACTACACTTGGGGAAAATAGTAGGGAAAACTTCGGGAGATTGAAGGTAATAAGGTTCTAGCTTAGCAATTTGTAAAGGCCAAAAGGCATTTATTTGCTGCTACAAAGATCGGCTTTTAATAACTTCTTTTAAAACACCTAAAGAGCTTTGGAAAATTGTCATTTTCCAAGCCATTATGTTCTTAAACTCAACTAGTTTTTCTAGATTTTGGAATAAATTAAGAACCAAAGACTGAAAAGTCTCTAAAAAGAGGTAAACCCTGACTATGGACTACCAGTTAAGATACAAATTGCTTTGGGAAATCGCTGTAAACTCTGTAATCTCTCAAAGCTAACAAGTTTTATTGCCAGTGTAGCTTACTAATCGATAGATTGCACTTTGTAGAGCTGCGAAATATTCGAAAAACATGAAAAATCGGGTCAGGCCCGGGAGATGCATGATGGGGCCAATTGGCCAATCGGTTTACAGATGGGCACACAGGTTAATTAACGATTTGGACCAATTAAGAAGGCAAGTGGGGGAAAGGAGAGAGAGGGTAGAGAGGGTAGAGGGTCTTGTGCAAGTTAGTTTCTAGTGCAGGAGCAGAGTGCGAGAGTATCTCGTGGATACGTGCGGTAGTTAGTCGGTAATTAGTGCCAATCTCAAGCCGAAACCGAACTGAACTCGATCGCAACTCACCCATGAATTATCGCGGAATTGTGACATATTTCGGCCAGCCGCGGGTATGTGAAGCGGGGGATATGATTACGATATACGATATACGATATACGATTATGATATATATTTTATATATTTTTAAGATTTAAGATTTAAGTTTAAAGCATTTACTGGCTTAGCTAAACGCGGCGCACTTTCAGTTTCAGTTTCAGCTTTTTAGCTTTTTTTCCTTTCCTCGCTGTAGCTTCGCGAATTTCACAGTTTTTTTTTTTTTGACTTTTTTACTTTTTGCTTAATTTATCTAACCAATTTGTTAGCTAAGTTAAGCCAAGCACACAAACACATACACTTAAGCACACACAGACACAGAGCTAGTCAGCTGAGCGTAACGCATGTGTTTCAGATACTTTTGTATCTTTGTATCTACTGGCTGTTACTTTATGTTTCGGCTGCTTTCTGAGGCGTAACTGCCGCCAGCACGATTACGTGCGACAATTGTAACACTGGCCAGCTGATGCACTCTCAAAAACACTCAGGCTTTTTGGCCCAGTCATTGGACACTTGGCTTTGTGGTAGTTTTGTGGAAAAACCAAAAAAAAAAAAAAAAAAACACAGAAAACACAAAGAAAAGCCGCGTTGGAAAAGCCGCTCGCACGCGCGCGCTCTTCGCCTTTCCTTCGAACAAAACCAACAGCGAAGCGAACTTAACGAGTCGAGTCTGCGCCGCCAACTGAATCTGGCTTTTTAGCTTTTGACGACGACGACGCTCCCCCAGCCACAATCGCAGGCGCAATCAACGCTCGTCGCTGCCGTTGCCGTTGCCGCTCTCCGTGAGCGGTAGCAATTGCAATTGCCCAGCTCTGCGCCGGTCGCCGTCGGTCGCTTTCTAAACGCTCTCCGCTCATCGCTCTTTGCTAAACCCTGCAAACGCTGCAAACGCTCTCCGCGTTGCGACTTGGTGGGGCTTTCCTTTTAGTCGAGCGCGGCTGTAGGACAGTGGGAAGTTTGACTGGTTTTTTGGGGTAAAAATGTGTCTGGGAAGAAGGTCACTCTAGGGAAGTTATGGGGGAAAAATATGTTTAAAAATCTACAAATAGGGTTTAAGATTAATAAGTTCTTTAAAAAATTATTTAAAAATAAAGTTAAAGGTGAACTTTTTTACTGCTCTGAAGAAAAAATTAAGTAAAAAGAAGTTTACGGCTCGCTTTCTGCCTCCCCTGGAAAGAGGGTTTAAGGCCTCTAAGAAAGACTCTAGAAAAGAAGATTTTATTTTTTAAACTATGAGAAAGTGGTGAGTTTTTGCCATATTTTTGTTTGAAAATCTATAATTGGGTTTTAAAAAATAAAGATTAATAAGTTGGTTTAATCAAATTCTTAAGAATTAAAGTTCAAGGTTAAATTTTTTAACCCACTGAATCAAAAATCAAATAATAAGAAGTCTACAGCTCGCTATTTGCTTGCCCTAGAAAGAAGGTCTCTGTAAGAAAGACTTCAGAAGAGAAGATTTGCTTACTAAGTCATCATCAGAAAAATGAGAAGTTTTCCATTATTTTTAGATATATAAAAATATATTTTATGCTTTTTAACTTTAAAGAAAGAAATATTTATATTTCATAGATTTTTTATTCTCTTATTTTATTATTTTTTATTATTTTACCATAAGAAAGAAAGATCTAACCCATTGAGCCAGCTTAATGTTAGTTCTAAAGCTTTGCAAGCTGATGATGACTTCAAAGATGTGGAATGCTGTTCATAAATTTGCATCTTTCCGACTTACCCGATGACTTATTCCGATTTCCAAGTATATAGTATATGGTATATAGTAAACAGATTATAGAATTCTGATATAGTAGTTAAGTTCTGGAGAGTTCATGACTCAGACTTAGACTCAGTTTCAGGCAGCGCATTTATGAATAGATAACCAAGCCCAAAAGTATGCTAGCTTTTTTTTTGTAAATTAGATATTTTTATATTATTTTAACGATATATTTATTATATTTTAAACACATTATTAAGATAAAACCCAACCAACCAACGAAAAGAAACCACATTTAACTTTGAGTTTGAAATACCAAAAAAAATTTATTTTCTCTTAGGAGAGAGTCAGAAAATTCATATTATAAGCAATTTTGTGGATGATTTCGATCGTTTGTCCAATATTTTGGGATTCGCTAGCGTAAATACTATATGTTTATTATATTTCTTATTAACTTTTTTTTACAATTTCTTTGATAGTTGTGGCGTAAATGGGCGCAAAAAAGAACTCATAGTTTGAGCGTTTTTTTGAGGGGAACGTTTTGCAGGGCCGAAAAGTACAATTTTGTGAAGAGAAGATTAACAGAGGATAGACTATGGTTCAAGGGATCGATGCGTATGAGTCTATATAACTATTGTATAACTATTTAATATTCGTATGTGTGTGTGTGTGTGTGTGTGTAAGTATCTGTGTTTTTCAATGGGTATCTAAGTATATATACGAATGCTGCATAGCCAATCCAGATGCTAAAACGTTCTCGACTTTCCCACAATAATTGCCTCAAGCTTAGATTTTCGTTTTCGTCTTTCTCTTCCGATGTAGATCGAAAAATGAACATTAAGTTTCGGAATTAATTTCCATAATTTGGAGATTGTTTTTTTAAGTTTTTAGGGGGTTTTCCTTAAGTTTGTTTTTAGTTTTAGTTTTTTGTTTTTTTGTTTTTTGCTAAATGCTATTTCAATTTCTCTTTTCGTTTGTCTTAAGTAAAATTGAATCAAATTCCTCAGTGCTTGCAGTGCATATCGTACTTAGTAATTCATGTTGTCTATGCTTAGTGACTAATCCAAAAAAAGTAAATATATATATATATATATTATAATATATAAGGGCATCTCATACATAGTTTAAGGGGGATCTGTGTGGGTTGCTAATTCTTCTTCGGTTCGGTTTTTATGTACACTTTACAGTTAAGCAGTTTAGAACTCTTCGATAGAAATACTTTCAGACTTGCATAAGTTAATGATTAAGTGTATATATATATATATCCAGGTGGAAGGGAGAATCGTTGTCTGTCTACAGTTACAGTTGGAAACTAAAACAGTGAAGAGGCGGAGTTAGGGTGAAAGTTGAAGTGTATTTACAGGGATGTCTCGTTGGGTGTAAATAAATAGATTAACTTTACACACATATATTCCGATTTATTACTGTATATATAGTATATATATATATAGTATGCTTACTATCGTACAGTTAGGCATTGTTTTAGGTATATCGTTCCGTCCACCATCCGTATCTCTGTATCTTTGTATCTTGACCTTTACAATTTTGGTTTGCCTTACTTGCTAGAATTTCATAAGACTTGCGTTTCATTTTTCCATATTTTGTTCAAAAGTTTCACTTAAACGATTCGAAAAAAATATATATACTATATATGTCTATTTCTGTTCATATATATGTGATATATATATATATTATATATAGTTGTCCCTATGTACACATCATGCAGTAAGTGCCGCCACTTTGTATGTCCTTTGTATGTATGTGTGTGTGTGTGTGTGAGGTGTTTTCACTATGTCTGTGTTTGTGGGTTTTCTCAACTTCTACGAAAATGCACGAAAATATATCCATAGTTTTGGCTTGGACCCGGTTGTTTTCCGAACAGCTGTGATTCAGTGCCACGAAGCACTTTAGGCCTTAGCTAGCCATTTTCCTTACTTCTTCCTGCATTTTAGTCACTCTAGTACTCCTCCACTTTGGATCGTTTAGCCCGTCTAGTTGGTTAGATAGCGCTCGCCTCGTTTTTAACACTAACTCTATTCCGCCTTCCCGCTTAAATCCTTCAACTACAATTTCATCTCGAAGCCGCTTCTTAGTTTTCTTTCTTTTTTTGTTTTTAGCGTGTCAAATGTGATTTTTCTTTGAATTTCTTAGTGTTTATGGTCTTTCTTGTTTTTCTATGATCAGAAACATAGTGAATGTTTTGGGGGGGGTTAGCAAACGCTTTTCCGGCCATCTGCTCGGCTCATTTGCTATAAAATCTCTAGATTGTCATTTGCTAAATATTCCTTACTCAACTCTGCTCTACTGCATATGGATTTCCAGCTGCGGCCGCATTTATGTCAGTCTTTTTGAGAATTTGATCAGTTTTGACTAAATTTTAAATTAGAAATTATAGGGTTTATGATACAAATTATTGAACCAATTTTAATACACTTTAATTTGCAGTTTGTTCTACTTTAGATTTTTGAAAATGATAGAATTTGACCAGTTTAATAAGTCAAAAGAAGGCTTAAAATTGCCTTTTTTAAAAACTTAATATAGAAAGCAATGATAATTATTGAGATTTTTGATGATTATACATTTTGACGAATTTTTTGACCAATTTTTTTTTTTACACAAATAATTTTAATAATTAAAAAACCAATGAAAATCAAAGACCTAAGATTCCATTTGATACATTTTCTTCACTGATCACTATTTCGACCGCAGCTGAAGAACTCATTAGTTGCCGCAGGCGGTGTAGATTGGTGCAACGATTTTGGATTCCGCCTGCCTAATGGGTGGCACGTCTTATGGGGCGTAAAGGCTGCATGCCCGGGATCCCGCAAAGCTCGAATCAAAAATCGTTAAAAATAACTTTCGACACTTCAACACCATCTGCGACAGTCTACGATGTGTGTAACTTTAAGTTTTGTGTGTTTTAATTTCATTTTTTTTTACGTTTTTGTTTTTTCCTATAGTCATGTGCAATCCAAAACATGATTACCCACGCCGGAAGCTCGCTTCCGGAAGACCGGAAGTGGCTTACGGTGCGGGATTTAATGGGAATGCTGGCGATGGCCCCCCTCCCACAAAGAATTTGAGGTGTCCAAACCCATTCAAGGCATTCCGAAAGCCAGAGCCATGGTTTTCCAGGAACTAAGCCGCGATTGCGATTGGACGTAGGAGAGGGTGGCCAGGGCTGCATTCGCGGACAAGCCTCGTAAAGGTTATCGATACTTAATCGTTCTCAGGTGCCTTGTCAATCGATAATGTGACTTATCGCTTATTCCTAATCGTTAATCGATACAAATCGTTTAGCTTATAAAGTTTAGCTAAGCCTGGGGAAATTTGAAGGTGTGATTCGCGGTTAAACGTAATTGACTCGACACAATTTTGGATTATGATTACTTTTCAAAAATTTAGAATTCGAATTTATATAGAATAAAAAAAAAGCATGTGGAAAAATAGCCCTCTACTGTACATAATATATAGCATTACATATACATATATATGTGATTCGATTAACAGCTATATAATATTTTCATATACTTTTATTTGATAAAATATTCATGCGTCTAATATTAAGAGTGTGTTCTCGTATTAGGTATTAGGTACGCCAGCTAAGGCTCGTGTTTCCTTGTTCATTTTGTTCCTTTGTGTGGTTACGAGAGGGTTCATAGTTTATAGTTTATAGTTACGGAATATAGTATAGTTTAGGATAGTTTAAGATAGTCTTTGTGGATCTCAACTGCCCCGACCTAACAGCTAACATCTTTTTTCCGGGGCAGTTTGAGGAGGGGGGACGCTATTGATCGGCCCAAGTCTTTCGGTTTGAAACGCTGAGGGTTTTCTCTTCTTTTTGGGGGGTCAAAGGTGAAGTGGTATATCTATGGGGGGTTGTGCATTCTAGTCTGTGCATCGGGACTGTGTGTGTGTGTGTCTGTCTGTGTCTGTGTCTGTGTCTGAGCGAGAGGGCTTTAGCCGCTTAGGGTCTAGTGCCTCACTCTTCTAATCGTGCTGCTGCTCTGCTGTTCTTCCTTTTCTTTTTTCGTTTTTCTTTTGACAAGAGTATTAAAGTTCTCACTTAAACTAGTTTGAATTCCAAAAGAAGTACATATATAATAATTAAATATATATTATATATAGGCTATATATCTTTGCTTAGTATGTGTCTCAGTGTGTGTGTGTGTTTGTTTTTTGCATATTTTTTAAACGTTTTTCCTTGCTTTTCAGTTAGCGGTTACAGCAAATGCCTTTTGCTAATATCAATTTATATTTCTCGCTCTCGCTCTCTCTCTAGTCCAATACATTAATTAATTTAGATATCACAATATAATCATTAATCGTTAATCAATCGGTAAGAGAAACAAATAAATTTCGAATTTACTTTTTTGCATTTACTGCCTTTGCTTTTGCTTTTTAATAGCTGAATTTTGTTCGATCTTTGCTTGATCTTTTTTAAGGTAATTTAAAATTGAATTTTGGACAAATGTTGCCTTTCGTCTAGCTTTTCTTAAACTTTTTCTTAATCTTTTTCTTTTTCTTTACAATAAATTAAATGATGCCTTTGTTAAGCTTACTTGCTAAATGTGTTGAGTGTTTTCTTTGCTTTGTTTCTTCTTTTTTGTATTTTCTTTGCTTAGTTTAGATTTAGATTTCTCCCGTACATGCTAGCCAAAAAAAAAAAGAGTTGCCAAAAAAATAGACATTATCAGTTATTATCATAAGTATTATTAATAATTTTATGTCGTAGGTTGAATGCTTCCGCCGGATGATGCTCCACTTAGATCCGGGACTGCACCTCCAGATGCATGAAACGCTCTTGACCTAAGCGGTTCATTCCGATTTGAGTTCATGGAATGTTCATGTTTATTTTACATTTTTCATTTGATTTTTCCGATTCGATTTCGATTTTTTATTTACACAAGACAAGGAGTTTCCGGTTTGTTGTGTAGTTTTTTGTTGGCATAGAAAGGAGAAATTTGCATTGTTAAAATTACGTTCTTGCTTGGAATAACTGATTTACTGATTATTTTTTGTCTGGTTTTTGGTTTTTGGGTTCTTGATTTTTGATTTTTCGATTTTTGAGTCGTGAGTTAGCCCCACGGCGCAAGCTTGTCTAGCGTTTGCTCTACATGGAGGAGTGGGTAGGTTATCAGCGGCGATATTTTATTCATCTAGTCGTCGAGCCAGCCGTCGACGGGCTGCGTCCCCTGCTTACTTTCCAAATAGGTGGCTATCTCGTTGGCGTTCTTGTTGAAGGCCACCATCATTGGCGTATTTCCGCCGGAGTCTAGGGTGTCCAGATGGGCGCCGGCGGCCACCAGCATTACGCAGATGTCGCGACGATTCTGCTCGGCGGCAATGTGCAGCGCCGTCTGTCCACTGAAAGAAATTAGTACAGAGAAAAAGGTGTTTTAGTTTAGTATTTCGACCAACATACGATAAAAGAAAGTGTACTTTTTCAACCTTGAAAGCAGATTTGTTAAGAACTAAAAAACAAGCTTAAAGAAGTATTACATTCCCTATTCCGACTATTATTGGCTTTGTTATGAGGAAAGTACTTTCATTTTAGGGGGGAAATGAGGAGAATCCAAACTTCACTTTTTCAATAAGGGGTAACATCGTCTTATTTTGCGAAAAATGTCTAAGATTGTACATTTTAAAGTGTGAATGCAGTTCGAATGGAATTTGAATTACGAGTTCAGTGATGTATGACATTCCCCTATCGGATCATTATTGGCTTTGTTATGGAAAGAATTCTGATGATTTTGAATCAAAAATCGGGAAAATGACCAAAATTTGATAAGGTTTACACCTCTAACTTGGTTAAAAGAAGGCGCACAGCTAAAAGAACTACTGCTTTGTGAAGCTATCGACCAGAACTTGCAACCCTCATCATTCGTTTTTTGATTTTGAGAAATTTTATTTTTGTCAAAATTTTGCATTTTTGATAAGGTGTTACCCCTCATCAAAATTTGCGAAAAATGGCAAAAATTTTACATTTTTAGGTGGGAATCCAGTTTTGTAGGAAATTTGATTACGAACTCAGCGAGGTATCACATTTTGTATTTGGACCATTAAGGGCTTAGTTATGAGAAAAATAAGTCGTTCTGGGGGGAATTTATGGAGAAACCAAAAATCGCATTTTCGATAAGGGGTAACATCATCAAAATTTGCGAAAAATGGCTAAAATTTTACACTTTTAGGTGGGGATCCAGTTTTTTAGGAAATTTGATTACAAACTCAACGGGGTATGACATTCCGTATTTGGACCATTAATGGCTTAGTTACAGGAATAATACCTTCATATTAAAGGGAAAATAGCGAGAAAACCAATTTCTCATTTTTAAGAAGGGGTAACATCATATTTTTTTCGAAAAGTTGCTTTAAATCTTACATTTTTAGGTGGGAAAGCAGTTTTGTAGGAAATTTAAATACGAACTTAACGAGGTATCACATTTTGTATTTGGACCATTAACGGCTTAGTTATGAGAAAAATACAGTCGTTCTGGGGGGAATTTATGGAGAAACCAAAAATCGCATTTTCGATAAGGGGTAACATCATCAAAATTTGCAAAAAATGGCAAAAATTGTACATTTTTAGGTGGGGATCCAGTTTTGTAGGAAATCCAATTACGAACTCAGCGAGGTATGACTTCCTATATTTGGATCATTATCGGCTTAGTTATCGTAATAATAATATTACATTTTGGGGGCTAAATGAGGAGAAACCAAATATCACACTTTTGATAAGGGGTATCATCATCATCATCTCTTTTTTTCGAAAATGGGTCAAAATTGTACATTTTTAGCTGTGAATGCAGTTTTGTGGGAAATTTAATTACGAACTCAACGAGGTATGACGTTCCGTATTCGAGACATTATTGGCTTAGTTATAAGCAAAATACTGTTATTTTAGGGTGAAAATGAGGTTAACTCCAATTTTACACTTTTGATAAGGGGTAACAGCATCGTTTTTTGCGAAAAACGTCCAAAATTTCAAATTTTTAGGTGTGAATGCAATTCTGTGGAAAATTTTACTACAAACTCATAGACGTATCAGATTTTTGGACCATTATTGCCTTTGTTATCGATAAAACAGTGATTCTTTTTGGTGAACATTGGGAGCATTGGGAGAAAGAGCACTTATAGGCCTTGTAAGACTTACAGCTCCTTGTCGGCCATGTTGATGAGGCGTCGTGTGGCGCTCGCGATGATATATTTGACAATGTCCCTGTGGTTGTATTTGCAGGCGAAGTGCAACGCCGTCTGTCCGTTCTTGTTCACTGACTGCAGTGAGTATCCTTGTTCATGTAGTGCACGTAACTGGAAGAAATGGGCGAATAATAGTCGTTAGAAACCAAGGACATAACACATACGATTCAGTTTTAGACTATATCAATATATATATTTAAATTGTGGAAAAGTTAAGCTACCATATTGAGATCGCCGCTCTGGGCTGCTAGTAGTATGGCATCGGAAGTTTGCTCCAGTATAGGGCTATTATTCGAATGGTCAAGTGTGTTTGTGGTTGTGTGTGTGTATAAGAGGCATGTGTGTGTTGTAGGTGTTTGTGTGTGTGTGTGTGTGTGCATGGAAAAGTAGAGAAAATAAAAAGAAAATTCAAGCATCAGTTCGGTTTAAGATTCCATTCGATCGATTCAAATGTCGATGATATACGAGAGATAAAGACGGAAAGAAAGACGACAGACGGTTCAAAAGAGAAAGATAGATAGATAGATAGATAGACAGAGAGAGAGAGAGATAGCCACAACAGACAGTTCTAGTAACTAAAAGAAAGAGACAGATAGTTATACGGAATACCTGAATCCATAACCAAAAACATCTTCGTTGAAACTGAATAAACGATCTTTGTTGCTGCATGCAGGATTTATAATTTTTTTTATAGTACAGAAATTAGGAAAATTAGGAAAAAAACATTTCAAAATCAAATGAAGAAGAAGAGCGAAAGATGCTGAATATATATATATATATAGAGAGAGAAAGAGACAAGAATAGCGAGTGTGTGAAAGATGGAGGATATAACCGTGGACCATGATAGAAGCGTGTGAAAGAGATAGAGAGAGAGAGAGCAAGCGAAATACAAAGGCCAAACGAGCAAGACAGCTGCCAAAAAAGCCAATTAATAGAGAGACAGACAGAGATAGATATAGCGCTCTATGCGGACAAAATTTTGAAAATCGAATGCCATCTCGCTCGGTTCGGCCATAGCTATAGTGGTCTCTTTTCTTCGCATGGAGTCTGAATGAAATGCTGAACGAATTGGGGGACGCTTTTTTACCTCTTCCACTTCATCACTTTAATGGGCTTGGAGCCAATTTGCAAATCCTCATCTTTGTGTGTAAATGTATTTGTTTGTTTATATATAAAAATATATATGTGTGTGTTTGGGTGTAAATTCGGAAAGAGATTCACATATTTGTTAGTAAGCCATTGAAATAGATGGATCACGAACTAAGGCATTAAACTAGAAATTAATAACACAACAAGTCCAAAAAATCTAACTAATTGCAAGGCATCAAACCTACCCGCATATCGCATATCTTTTTCAGTGTCTTAATTTGTATTATTTGGTTGGTTTTTAGTTGGTTGGGATGGATGGGATCGTAACGAATACGGTTTGGTCCTTGCTACGGTTAACTGTTGATGTAAGCCAGGATTATATACCAGATAGTTGCAGGAGTGATCGTATTTAATGCTCTACTCACATGCGAACGTGGCAAGGACTAAGCTGTATTCGGCTCCTCGCAATTAAGACTTGGACTTTAAGCGGATATGGGTGTGTGTGTGTGGGTGTATGGTGGTTTATGTGGGTGTAAGGATGTTAATGCTTACAGTTGCGGTGGAAATAATAGTAAAGAGGGAAGGAAAATCCAATTTCTAGATGATTTTTACTTTTCCAAAAGACTTTTTAATGGCAATTTTGTCAGATTCGCATTTAATTTTCATTTTGATTATTATTTTTGTACCGCAACTGCTTTTCTCTGAGTGTAAATGTCAGTGACTAGACATGCAAGACATAGTTAACCATAAACAAAATGCAATGCAACGAAAATTAAGGTGGACCGACTGCAACTGGCACCCCTCCACTCCGCTCCCCCATAGAATTTTGGACAGGATTTTTGGTTAAAAGGTTTTTAAGGATTTATAAAGAAATATATATGTATATATAGAGAGAGAGGAGGGGGGGGGGATAGGATAATGTGGGATCTAAGATTTGGAGCAATTCAAATCTCGACGCGACGCTTGCGGAAGTGGAGGTGGAGGAACATGCGCCTATCTTGGTACGGCAGCTGCTCGGCCACCTGCTGCTGGTAGAGCTCCAAGCGCTCTTGGAGCGGTAGCTCGTCAGCGGTACGTGGGGTACGATTGGCCTGTGCCGCCCCCGGTGGCCAGCAGCCAGCTAACAGGAGCCTACCGGTGCTGCCCGGGCCGCGGCCCTGGGCCTGATCCAATTGGCGTCTCTCGTTCTGGGCCTGACGTTGCGAGAAGGCGGCAAAGGAGCGCTCCTGGTCGGGTGTCTGTGGCATGGTGGCTGCCTCATGATCCAGGATATACAGCTCATCGATGGCGATGTCGCAGATGTAGTGCAGGTGCTCCTGGGCACGATCGATACGGAAATAGTGCTCCGCAGTGCAGGCTAGAAAAAGGAAAAAGCATATTCTTATAGTCTGTTTTTCTTTTCCTTTAAATTTCAGGGAAAAGCCAACCAAACACTTACCATCGATGAAGCACCAATCCTGGGAGACTTTGGGATAGGAGATGGATTCCTCGAACTTGGCATTGAGCATATTGCGCACGTGCTCCAGATCGCACTGAGATTCGATATCGATGTGGCCAAGCTTGTTGGCCAGCTTGCGGAGCATCTCCTTGTCATAGTGATACTGCTCGTACTGTTGCATGGTGACCCGCAAGATGTGCAGCTGCATCTTCTCCAGTGGGTTGACCCTATAAAGAGGAGCATACGATAATAGCATAGAAGATATATGTAAGGAGTAGTCCTTCTTTTACTCACTGGACATCGCCGCGTCCGTGCTTCCTTTTGGACAACATCAGCGCCTTGTTGAGCAACTCGATCTCGATGACCGATGGCTTCACGCGGCATGCCTCGCCGTCCACCTGCATCGGAATGGTTCGCTTGGTGATGATCCTGGCCTTTCGGCACTGGCAAATGCAGGTGCCATGCATTCCGGCCTGCAACATGGGCAACTGGTAGGTGGTCAAGCCAACTACCTCCATTAGGCCATCATCGATGGAGGGCTTCGAGGCGCCAAAGGAATCGTTCCAAGGGTGAGTGCCACCGCCATAACTATAGAATAAGATGAATAGGAAGTTGATTAAATGGTATTCATGGGAAAACCAAATCGTGCAGCTCACCTGGGAATGTTGAGGAAGAGGACGGCATGGCAGCCGGCATCGCGTAGCTTTCCGGTAAAGTCCTGGCCATCGCACTCGAGCGTGACCCATTGGGAGAGATTACGATATTGGCGCAGGATTAGATCCTTGCCACCCATCTGGCCATAGTACATCTTATTGCGCAGCCGCGAATTGAAACGCTCCGGATGAGCCTCGCGTGCCTCATGGAATTCCAAGGCGATGTGGGCATCCACGCCGAACGAGAAATAGTTGTTGATCACATTCAATGGGACGTTCGCTTTGCTCCGATCGACATGGTCATCGGTGACATCCTCATTGGGCGTAACCTTCACCCTCCAGCGATCCATCAAAACGCACTGCGACATCCCGATCTCGCGCAGTATCTTCCCAATCGGTTCGTCCGTGTAGCCCTGAAAGAAGATAGACTTTAAAATTATTGAGGCTTTTATGTGTAATGATTCAGTCAAAAGTAGGTCTAAATTACACTAACTACAAATGAAGGTTTTAAGGAAATAATGCCTTCAAAAAGGTTTTACTGTCGAGGAGCAGGCTTAGTGTTGCTGAGGGCCAAGCGTTGGTTAGTTCTATATGGTATTGGATATGTCTTTTATATATATATATTTTAAGCCACTACTGCATGAATGTTTTTAGTTCTTAAATGCTTTTTAGCAGTATGGGAAAATCTTAAATGTTTTTTAGCCATTGTACCATGAATTTAGTTCTTAATTACTTTTTAGCATTAGGGAAGCATCTTGAATGTTCGGTTAATATATGAAAGCTACCTTTTATGGACAAATTTGGCTCATACTTACTGTTGCTTATTGCATTTTATTTGCTATTACTTATAGTTATCATAGTTAAATCTAAATATTTTCTTTTACAATGAAGACTTCTTGGAAATATTTCTAGTTTTCCTGATTTTTTTTTTAATTTTTAAACTCACAAAACAAATTTTTCATTTCTATTACTGAATGCAATATCAATTTAACATTAAACTCTTATTTTTCAGACTATTGCAGTTCTCAAATTATGAATTAAAAGATTCTTTGCGGCTACCTACTCGTATGAGCAATCTTTAAGGCTTCAACCATGTTACCCATACGCACTGTAAGCACACTTAATGTATTTTTAAATACAATATTAATTTAACATTAAACTCTTATTTTTCAGACTCAGTTCTTGCAGTTCTCAAACTATTAATTTCAAAATTCTTTGTGGCCACCTAGCCGTATGAGCAATCTTTAAGGCCTCAATCCATATTACTCATACGCACTGTAAGCACTTTAAATGTATTATTAAATTCAATATTACTATAACATTAAACCTCAGACTCAAATGATTAATTTAAAGACTTCTTGTGGCCAACTAGTCGTATGAGCAATTTTGGAAATTACAATCCATATTACTCATACGCACTATAGGCACACTGTCAAGACTAGACTGCTGTTAAATCATAATATAAACTTATAGCTATCTAAAGTTTTCAACTCAAATAAGTTAATGCCACTTCTCTAGGCAATATTTAACTATATTAACTATCACTAGGCAGTGGCATCACTTATTTAGGTAAATCATTTCGTAAACATCAGAAAGTACTTACCCCACCCCAGCCTAGGGCGCGAGCGAGATCATTTCCAGTGCCCAATGGAAGGACACCGACAGCGGGAACTGGCTGGAGCGGCGGTTGGATCTGATCCAGGACGGAGAGGACCCAGCCGACAGTGCCATCGCCTCCGCAGGCCAGCACACGCAAATTGGGAGCCTTTCGGAACATATCCAAGCTGAAATACGGATGCGTATTCGGAAATTATTGATTGAACTTTCATTTCTGTGGAAATATATATGGAATAATACTCACCCCATTTTAGGCCCACCCTGCGTTAGATCGAAAACCTGGCGCGGATTGAGCAGATGCTGGAACTTGCCCAGTAGCTTGTGGCCCTGATTGCCGCCCGACTTTGGATTAATAAACACAATGACCGGGATTACCTCCGGCGATGGAATGGGCTTCACAATGAACGCCCGCGGCTCCTTCTTTTCCTCCTTGCCCTTCTGTCGGCGTTGCGTCTGCTTCTTGCTCTTGCCGCCGCCGCCTCCTCCTCCGGACCCAGTACCACCACTGCTGCCTCCTGATCCTGAAGCCGCATTGTTCTTGTTGCTCACGCGTATCGAGGACTTGAAGTTGCCCTTGTTGGGCAGCTTAACAATCCAAGAAGGCGGCACAATAATGGGTGCATAGTTGCCTATGGGAAAGAAATAGAGGAATGAGTAAGGCTTATGCACTGAGAGAAATCGGACAAAGATGAACAGAGTTATGAGTACTAGAAAGTCAGTCTTGGATTAGCTTTTAGAAAACCCCCGAAAACAGGAAAACTGTGAGGTGAAAATGGCTTAGAAAGGAAATCTTTCTATGCTGGGTTTTTGGATAGTTAGACCACCCTCTTCCCCTTTAAAATAGAACTTTAATTATTAGCCTGTAAAGTGTGTTTAAGAACTGCCTAAGCGACTTCATTTAATTTGTCACCTTCAAGGGCGGGGCAAATCAGAAGAAGGAACACTGGCAAGTTAAGAGACCCCAACATAGCCGGCATACCAAAGAGCAATTATGAATGCCGCAACTTGGCCGGACGAACCTCAAAAGGGGAACTCGACCAGACAAAGGAACCTAAAACCCCAAGCCCAAACCCAAGAGCCACCCACTGGTAATTCTATTTGGTACTGTCTTGTCCTCATCTCCGGTCATGTCCTGCCCTGTGTCTATGGCCTGTGTCTATGTCCTTTTCTCGGGGCGGCGTATACGTAATGGTCTCTGGCAGGCAGAGTGTGTTAACAAGATGCTCATTGAGACACTTTATAAAAACGTGTACAGGAAGCGGTTAAGTCGCCCCAGTTGCCACACCATCATTGTCATACTAGTCAGGGGCTAAAGAAGGAATTTTCTTTCCTTTTTTTTTTTGTATTTTTTTGTATTTTTCTTTTTATATAAACATCAGCTAAGTGAGGGAGGGATAGTGGCACGTCAGCATTTACTGCAATTACATTAATTGAAAATAGTTTAGGTTCCCTGGATATTTGAGGGGGCAATTTCAATGGCACAAGATGTTGCAAAATGCAATTTCTTAGAATTCTGAGCAAAAGAAAGATACAAAAAGCTTGGCCCAAACTGGAATCTAAGGTGTATGGCTTTTCGTTTAAGATAAACTTGTAAGTTGGATTTAATTTGATTTTTATGTACTTTTTTTTTAATATTTTACCAAACTGACAGCTTTTCCTTTTTTGACTTTAACTTAAAAAGAAAAACTTCTTTATTTTAACAACCTTTGATTTCATTTCTGTTGACTTTTCTTTTGGAAAACACAAATTGTTTTTCACAGAAGGGGCGAAAAAAAAGGGTTGACCCCTTGAAACTATGCCGCAATTTGTTTACCTACCAAAGGGTAAAGGGTAAAGGGTTCCTACTTGTGCATTAGAACAAATCTTAATTAAGTTAACGGACCGCAATTTATTTGCATGCACGTCACGTAATTAATCAAAAGGAAAATGGTTAGGGGGAAACTCGACATGGACAGACGACAAACTCACCCAGACGACACTCCTCGCCGATTTTGGACTGGTTAAAACAGGCCTCCTTGTTGTGATAGATCTCGTGGCACCAGGCACAGGCCAATGCCACAATCTCCTTCGAGCCAAATAGCTTGCTCTGCACCGCCTGCTTCATAGGAAAGAACTAAAGGGATAAGTGCATAACGAGTGATATTATAATAATGGCCTAGTTCCAGAATCATTCTATGCATATATTTTTGTCACATTGCAAATTGGAATTGGTAAACGAAATGCAAAAACAAACTGATGTTGTGGCTATAAAAAAGTTGAAAAGTTTAAAGATGTTTTTTTGTAAGAAATAAATTGTTAAGTTAAGTTAAAAACATATATTAGAAATTATATGTCATACATACCAACAAAAGCTAAGAAGTTAAGATAGGTTAAAAGAAGATTTTTGATTGTCCTTTGATTAGGTTACTCTCTTTCTTACTAAAAAATGTGACAAGTTAAATTGTTTCTTTGATTTTCTTGTAGTTTTCTTTAATCTTAAAGTCTTGATTTCTGGAATTTTTGTTATATTTTTAATTTAGTTTTCTCTCTCAAACTAAATATCTTGATTTCTGGAATTTCTAAACTAATATTCATGATTAGTTTCTATGATTATCCTTATAGGAATTTGATAGATTTTTAACACTTTCCTTTTTACTTTCTTTCAAGTTTTAAGTGCTAAAAAAAAGCATTTTAAAATCACAAACTAAAACTCTGACTCATAAACTTTCCTCCTTGAAGTTCCTTTTACAACTTTAACTCCTTAAAAACTAAAAATTTAATTATTCCCAAAACTAAACTAAACTTTTAGAAATACAAAACATATTAAGGAAAAAAAGTATGAAAGAAAGAAAACAACATATTAACTAGTGTTATGTTGTGGTTGACCTCACCTTGCCGCACTGCTTGCACTTGCCCTTCTCCAGCTTGCGGTGGACCCAATGGTGATGGGTGGTGGTCTGCTCCCTGTACTGCCGGATGCCCACATCCCTATAGGTTGGCTTGCATGCCAGCGTGCTCTTCTCGTTCACGAACGGAATGCAGTTGTGGTGGGCCACTAGCTGGCAGGCGGAGCACTTCATCCGCTGACCGCTTTTCTGGAAGGAGAAGTAAGGAAAAGTTGATGAGTTTCGTTTCTTTTTCTTTGTAGTTTCCCTTCATTTTCATTCCTAAGACACTACAAATTAGGAAACATTTTCCTGATATCTCTATATATTATATATATATTCCCCATGTCATTAATTAAGCTTTTCATTTCCGCTCCTTCTCGTCTATTCGCTAATTAGTAAACTCCCAGCCAGACTGCCAGACCGCATTCAAATGACGAAAGTGCAACTGGCGGTTGCATTCTCGAAAAACAAACTTTGACAATTAATTGCTGAGGCTGCTGTGGTTTGGCAGGTGAAAAAGGATTCCCATCAACGCGACAGCCTCAGGTGTCTAAGAGTTTGGCTTTCCTTGGGAAAACTAAAGGAGAAACCTTGTGCCAAACTTGCCGAATCTGTTTTTGTTTAATTGTTTTTCAGAGAAGAGAAACTTTAGCAAAGGTTAAGTTTGGCTTTTAAGCTGGCTAATTTATAAGATTTGCTAAGAGGAGTTAAGGTTAAGGTCTGGTCAGGGCTTCGATATTTAAGAAGATTTTGGGTTTTTTATATATTATTTCGACTTTTTAGCTTTCTGGAACTAAACTTGGCGGCCTGAACACGATTGAGATAAGACAGGAATTGCTATGGAAGCTGGTCGGTGGTCGGTCTGCCCCATATGACTTATATATTCCCCCACTTCGGATGACAATGAGCCTGATAAAGGACTTTTCCCCTTGTGTTATCTTCTTCTTTTTTTTCGGCTGTAGCTGTGGCTGCCCCAAACCGTTGACACGCCCATCGCTCTTACTGCTGCCCCCCTACATATTTTTTCGCCTTTATTGCGTAAATGTCGGACAGGCACGCAATAAATAAATTACGCTCACATGTAACCTGCCCTTCAGTTCTCGTTTTTGTTGTGTTAATTGAATTGAAGGAATGTTGTGGGTGGTAAGGGGGCGTTATATATATATACTTTATACTATATACTCACAATGCATTCCTCATTCAGGCAGCAGAGATCGCCGGAAGCGGAAGTGGGCTTCCAATAGTGCTCGCCCTGCACCGCATTCTCCGTCCAGTCGGGCACAATCCTAATGGGTCTCCGGGAGTTGCTGGCCGAAGCGGTACGCCTGCTTGGAGGAAATAAGAAGAGGCGGGGTTAAAGGTTAGAAAGGATTTCTCAATTGGTTTAGGACTATAAAGGTTCTTGCACTTGATAAGTAATGGAAATGGAAACTTATTAATCATGTTTAAGATCTGAAAAATCTAGGACTTCTGCGTCTTTAAGATAAAGCTTCTTGATTTTCTTGATTTTTTAATATATAGTTTTATCATTTTAATATATATTTTTATTATTTTTTGTTTAAGAAAACACCGAACTGATGGTTTCCCCTGCATAACCTCTCAGGGACTCACCTCTTCCGCCGCCATGCCCCCAGGGAGTCGAGCTTCCGCTGCCGGAAGGCTGACTTCCGCTGCATGCCAATGGAGGAGCGGCGAAAGCGTCGCACCCCGCCTGCTCCCGGCGCCCCTGCACCAGCCACGCCACCCGCCACACTACTCCCAACTGATCCGAAACTATCGCTGCGCTGCAGTCGACGTCGAGGTGTCGGCAGCGATGTCGAGGTGTTGCTGTCGTCGCTGTGGGTGCTGCTGCTGCTGCAGCTGCTACTGCTGCTGCTGCTGCAACTACTGATGCTGCTCCTGTGCAATGTTTTCGCCTCATCTTCCTCCTCGTACTCGTCCTCCGTTTGAAACTCCTCGCGAACTGCGTGCAGCAATCGCTCCATTCCGAATATTGCTGCAGGGGTGTTGCTGCCTCTGCTGCTGTTGCTGCTGCTGTTGGTGTTGCAAGGGGAATTGCTGCTGCTGCAGTTGATATTGTTGCAGATATTGCAATTACAGTTGCAATTCTGTCTGCCCACACTGTTGCTATAGTTGCAATCGCTGTTGTTGTTGTTGCTGCTGCTGATGGTGTTGCTGTTGCTGTTGCTGGTGTTGCCGTTGCTAGTTGTATTCAGCGTGTTGCTGCTACTGATGCTGCTGCCACCGTTGATATTGTTGCAGTTATTGCAATTGCAGTTGGAATCGCTGATATTGTTGCTGTTAATATTGCTGCTGGTAGTGTTATTGCTGTTGCTGCTGCTGCTGCAGTTGCACTCTCTGTTGCAGGTAGCTGTGTTGCTGTCGCTGTTTTCTGTGTTGCCGTTGCAAATATCAGTGTTGCTACTGCTGCTGCTGCTGCTGTTGTTGTTGCTGCTGGCGTCACAGTTCAAATAAGATATGAACATGGTCTTTACGGTGACTTATTTTTCCACATCCGTTGCCGTTTTTTACCTTGGTTTTTCTCTTTTTTTTCACATTTCACTTCACTTCATTACACATTCCCTGTAGTCTGTTGATTTTTTTTTGGAACTTTTTTATATATATGGATATATCTTCTCTCTATTCAGCTTGCAAAGGTAATCCCAATTCCGATTCGGTTTTCGATTTTTGTGTCTCTGACTCTGATTGTGATTCTGAATCGGTTTTTGTCTCTACTTCGGCTACTGTCCGTTCTCGTGTCTGCGGCTGTCATTATGGCGCAAAAAGATTGCCCGGAGATTCTGTTTGGGGTTTTGGCTTATTATAATACGATTTTATACACTCATTTTGTACTTGTTTTAGTTGGGGTTAACACGAACTGAGATACGGCTATAATAGGGCTGAGATAAATATAACTATATGTGGATTATATGGGAGACACATTGCAGGAGTTTCTGAGAAGAATCCTTCTTTTTGGGTTAAAGATTGCCTCCAGTTTGATTTTTTCTCAAAACCTTTCTATAAAAATGTTTAATTTGTATATATAAATCTTGTATTTTTTGATTAATATATGTTATTTTAAGCTTAGAGACATATTTTCAGATTTTTTCTAATCCCCAAAGATTATGTTTATTGGATTTTTATGAGCTTTTTCCTAAGAATTATTTGCTAAATCTTCTGCCTGCCTTTAGTAACCCCAATAAATCTAAGATAATTACCTAAAATTCTATTCATTATTTTAAGTTTAAAAACAACTTCGAAACTTGTAAATTTTACCTTTTAAAAATCCCTAAAATTGCTTTTAAAAAGTTCTAAAATTTAAAAAATTGCTTACCCAAAGAGCATTCAAACTTCCCCAAACTTTCCACTGCGAAAAATCCAAAAAGGGAACTTTGACCGTAGACCTTATTTGGATATCAAGCTCTTGGCCCCTCTCACTCTCACCCACCAACTGCTGACTCGCTCTAGCGCACACAGCCAAAGCCATTGTCCACGTTGGTGTGCGTGTGTGCGTGTGTGCGTGTGTGCTTAATACATTTGTATACATTTTGTTTATGTGCATTGTAATTAAATTCTTATCAGATGGAAATACATACAGAAAAATGTGACTCGTTTTGCTCGTTACCCCCCCTCCCTTTCCCTTTTCCTGTTTTGTTTTTTTCTCTTTTTTTTTTATATATTTTCCCCCTGACTGCGTTCTAATCTTTGTTAGAGTGAGAGGGCATTTTATTGGCCTGGCAAATTGCTGGTTTTGCAGATTTTCCATGTCAATTGTCAAAGTTTACGCCGCTTTTTTTTTGCCTAAGTATCCTTTTTTATTTTTCTCTTTTTCCACTGGCTGTTGTCGCCGCGTTTTATGCGCGTTTTGCAAGCGTTTTTTGCGCGTTTTGCGTTCTGTTTTTGACGCGCTACTCAAATTTTGGCATCCACGCTTGATTTACCGTTAAATGTAGCGTGTCCCCGCACGTGTGTGTGTGTGTAGGTGTTTTTGAGGGGCACACACACACACGCATATGCAGAGGAATTTCCATAAAATTTCCAAGCTTTTCACTGGCTTTTTTGGATTTTCCTAACTTCAGTTAGGTTGGTAATAAAAAATCTTGCGATTTGCGGTGAAATTAGTTTTGATACTTTTCGAAAATGAAGTTTAATTTTGATGTTTTGGTTTGATATTAACTAAATAAACTCATCAAATTTAAGTCCAACTAACTATGCACTTCCAACTTATTGCAATTTATTCTAAGAATTCAGCAGGAAAAAAGGGTTAAAACAGAGGGTTAAATGCAGAGGACGAAGGACGAGAAAGTTGCAAAATTGAATTGCAAATCAATTTGCCGACTGCAGTCTTAATATATCACAATGGAATGGTTTTCCTTTCGGCCGAAGCAAGGAAAATTCCACCCCCCCTTGCTACTAGAGACTTGAAATGGAAATCAATGTTGAGCTGGCTTTTGTGCTAATAGTTCATCAAATAACTTGGCGAAATCATTGGAAATTCCCTTTACGTTTCCCTAGACAACCCAAAGAAGAGTTTTGCTGAGGAAACTATTTGAATTTTCCTTAAGTTCTAAGCTTAAGTAGGAAATTCTTACAATTTAAATAGATATTTATTGTTAGATTTGCAATTTGTTGAGCTGATTAAGAGGTATCCTTCTTAAGGCAATAGTTAATTAAGCTTCAGCTTAAATCTAGAAAAGTTAAGAAAACCATTGCCATTCTCCTTTTGATGGCCACAAAAATCCATCCATTAAATCATAAAAATAAACTAAATTTCCCCCCATAACTTGCAAGCACAGCAGCAGCAAAACCAATCTGCAAACTCAATCAGAGGAATATGTCATTGCAATCCATCAACTTTAGAAGCAATCGTCTTACAACCCTTTCTTGCCGAGACTTCTGAAAACAATTTTCCCCTTTCCCCGCTGTAAAAAAAACGAAAGCCAAAAAAGAGGCAATCATCTCTAATTAGAATCGTTTGATACCAAATATGAGTGACCACAGAAATAGGGGGGAGGCGGAGAAAGCGAGGAAAACTGAAAACTGAATGCCGAAATAAAACGAAGCCAAGCAAGACGCAAGAAAACTTGAAACGCAATTTCAATTCAAATGTGATTAATTTCGATGTCGACTGCCTTTGAAGAGGTCTGGACTTCTGCCGGCAAGCGAAGAAGGTGGAAAAGCTGATATATATAGTCGTAGAAAAACTGGTGGTGGGTGGAGGGGGGAAATGCTCGGCTAATGAAAGGCAAACTGTCGTCAATGGCCCGGACTTGGAAAATGGGATTGAGATTCCGGGGAGGAATCCTTCCACCTCTCCCTCCTTCCTCCTTCCTCCTTCCTCCACCTTTGCCCATCTCTGCTGGCCTGGCCTCATTGACAAAATCGATAAAAACCTTGAAATATCTTTACGTATTTCAATAATGACACTTTGCATTGCTGCCACCAACCAACCAACCACCCACCCAACCCCTGCCACACGGCAAGCTGCCTGCTCACTGCTCGCTGCTGCTCTTTGACTTTGCCATCATAAAAATCGAAAATAAAAATGCACAAATAAATAAATAAAAATGAAAATAAAAACATATATAAATTTGAAAAGTGTTGAGTTGGTGAGGGCTGAGGGGGCGTCCTCATCAAAATCTCATAAAAATGAAAACAAACCCCTTCTTTGGCTGGCTTTTCCTTTGAGTCATTAATAACCGCCCACAGCTAACTATGAGCTGTAAATAGATACGCAAATTGATATATATATATAGAGATATAGATATATATCTAGATATATATATGTCATCCTTTCTTTTGGAGATTTAAGCCAATGAGAAATCCATTTGAGCTGGCCCAAATGAAAAATTATCTCCACGTCTTGGCCATCGTTTGGGATTGCGATTAATGCCCGCCATGCGGGCATTGGAATTGAAAACGTGGCAACAACTTTCAAGCATTTCGGGGCATGCCACACTGCCCCGCTGCGAGTCAGCTGAACTGTGAAAATGGCAACAACTCAAGAAAAGGATTTTAAGCTAATGAATATTAACAATAGCCAGACACGGCCACTTCGGGCTGCACGGCAAGAAATTGTTAAGAAAAGCGGAGAATTCCTCAGGATTTCAGCTTAGAACCTTGCTAGCTACTTTCCTCTGTGTAACTGAAGTGGCAAAGTGGTTGCTGCAACCTGGCAAATGGTCAGAGATTGGGCACCCCAAAAAAGAGGTAGAGACGAGCAGCTCTGAGGAAGGGAAAGGACAGGCCAGGGCCAGGCAAATGAAATTAATATTCTTAATTGGCATTAAGCGTTTGGCCTGTTGGCTAGGTAGGTAGGTAAGTC